AATTTGGATGCTGGGCAACTGGCTCATATTTACCACCGTTGCAGTATCCTGGAGTCATGTAATCGTCTTTTGTGACCTTCTGACAAGCAAAGTCAATGGGGAAGCCAGATTCACTTAACTGTAGCAAGGAAGGTCGTAGAATGGGGCAAAATTCCATTAACTGTCTTGCTTAGCAATGGAAATTTTGGACTCAATTGTGGTCATAAGTCAAGGACTATGTGTACTGTAACTGTATTAAGACATGGTGTTTTCTTATCTGAGGCTCAGAATTTCCAGCTGTGGAGCCAATTTATAGCTTTGTTTGAACTGTAAAACATTTAAGGCGTGACATTCCAATATTCTGAAATATTAGAGTAATTCTAATATTCAGCAATAGAGGAAGACAACCTACTGTATATCTGTAGGTGGGGTTTATTGATAGAACATCCTAGAACCGTATGGTGAACCTATGGCACACGTGCCACAGGTAGCACGTGGAGCCATATCTGAGGGCACACGAACATTGCCCTAGCTCAGCTCCAATGCGCATGTGCATGCTGGCCAGCTGATTTTCAGGCCTTTTGTGCCCACTGGAAATTGGAAAACGGGCTGTTTCCAGCCTCTGGAGTGCCTCCGGGGAGGGGAAGGATGTTTTAACTCTCCCCAGGCTCCAAGAAAACCTCGGGAGCCTGGGGAGGGCGAAAAATGGGCCTACTGGGCCCACCGTGCCATCGCATGCCAAAAGCGGGGGGGGGAGCGCAGGTGGTCGCTCACAAATGTGTGGGGCGGGGTGCATTGAATTATGGGTGTGGGCACATACGTCCGTGACCCCCCCCCCCGGCGCAACCCCCGCTTTTGGCACGTGACAGCAAAAAGGTTAGCCATCACTGTCCTAGAAGAAGTGTTTTAAAAATTACTAATACACTTTTTTAATCATTCAAAACTTTTTACTAGTTCTGGTACAGTTTTGGGGCAGCAGCCATCTAAAGTCTAGACACAACAGTTTCAGAAGCATCCCTGATCCACTGGTGGATGGCTTCATGTGTAAAAAGTAGTTAACATTTATTTTCTTATCGTGCAAGCAATGAAATGCCAGTAGTCTGCAATGGATGACTGAGAATCTCTACAGATTTTAGCTATACAATTTGGGATGGACACCCTTTGAATGGTGTGGGAGCAGGAATGGATTTCCAGAGGAAAAAAATTGCAGACTACAGGAACCAGGAGCACTACTCAGGTGACCCTGAGGACCAAGATAAACCTCCAAGTGCTTCAACGACCCTCTAAAAGGATGCAAATGACCAGCTGTCTGCAAGGAATATAAATCCTTCCATTCCCCACCATCCAGTCAAAGCTGAAGAAGCTTCTTGGATGAGAAGCGAAACATCTTCAGAGAAAAAAACAAGAAAGTCCAGTTGCCTCCTGAAAAAACACCTTTGGGTCAACCATGACCTGGATGACTAAGAATCTCTACTAACATCTTAAGATTGACATGGGCAGTTTTCTAGATTCTATAAATGATGCAAGGGAAATTTGCAGATGACGTCTCCATAAATCCATTAGGTTTGTATAAAGAGAGCACAGTTGACTTTCGTGCGTCATATTTAGAGCATTGGAAGCAACGCTTGGGAATCAAAGTTTTGTCCAAGAGGGTATCACCCTCATGAACATTAAGGCTGGACTGAACTATGTCAACCAGCTCCTTTGCATTGTGCTCAATCCTAATACACATTGTATTTATTTTGCTTATATGGGTAAGAATAATGGAGGGAGGGAGGGACGCAGGGGTGAAATCCAGCAGGTTCTGACAGGTTCTGGAAAACTGGTAGTGGAAATTTTGAGCAGTTCGGAGAACCAGCAGCGGACATTTTAGTAGTTCAGAGAACCATTGCTTAACGCATTGTAAGCCGCCCTGAGTCTCCGGAAAAGGGCGGCATATAAATCGAACCAGTAAATAAATAAACAAACAAACAAACAAACAAACAAGCAAACCAGGAAATACCACCTCTACCCCCAGAGTGGGGTGGGAATGGAGATTTTTGCAATATCCTTCTCCTGCCACCCCCACCAAGCCACACCACAGAACTGGTAGTAAAAAAATTTGGATTTCACCATTGGATGGACAGATGTATTGTAGACATAATATGATGTAGAAAACCACTTTTTTGTGTTTAGTTTGTTGAATCTTACACTATCTAAACCATGAGATATGCTAGATGTACAATATAGTTTGTTATGTCCTTATAAGGACATCCGCCCTGATTGGCTGCCAGCCATCGGGCGGGAAGTTTGAATCCCTGTCAAGGGGTGGTGCGTCTGCCGGGAGCGAATATAAGGAGAGCTCCGGCAGCGCGCCAGCAGTCTTGACTCGTTACCTTGTACTGAATAAAAGTTGCTATATGTATCGAGCTGGTCCAGTCTTCTTTTCCTGCGCCTGATCCAACACTGGCGACGAAGGATGTGAGAGAAGAACCCGAACAAGACTCTTGGCACGATCGCCCACCTAGCTGAAGTCACTACACCACAGCGACTTCCAGAATGGCTACCCCGGAAGCCCCGATGACCGCGCTGAACCCATTCAACCCAGCCCGGGAGAAGTGGAGGTCATACATGGTCCGATTCTGGCAGTTCCTGCGAGGCAATGGATACCAGAACCTCGACGATGAGAGGAAAAGAGCCCTCTTCCTGGCTCATTGCGGATCGGACGTCCTAGAGATGGCGATTGACCTCGTGGCACCCAGGGACATTGAGGAGATGTCCTGGAACGACCTGCAGGAAGTCCTACAGGAGCATTACGCACCTACAGGCACCCCCATCGCGAACAGGTTCACCTTCCAGCAAAGGAACCAGCGGGAAGGTGAATCCGTCAAGGAATTCGTGGCAGCACTTCGCCAACTCGCTGCCAACTGCGAGTTCGATAACGTGGACAACGCCATCCGAGACCGCGTTGTTTTTGGCATGAGAGATGTGGGGCTGCAGAAAAAGTTCCTCAGCCGGAAGAGGATCCCGCTCAAAGACGTCCTCGACGAAGCAACAGCGGCTGAAACATCTGAGCAAGCAGCCGCCGCAATGGTAAAAGCAAGAGGGATCCATAAGATCCACAAGTCAGGCCTGATGAGGAAAGGGCCGTCCACAAGGTTTCCCACCCCCCCCAGGCGGGAAAACCCACAGCATGGCGACCGGGGAGAACGATGCGGCAGTTGCAGAGGCGACCACCCCAGGGCAAACTGCAGATGGAGGGACGCGACCTGCCGCCGATGCCTGAAGAGGGGGCACATCGCCGAGGCCTGCAGAGCCACAGATCCAGCCCCGGAACCGCCCAGACCACGATTCCGGGAAAATCGCAAAGATAACCAGAGGACATCCAAATGGTCCTCAAACCAGTCCCGGCGCGGGGAGGAGGAATATCCCCGAAACAGAACGGTGCACCAGACCACCACCATTGCTCACACAAGCGACGAGGGGACCACCAAGTTCCACGTGACGCTGCTAGCAGAGGGGTCTCCGTGCAAGATGGAGGTAGACTCCGGATCCGCCTACTCCATCATGGACTGGCAGCACCTACAACAGCTGAAACCGGCATACAAAAGGACCCAGCTGAAAACCCCGAAAGCGAGACTTGTGGATTTCAACGGAAACCCCATTGAAATCCTAGGCAGAGCCACCATCCGCGTGAAGTACAACGACTTCGATGGAAAGCTACCCATCACCATCGTGCAGCACAGCCGACCGAACCTGTTGGGTGTGGAGTGGTTCAAGCCGCTAGGACTTTCACTTCAGGGCATCCACGAGATCTGCAGGGACGAACTCGACTCCATCATCGAAGAGTTCAAAGAAGTCTTCGATGGTAAGCTGGGGAAATTTGTGGGGAGGCCAATCTCCTTTAATCTGGACAAGGGAATCACCCCAATCAGGCTCAAGCCCCGCCGAGTTCCATTTGCCCTGCGGCCTAAAGTAGATGAACAGCTGGATAAGCTGATCGCCCAGGGCATCCTGGAACCGATCGATCATGCCTCATGGGAGACCCCCATTGTGACCCCACTGAAGCATGATGGGTCTGTGCGCATCTGTGCTGACTACCGTTGTACCATCAACAAGGCGTTGGCACAGAGTGCATACCCAGTCCCAGTGGTGCAACATCTGCTGCATTCCCTGGGATCTGGATCAATTTTCGCGAAACTGGACCTGGCCCAGGCTTACCAGCAACTGCCAGTGGATGACAAAACGGCGGAGGCTCAAACAATTGTCACGCACAGAGGGGCATTTAAATGTAACCGCCTCCAATTTGGAGTCAGCGCTGCCCCTGGTATCTTCCAATCCATGATGGAACGCCTTCTCCAAGGCGTTCCAGGGGTGGTGCCTTACTTCGATGATGTGCTCATCTCCGGTGACTCAAGAGCCCAACTCCTTGAAAGGCTCAGGCTTGTCCTGCAGCGGTTCAAGGCCAAGGGTTTGAGGGTCAGGCGGGACAAGTGCATCATAGGAGTACAGGAAGTCGAGTTCCTGGGCTTCCTCATTGATAGCACAGGCATACACCCCACCAAATCAAAAGTGGAAGCAATCCATGAAGCTCCAAGCCCAAAAAACAAAACGGAGCTTCAGGCTTTCCTTGGGTTGCTCAACTTCTACGCCATTTTCTTAAAACAGAAAGCCACAGTTGCTGAGCCACTCCACCGCCTGCTGGGGAAATCGGCTTCCTGGAAGTGGGGCCAGGAAGAGGAAGCGGCATTCCGGGCCATCAAAGGACTATTGACGTCCAAAAGCGTCCTCATCCAATACAGCGAGACGCTCCCCATCAGACTGACCTGCGACGCGTCGCCTTACGGGGTGGGGGCAGTTCTCAGCCACGAACTGCCCAATGGCTCGGAAGCCCCAATCGCGTACTTCTCAAAGACTATGTCCGGCGCAGAACGGAACTATAGCCAGCTGGACAAAGAAGCCCTGGCCATCGTGGCTGGAGTGAAGCGCTTCCACGAATACCTCTACGGAAGACGTTTCACCATAGTCACAGACCACAAGCCTCTCCTGGGACTCCTCGCAGGCGACCAACCAACCCCGACCTTCATGTCCCCAAGAATGACGAGATGGGCCATCTTCCTAGCTGGCTACTCCTATAGGCTCGTGCACCAGCCAGGCACAGCCATAGGAAACGCTGACGCTCTCAGCAGATGCCCGTCGAAGAAGCCGGTCGAAGACCCAGCCCCCACGCTCCACCTACTTCACATTGATGACGACGCCAGCTGCCCGGTGTCATCCGCAGATGTGGCCGTCCACACCCAAAAGGACCCCACACTCCGCCAAGTGAAGTCCTGGATCCTCAGAGGGTGGCCAGCAGAAAAGCCAGAGGAAAGGTTCAGCCCGTTCACCAGGAAACAGGAGGAGCTGTCCACCATAAAAGGCTGTCTGCTATGGGGAGACAGGGTGCTGATCCCAAGCACTCTGCAACGGTGGACGTTGGAGACCCTGCACAAGGGGCATCCGGGCATCGTCCGCATGAAGGCCCTGGCACGGAGTTATGTCTGGTGGCCCTCCATGGACAGAGACATTGAACAGTGGGTCTCCAGATGTGACCCGTGCCAAGAAGTTCGCCCAGCGCCGCCACAATCCGAAGTCGCGAAGTGGGAGACCCCCAGCAACCCCTGGTCGAGGATCCACATTGACTTCGCGGGTCCGATGCAAGGGCGACACCTCCTCATTGTGGTAGATGCCTTCTCCAAATGGCTCGAGGTGGTGCCCATGGCATCTACCACAACAGACGCAACGATCCGAGCCCTGCGCCGCCTCTTTGCCACACATGGTCTACCGGATGTGCTGGTCTCAGACAACGGCCCCCAGCTCACATCCCTGGCAATGGAGTCCTTCCTGGCAGGACTGGGCATCCGCCACGCCCTGTCTGCCCCTTACAGGCCGGCCGGAAACGGACAAGCTGAACGCATGGTCCGACTGACCAAAGAGGCCCTCACCAAGATGGGCCCGGGGGACTGGCAAGAGCGCATAGACAATTTCCTCCTCACCCAGCACATCACGCCACACGCCACCACCCACAAGAGCCCGGCCGAACTGTTGATGGGCAGAAGGTTGAGGTCACCATTGGACCGGCTGCACCCCCAATACAGCCCGGAAGTGACCGCAACCGCCAGCCGCCCGCTTCGCGCCTTCAGCAACGGAGATTCAATTTTCGCGCTGAATTTCAGCGGCTCTCCTAAATGGCTGAAGGGGAAAATTGCCAGCACAACCGGCCCCAAATCCTATATCGTCGAGTTGGAAGATGGACAGTTCACGAGACGCCACATCGACCAACTCCGAAAAAGGTGGGGGGGAGCACATGAAAACCAGCCTGACGAGGGAGGCCTACAACACCCCGGCGAGGTAGGCCTGCGACACCCCGACGAGGTAGGCCTACCACACCCCTGCGAGGCAGAGCAGCACCACCCCGACAAGGTCGGCCCAGCCCACTACCAGATGCTGTCACGTCGGCAGCCCAGCGAGGTAGACCGGGGCCAACCGCACGGGGGATGGCAACACCAACCCAGCCAGGTGGGCACCGGGCACGGCAAGGCCAGGGACCACCAACCCAGCCCGCAGGTAGACCGGGACCTGCCCAGAGGAGGAGCAGCGCACCCCACCAGTTACAGCAGCCTATGCCAGCCCAGCCAGGGAGACTGCAGTTCCAGGCGAGTAGACCGGGACCCAGCCAAGACGGGCACCCCACGACCCATGGGCGAGGGTGGCACACGACTCACCGACGTGGGGGACCCCCGCCCATCAGAGAAGACAGCCAAGAAACGACACCCCGACCCGGATGGCCCCAGGCACCAACCAATGGTAGACCAGGGACTAGGGGGAAGGGGAAGCCGACAACAACCCGGCCAGGGAGACCTGCACCAACCCGGCAGGGGAGACCTCCGCCGCCCCGCAGAGGTAGTGCCGCAACAACACCCCGACCAGGTCGACCACCGCCGACCAGACGAGGTAGACCAACACCAACCCAACCGAGGGGACCAACGCCACCCCTGCGAGGTTGGACGGCACAACGACAACAACGCAAGCCAACACCACCCGAACCGAGCGGAACCACCAACCGAGCGGCAGCAAGCCGGACCGAGACCGAACCACAGCGCCCGGGAGACCAGGGAGGAGCGAGAAATGGACTTACCGAGACTCAGACGCTCTTCCCGGGTCGGAACCGAGCAACCGAGACGAGGCGAGAGATCCACAGGCCAGGAGGAAGACCACCAAGACCAGCCATCCAAGGTCTGCGGTCCGGCCGGAGGCGCTGGGGGTGGCCCCGCTCACTCGACAGCCGAACCGAGCCCGGTTCCGGAGAGGGAACCAGGAGACGAAAGAGCCCCGTCCTTCCAGGTCGAAGACGGAGGAGAAGTGAGACTGCGCAGGTCAGCTAGGGTGCCGAGGCGTCCTACGTACCTGCGCGATTACGTGACTTTTGTGGACGAGATTGACAGTTCGGACTAAGGGGGGAGGAGTGTTATGTCCTTATAAGGACATCCGCCCTGATTGGCTGCCAGCCATCGGGCGGGAAGTTTGAATCCCTGTCAAGGGGCGGTGCGTCTGCCGGGAGCGAATATAAGGAGAGCTCCGGCAGCGCGCCAGCAGTCTTGACTCGTTACCTTGTACTGAATAAAAGTTGCTATATGTATCGAGCTGGTCCAGTCTTCTTTTCCTGCGCCTGATCCAACATAGTTATATAATAAAGATATGGAAAACTGTCTAAAACATAAGATAAGTATTTTTTCCAATAGTTACTTAAATCACACTCATGACATTTTACCTCAGACTAGGAATCTTTTTTTTATGCTTTCCTTTTCTCCTACTAATCTGTTTCCTGGTTTAAACATCTTTTTGCTTCGTCATCTAAATTTCCTTAAGCATTGGAATGCATTTAAACTGCAATCAATCTTGTATTAATATTACACTGTACTGATTTTTATATGTTTAGGCCACCCGTACGAGGGGAATGTAGGTGACCCAAATTGTTCCACCCCAGACCCTTCTCTGTTTAGCTGTATCAACCCCCCTCCCCTTCCCCTCACCCAGCCTTGTAAAGAGATTAACTTGGTCTCGCCAGCACAACACAATGGAGCGAAAACCGTTGGGCCTCCCTCTTCAACCAAATGAGGTAGAAAGTTGCCTGTTTCCATAGGGATGATGTAGTTCTGAAGACCCACCTGAGGCTCCATTTATTATCCCAAGGACTCACAGTTTCATAAGTTGCTGGTCACTAAAGTCAAATATCAAAACTATGAGGCATCTAGGTATTGTTGAATTTGTATAGATTCATGACTTTAAGCCAGGCTGTTGACTTAACACAATCAGGAACAGTTTAATAACCCTGCTTGCCAAGAAAAATAAAGACTAATACCTTCATTGCTTATTGCACTGGCTTCCTTACCTGATGTTTCATGAACAGTTGCCGAGTGCCTGAACTGAATTTTGATCATGTGACCATGGGTATGCTGCTAGGATCATAAGTGTGAAAAATGGCCATAAGTCACTTACAGTCACTAAATGAACTGCTGCTGTACATACAAAGTATATAGATGATGGATAGATAGATAGATAGATAGATAGATAGATAGATAGATAGATAGATAGATATAGATGATAGATAGCTATAGATGATAGATAGATATAGATAGATATGATAGATAGATGATAGATAGATAGATATAGATGATAGATATAGATGATAGATAGACAGATAGATATAGATAGATATGATAGATAGATGATAGATAGATATAGATGATAGATAGATAGATAGATAGATAGATAGATAGATATAGATGATAGACAGATAGATAGATATAGATGATAGATAGATAGATAGATAGATAGATAGATAGATAGATAGATAGATAGATAGATAGATAGATAGATATTACTCTTCCTTTGCATTAAAACAAACAGTGTAGGTGGAGAAGGACAAGTGGCAGTTCAACATTGTGTGACTAGAATCTCAAAACTCTTTGAAAACAAGATATTGGGAGGGAGAGACTTCTGGTAACATCATGATTAGACATTCAGGAGAAAAGAAGAGACAAAAACTGCAGCCTGGGGATTAGTTTTGTTGAATTTAGTGGGGGCTCTTAGTTTTGTAAAAGGTTGCAGCACAAAAAGTCTTTTTAAATCTATTTAGAAAGCTTCGTGTTAAACTGGTCCCCTATTTGCTTGATCATTGTTGAATTAAATTTTAAGGAAGGAAAATCGATTATTTTCAGCTAGAACCTAAGAATTTTCCTTTCTAATACGGTGCCTATTTGAACGTAGTATTTTTAAGCCCATGCATTAAAACAGAATTATCCTATACATTTTAGTTTAGGTTTAATCAAGAGTCCTGTACTCCAGGCAGTTTCAGGAATGGAATTGCACAGATGCTTTCCATAGGAACATTGTGAGGGTTTTTTTCTTTTCTTTTAAGATGCACTTTTGCTATGTGTATCTATGAATTGTGGGAAGGGAGCCTTTCCTTTCATTTTCGAAAAATGTGTCAAGATTCAAAAACCCCAAATAAATCCATTAAGGTTCAGGAAGAGAGATCAAGCCTATAAAAATGTGGATTTTTTGCGCAAGAGGTTCTTTGTGGAGCTTTGTCAAAATTATGTTGCTATCATTGCAGCTGTATTATGTGAGTGTATGCTTTCTGCGGGGAAAAATTTGAAGACTAGTAAGCAATAATTTATAGTAGCCTAGAAGGATTATACATGTAAAACCTCATGGGACAAGACTAGTTCAAATTGCTGCAAAATCTACATACTTTTAACAGAATAACAGGAAGGGGACCTTGGAGGGCTTCTAATCCAATCCCCTGCTCAAACAGAAAACCCTATTATCATTTTAGACAAATGGTTGTCCAATCTCTTCTTAAAATCCTCCAGTGTTGGAGCATTTACAACATCTAGAGGCAAGTTGTTCCACTGATTAATTGTTGTAACTGTCAGGGAATTTCTCCTTAGTTCTAAGTTGCTTCTCTCCTTGATTAGTTTCCACCCATTGCTTCTTGTCCTGCCCTCAGGTGCTTTAGAGAATAACTCAACTCCCTCTTCTCTGTGGCAGCCCCTGAGATATTGGAACACTGCCATCATGTCACCCCTAATCCTTCTTTTCATTAAACTAGACATACCCAATTCCTGCAACTGTTCTTTATATGTTTTAGTCTCCAGTCCAGGGGTGAAATCCAGCAGGTTCTGACAGATTCTGGAGAACCAGTAGCGGAAATTTTGAGCAGTTCGGAGAACCGGCAAATACCACCTCTGGCTGGCCCCAGAGTGGGGTGGGAAAGGAGATTTTGCAATATCTTCCCACAGGAGTGGGGTGGGAATGAAAATTTTGCAGTATCCTTCACCTGCCACGCCCACCAAGCCACACCACGCCCACCAAGCCATGCCCACAGAACCGGTAGTAAAAAAAATTGGATTTCACCCCTGCTCCAGTCCCCTTAGGGGTTTAGGGAATAGCACATGTGTTTTGGTACTCAAAGTGCCCTTGTATTGTATGGAATAAAATTATTTTACTTTACTCTAGCCTTCTCTATTTATATTTGGTTTTAAGAAAGGCACCAATGCTTCTTCCTGCCGTGATCCACACCCCTTTGACAAATATTGAGCCCCTGTTAGGAAAACTGCCTCTTCCGCACCGTCCTCCCCACCTCGCCAATGTACCTCTTGCAAACAATAAGGCAAATACAGGTAGTCCTCCACTTATAACAGTTCATTTAGTGACCGTTCAAAGTTACCACGGCACAGAAAAAAGTGACTTATGGCCATTTTTCACAGTTACGACTTTTGCAGCATCCCCATGATCCTGTGATCAAAATTCAGATGTTTGGCAACTGGTTCATATTTATGATCATTGCTGTGTCCCAAGGTCACGTGATCACTTTTTTTTTTTTGCATCCTTCTGACAAGCAAAGTTTAATTCACAATTAACAACCAGGTTACTAATTTACCAACTGCAATGATTCACTTAACAATTGCAGCAAGAAAGGTTGCAAAAAAAATAAAAATAAATAAAACCTCACTTAACAAATGTCTCACTCAACCACAGACATTTTGGGCTCAATTGTGGTTGTAAATTGAAGACTACCTGTATTTGGATGCTGTTTAATTAAGTTTGATCTTCCTAATAGCCCTGGTTCCTGGTTTTGCATTACTCTATCCTTGAACTAATGAAAACATTTTATAAAAGGCTAATGCCTGAGCCTGCGACTCAGGAAATAGCTGATGAGCAACAGTCTGTGTGGCCCAGAGGTAGACTCCCTTGAGTTATTTGAACAAGTCCTTCTAATCTCTGGTAGCAATGGAAGATCACCAATAAGCATATTGCTGATATTCTGGAGGTTTCAAGGGCAGGCTGAGAACAGCTGCCAGAGGCATAAACAGAAGAACTGTCCACATTCCAGCAAAATGATAGTACTGAAAAAGAGCCATTTGTCTTTATCCTGTAAAAGATAACTTTTGAGAAAGGGGAGGAAAAACGATGAGCGGATTCCAAGTCTATATATTAAAATAGTACTTTGTCATCTTTCTTCCGCTTTAGTTTGGGGAAATGATTCTGGAAGCTCTAGGTTTTCTTTAGCAGATGTTTTAGTAAAGGCTGCCTAGAATCACTGCATCAGTGAGATGCAGAGAGGTGATATTCAGCCGGTTCGGATTGGTTCAGGGGAACCGGTAGAGGCAACCTGCAGGTGGACCTGCCCCCGCCCCGGCACTATGCCATCCTATTTAGCCACGTTTTCTAAACAGTGTGCATACGTGCTCACATTTTTGGTGCATGGCACGGAAGGCCATCCATGCGTGCTCACATTTTTGGTGCATGGCACGGAAGGCCATGCATGCGTGCTCACATTTTTGGTATGTGGTGAACGGTGGTAAAATCATGTGAAACCCACCTCTGGTGAGATGGGCAGCATATAAACAAACAAACAAACAAACAAAAACAAACAAATATATAAATGCAATACTACTTTTGAACTGTGGTGCTGGAGGAGGCTCTTGAGAGTCCCTTGGACTGCAAGGAGATCAGATCAGTCAATCCCAAAGGAAATCAACCCTGACTGTCCTTTAGAAGGACAGATACTGAAGCTGAAGCTGAAATACTGTGGCCAACAAAGGACAAGAGAGGGAGTCCTTGGAAAAAAGCCTGATGTTGGGAAAGATGGAAAGCAAAAGGGGAAGGGGATGGCAGAGGATGAAATGGTTAGATAGTGTCATTGATAGAATGAACATGAATTGGGGCAAAATCTGGGAGACAGTGGATCGGGTTAGGGTGCCTGGTGAGCTCTGGTCCACAGAGGGTCACGAAGGGACAGACACGGCTTAGCGACTGAACAACAACAAAATGCAATACACAGTTCACGGTTGGGAAGGTGTGCATGGGTGAATGTTTCAGTATCATATACATCAACGGTCAAATATTAATTAGCCTGACGTGATTGGTTTATTATCTGCATTTTCTAGCTACACGTCCTTTTCTGTCTTAGTAAAGAAAAGCAATTGATCGAGCGACTGAATTAAATTAGAAAAAGAATGTGAACTTTTTCCCCAAGTTGATCAGGTCCCTTGTTCATGTGAAATATGGATGGGGCAGAACAGGAGATTTTCTTTTCCCCAGGAAGAGGTTTTTCAATGGCTGGCTCCAGTTTTCCTCTTCTAAAGAGGGCTACTAAACCATATATATATATGTATGTATATTTGTTTTCTGAGGTTTTCGCGGGTATTTGTATGTAGGTCTTACATACAGGTCCTAGAAGCACAAGGCTGAAGACACCAGCCTGAAGATGACGAATGAGACTTCGTCGAAATGTCGCCAAGGTACTTCCAATTTTACGTGGGAGAAAACCCGAATAACCAAAGACCTACATATATGTATATATGTATATATATATATGTATGTATGTATATATGTTTTTCTTTTAGCCAGGTTTTTCCTACGTAACCAAGGTTTTTCTGCAGCCCTAGCTCTGTGGAGTCACATCCACTCGATTCTGGGCTTTTTTCTTTCTGGCAGCCAGCAAGCCCTCAGTGGATGTGATTCCACTGAGCTAGGACTGCAGAAAAACCTTGGTTATGTAGGAAAAACCTGGCTAAAAGAAAAACACACATAAATCCTATGAAAAAGTAAGAAAATAGATATGTATATATAGACAGCACCTCATCAGAGGTGGTCTGCCAATTAATGTGATTAATCATTAACCTCCTAGCAGATAAACCAAAGAGAGAGACAAAAAAATTGGAGCAAAGATAAAGGTCTGCAATTTAGCCAATCAGCATGGCAAAGAAATAAAATGCCTCTGAAACTCTGGCTGTTGTTGTTGTTTTCCAGTTTTATCCTACATTTTACTTTTCCGTGACTTTGGGTCACAAGGTCTGAGTTTCAGGCCCAATCAGGAAACTGTGCCTTTGCTATTTTTAGGAACTGCATGTCTCTCCAGCTTGTGGGGGGAGGGAGAGGGGAATGAAACTCAGGAGTGCTCCTCTAAGTCTGGGTCCAATCCAGTGGTGGGTTGCCCCCGGTTTGGACTGGTTCGCAAGAACTGGTAGTAAAACTGGCAGGAGCCACCAACCTGGACGTCATCAAAGGTGATCTGCACATGTGCAGATGCGGGCGCGATGCAAACCGGTAGTAAAGGTAAGTAGAACCCACCCTGGTCCAAGCATTCTCCCCCTAGAAGAGGACAATCTCTAGATCCACTGCAACTAGAACACAATCTTCCCAATTGGCCATAGTGTAAATGGATCTTTTGGCACAAACTGAACCTGTGAGGCAGTTGCTTTATGAATAAGCACAGGCATCTCAGGTCTAGGACAACTCGCCGTGGCCAACTTCCTGCGGTCAACTTGCCACGGCCAACTTGGCACTGCCATCTCACCATGGCCATCTTGTTGTGGCCATATCGTCAAGCCAACTTGCCACGGGACAACTCGCTATGGGACAATTTCAGTGTGGGATAACTCAACGCAATAAAAGTTATCCAGCATAAAAGTTATCCACCACTGTTTTTCTTTGACATTATTTCCATTTTTGTTAATAGAAACAATGCCAAAGAAACAGTAGCAGATAACATGTATTTCATTGAGTTATCCCATGTGGAATTGTCCCATGACGAGTTGGCCACAGAAAGTTGTCCTGCAGTAAGTTGGCTGCTGTGAGATGTCCACATTGGGTTGGCCATGGTGAAATGGCCACAGTGAGTTGTGCCCTTCCGTGCCTCTCTGTGGTGGCCATTTTGTGAAGGTGCCTGTGGCTGACCATGCCCATTGACCTAAAAGCTTGTCTTATTCCTGAGACAGAGCATATGGACTTTTCAAAGAAACAGGAATGCTATTGTATAAAGCACTTCTTCCTAATAAAAGTTTTAAAATATGCCTCCTATTCATTTCCCCCTTAAAATGATGCTTGTCCTGCCCTGGAATGAATTAGAAATAGATAACAAACTCTGACCGCTACTTTTACAAGTAGATGGGCACCTCATAGAGTAATATGCAAGTAGGATTCCAGAATCGGGTAGAAAGAAATGTGAAAAGAAGTCATGGTGATGTCTTGTAATGACACAAGTGATCAAAGGCCATAGGCCAATTGAACTGAAGTGGTATAATGAATCAGAAGTAAAAGCAGCACAAACACCTTGATATAGTCCATATTAATATCAACCAACCCTAAATAAAGCAAGTGGAGTGAAAGCGTGATTCAGTTTAAAGAACTGGATTGCAGAAATTGTAATATCTTTTTAAAGTATTTGCATCTTAGGAATTATTTATTTCATACAAAACCGAACACACCTATGTAAGAGATTTTATAAATCAGGGAAGCACAATTTAGTCTGTAGGCTAGAATTGAAGCTGAGTGATGGAGCACCATCTTGTGGATATAACATGCCTAACAGGTTTTTCAAAACCATGTTGATTTAACACAGGGGTGTCAAACTCGATTTCATTGAGGGCCGCATCAAGATTTTATTTGACCTCGGGGGTGGCAGGGGGAGGCATGGCCAGTTTGATGTCACTTGTGTTGGGGGCGCCTGTGGTGGCCCGAGCGCTCTGCCAGTGAAAATGGGCTCCCAAGCTCCATTTTCAGCTGGGACGGCCTCCAGCAACCGTCTGCCACTGAAAATGAGCTCCATTTTTGGCTTCAATGGCCCCCTGCAACCCTCTGCCAGTGAAAGTGGAACTCGAGCTCCATTTTGCTGGCAGAGGCACCACAGGCCAGTCCTTTGCTGTTTCTAGGGCGGTCCCGCAGGCCAGATCTAAGCACCCCTTGGGCCAAATCCAGGCCCCTGGCCTTGAGTTTGACACCCCTGATTTAAAAAGATAAGGCTGCTTTAATGGTCTGGAAAAGGGCTTCATACATGCTTTTCCAAAGAATTTCTTTTGAAGGATTTGGCACAACTGTAATAGCTGAGGTTAGCAGAGGAGCAGCTGTGGAGCAAGTGAAAAGACTGAATGTCTTGCACACATAAAAGTTGTGACATAGAGTGGTTGGCTTGGGAGAGTAGAAGAGGGAGAGAAAACAGATCATCTTTTCTTTTCTCACCCAGAAATTGTTTTATGAGATAGCGTCTGGAATTCTAAGAAGGCCATAACGCCGGTTATATCAATTTCCATTCGCCAGTTCTATAATGAAGCAAATTGTAAGAACAGTCCTTTTTTTTTAAAAGATGCATTTCTCTCTCTGACAATCTATGTGCATTTCATTCAAAAAATGGGACTGAGATGCCAAATTCTGACACAAAAAAAAAGATGTCTGAGTCCTGGGAAAATAGGTAATCTGTAAGAAAAATTAGGAAAATTGGACAACTAACTGCACAGATAGATGGTGGTTAAAATTAAAAGTCTACAGTACAGAAATTTACAAATCTCTGCAAACAATTCATTGTTGACTACAATACCATAACAATAAGCAATGCCAGCATACAATACCGGCAGATTTAACAAGGTGCAAACAAGCAGTGATTTCCAACCATCTACATGACATTTAATACACACACCACACGTGTGTCTGTACTTAAAAAGTGTTTGAAAGTGGAAATTGGGTATAAATTGGGACGGACAAGGAACATTGAATGAATGCAACATGGTGCTTGAAAGTGAGAAAAATGAAAGTGCGTGTTTAATGCAGGGGAGTGGGTGAAGAGAAAGAAATGAGCACACTGAAAAACTATCAAACTCTAGTTAAGAAGCTCTCTGGGTTAAAGAGAGCTATTGTCCTTTTCCCTCTTCCTTAATGCCTCTTCTTCTCTGATAACACATAGGTGAGAGAAGACATACTAAAGCCATGACAATTTGCAGGGTTTTTTTTTTTTTTAAATTTTGATTTATATGCCGCCCTTCTCCGAAGACTCAGGGCGGCTTACAATGTGCTCAGCAATAGCCTTCATCCTTTTGTATATTTATACAAAGTCAGCTTATTGCCCCCATAACTGGGTCCTCAATTTACCTACCTTAGAAAGGATGGAAGGCTGAGTCAACCTTGAGCCTTGGCGAGATTCGAACCCTGCAGTAATTGCAGGCAGCTGGTCTTAATAACCAGCTTAATAACAGGGTGCCTTAAACCCCTGTACTACCAAGGCTCTTGGTAGCACTTCCCCCCACCCCCACTCATTTAAGGAAGACAGGAAGTAGAGCTGAAGTTCCATTAAACCGGCAGGTCTAGAGTAGTATACAAAAGATAGCTGTAAGGTCCTTCTGAGATGTTAGTTCTTAGTCCAAAGGCGATTGGAGAATTCAGAAGCATTGCGTTTTGATTCCATGGCAGTGCCCATGTTGACAGTCGTTCTTATTTTTCCTTGCTCTTCACCTGGACTCAGTATCTGGAGGGCATTTCTAGCCACTGATTATTTAGAAATGAACAATAAAACAAGGGAAATATAATTTAGCCAAGAGAGCATGTGCCAAACTTTTTAAATTGTTCTTACTACTACAAATTGTTGACTTTCTCCCCCCAGAAAATCATATATCTTAGTCCTTTGAAAATAATTCACTAAATTGAACTATCAGATTCTTCCAGACAAAGAAATTTTAGACTGAATCATGCAGTTATACACAGTGTTATTTAAAAACTACTTTATCATCCAAATTTCACAATCCAGTGTTGCTGGTTCTCTAAATTTCAGGAATAAATATTCCCTGTTAAGACTTGCTATAGCTCATGAGGAAGTATTCTAATAGGGCTACCTATTTTTGTAAAAAAAAAAGGAAAACTCAGACCTGATTTCACACTTTGAAATCATCATGCTAGGACCCGCCTTAAACAAGTAAGCAGCCCTGGACAAAAATGTACATTTTGATTTAATTTGGTTGGATCAAAATTAAAAGAATGCAGCAGTCCTATGATAGATAACAGGTTTGGACTAGACTAGAGCAGTGCTTCCCAACCATGATGGTTTTAACATGTGTGGACCTCAACTCCCAGAATTCCCCAGCCAAGTAGTTGTGATAGGGTCTCCATGTTTTTTTCCCAAGTTATACATTCAATGATTCTGGCAACAGAATAAATAATCCCCTGTTATTTAATTACAATTCCTATTTGTAGATTTGTGGGATGGGAACTAAGTCCTCCTGCAGGTCAAAGGTCTCAGGCTGTGCATCTCTGCAATACAATAAGCCAACCAGACAATTTGCAGTACAAGGAAACCAGACATTTAGTATCTAGGACAGTGATGGCTAACCTTTTTGTCGTCGCGTGCCAAAGGCGGGGGAAGTGCAGGGGGGTTGTGCGCACATGTGCCCACATCCATAATTCAATGCGCCCAGCCCCCCGCACATACATGTGCAACACCCCCCTGTGCTCCCCCCGCTTTTGGCACGCGATGCCACAGTGGGACTGGGAGGCCTGTTTTTCTCCTTCCCCAGGCTCCAAAGCCTTTCTAGGTGCCTGGGGAGGGCAAAAACTGCCTTCCTCGACCCACTGGAGGCCCTCCGGAGGCCAGAAACAGCCCGTTATCCGACTTCCGGTGGATCCAGAAGGCCTGAAAATTAGCTGGCTGGCATGCACATGCGCGATGGAGCTGAACTAGGGCAAGGTTCGTGTGCCCAGAGATATGGCTCTGTGTGCCACCTGTGGCACGTGTGCCGGAGGTTCGCCATCACGGATCTAGGATGTTGATTTCCAAATACAGATGCTGTCCCTGTTCAAGGCATTCAGAGAAGAAGTTTCATGATGCTTTCTAGTTACTGAGCACAAAATAAATCCAAACGAGGGTTTTTAGTTACTTCTCAGAGCCCAGGTACTGCCCTGTCAATGGTAGCTCAACAAATCAAGGATACAGGAATGTGTGACAAACAGAACGTGCAGGGAGAATGGCCAAAGTGGCTATCTTCTCAAATAAACATACTTTCCATTTATTGGAAAGGTTGGAATCTGCTTTATCTCACCATGCAGATTTTCATATCACTGCAAAGATAGGAACCAGACTTTTTGGAAAGTCTGACTGCCTGAGACAAAAAAAATTGAAGCCACCTATATGTTCCTTTAATATATATATATATATATATATATATATATATGTTCCTTTAATAAAATATATATATTTTAATCTCAGCCACATTAATGTTTAAACTTCCCCTGAAACAGCCACTCACGTTATCGTTGCTATAGTCTTGCTCAGGAAAGTAGCCTCTGTTTGCAGCTCCTCCTTCGTAGAAATTGGTTGGGTTCTCAGCAGTGGCTTTGCTCAATGGTGCGTCATTCGTACCTCGGATTCTGGGGAAGATTTTCCCACTTTCAGCAAAGTTTGTGGCAGGAGGAGCTCCAGAACGATTGCCCAAGGTTGCATACTCATTGCTTATCAGTTGTCGATGTTCGGTTTTAGGGTCCGGTTTTCTTTTATACAAAAAGAAAGGGTGATCACAATGACACTGAAAATTTATCTTCACTTTTTGTGCTCATCTTGTCTTTTTCTTTTTAACAAAGCCCCGAGGAGTTTTGCAAAGTTTTGTGACAGAGATGATGAAGCTAACTATTAATATCAAATTTACGAATATGTGCCCTGTAAAAGGGAATTTAGGATTTCAATCGTTTTAGTAAAGGAAATTTCATAAACCCAAGTAATCGTGTTAGTTCTGACCACTTCTGATTGCCATTTTAAACTCTTTTTCCAACTCTACAATATTCTTTTTGAGTCAAGGTCACCAGATTCCTAAGTTCATCAAGATACTAGTTGTTACAATGGTATTATTGATTATTTCATTATTTCTCTTCATATCAGCCTTGAAGCACACAAGACAGCTAAATTGCTACGATAAAATGAATGAACTTAAGCTCTTTTTACTCTAAATAATAATGAGGGGGACCTTTCCTAATGACCCCCAGTTTGAAAATCACTTTTTCACAACCACTCTGCATTCTCTTACAATGCCTTGCCTACCACAGTTTAGTTTCTGTTCAATCACCAGAAGTTTTAGTGTTTCTGTAGTTACAAATATTTGTGGCAATGTACTTCAGTGTATGCTGTTGAACTTAACTTGGCATTTTAATGCTCATTCTCTTTCAATATGGACAATCCTTTTGTTTCTCTTTGTTATCCTTTTTTGTCTGTAGACACTCTTGCAATTGAATGCGGTTGGCAAATCTGGCAACTTTACTGCTCAGCTCTAACTCCTTTTGTGAACAATTGAGAAGGATTAGTCCCAATTAAGAACCCTGGAAGAGCCCTCTGTTTTCATCCTTTCCATGGAAGAAGTGACTGTTTCGAATCTGCTTTTTTATTTTTCATCAGTAACTGTTCAACAGAATAATATATTTTCTTATCCCATGATTACTGTACTGTACAACTGGGAATGTTGGAAAGAGTAACTCAACAACTAGTGGAAACTTGTGGAAAATGTACGCCTTTCTAAAATGCTAGCTATAACTAATTTTGCATGTTTTCAATATTTTATGTCAGGGGTCTCCAAACTTGGCAACTTTAAGACTTGTGGACTTCAATTCCCAGAATTCTTGGCTGGCTGAGGAATTCTGGGAGTTGAAGTCCTACAAGTCTTAAAGTTGCCAAGTTTGGAGAGCCCTGTTTTATGTGATAGTTTCTTTGTGTTATGCTTTAATGAACAGCTCTCCCATTTTTGTGACTCAGGAACCCGTCCCTGAAAGTGTGCCACTAAAACATGTACTGAAATGCTTATTTTGAGTGTCACACTATTTTGTTCCTTTTGCACAGCGAGGCTTAGAATTAGTGCATTAAAGCTATTTTGATCTTAATATTGACTGTTGCTTAATTTGTTTGAAAGGACCCGGGTTTCTCCCATGCATATGTAATAAGAATAAGATACAGGTAGACCTTGACCACAATTGAGCCCCAAATTTCCATTGCTAAGTGACACACTTAGTGTTAAATTAATTTTGTCCCATTTTACCACCTTTTTCCCACAGTTGTTAAAATGAATTTAACACTGCAGTTGTTAAGTGAATCATATGGTCATTAAACAAATCTGGCTTCCTCCATTGACTTTGCTTGTCAGAAGCCAGCTGGGAAGATTACAAATTGTGATCACATGACCCCAGGATAGTGCAACTGTCATAACTACATGCCAGTTGCCAAGCACCCAAATTGTGATGATGATCAAAATTTGATCATGGGGTGCTACAACGGTCATAAGTGGGAAAAACAGTCATAATTCATTTTAAAAAAAATAACTTTGAATGGTCACTAAATGAATGGTTGTAAGTCGAGGACTACCTGTATTTATACTGAAGCTGAAGCTGTGACAAGATTGACATACACATTTAATCAGCTGCTCCTTTCATGCATCACCTAAAGGCTTTGATCTCCAAATTAAACTATGAAATTCAAACGCATGGCATGTCACAAACTTTTTAATAGCATATGTTTATACACCCCCAAAAGTCATTTGTACCTGACTAAGGAGTAAGTTGTTACGCCAATTAAAGCCACCAGAAGAACACCGCACAAGGTAGATACTCCTATGATGATGGCCATGTAACCTGAGAAGAGATTTCAAAATTACCATGGTTACCATGTCTTTTATGAGATCATCTACATACCCTTATTTTGCATTGTTGCAAATAAAAGGAGAATAGAATTTAATTTTTCCTGTCACCTATGGTGCTATTATTTCTTGTTTTGTTTTTTCTAACCTCTCCCCTATTCTCTCTCTCTCTTTCTCTCTCTTTTTAGTTATCCTTGTTTTCCATTCTAGATTGTCTCTGTATAGAGAGGTCTCTTACTTTAGATGGAATAGGGAAAAAATAAGAGAGATTCCCCTACGTTTATCGAATCATATCTTGACAGGAAGGTGATCAATTAAAGGTGATTGATTGCTTGATTTCATCTGAATTGATTTACCGGTAATTGCTCCTCATCTCTAGGAATTTTTTATTTTTATTTTTCCTTTGGAAAAAGTGAATGGGAAGGAAATGAAGAAATAAATCATCTTTGAGATACAATATAAGTGAAAAAAATCCCGATTTGAAACTGAATGGAAGGAGAAGGAAATTCAAATATTTTATCCTGCTGATAGGCATAATCACGTGGGTATCTTCATAGAAGAATTTCTTTGAGGCTTTCTTTCATTGGCAAGCAGTAGCCTCTTGAGGTTCATAGGGTTTTTGGGGAGAAAGAAAGAGCCACGGGGGGGAGGGGTGTTAATTGAAAGGGAACCAAATGTAAAGTGTCAACAAAAGTTGGGAAAAGCAGAGCCTTGTGTTAAAGTGTAAAGTCTGAGTGCCAAATTCTGCCACTGAACCTGACCACATAAAATTGACTGTGTTCTGTAACATAACTTTTATAACATACATTCACCATGCTGAAGTGAAATAATATCCTGTTTATTTCAAAATAACATTTCCTATCCCCAACTCTATGAGAGAAACAAGGAATTTTAAAACAAAGTTAAAACAAGAAATGAACAAATATTTCTCTGGGGGGGATCCTTTTTGTTTTGTGGAAAGAGCTTCTGTGTTATGATCATCTTAGGAAACACAAAATACATTATTACATTTTGGTAGCAGGATTCTTTTTTGGAAAGAATATCTAAGGCCCTGTGCTAAATTTCAGCTGTGGCAATTGGGTATGCTCAAAGAATTTATTTGGTCCTGAGCAATTCATAAATAGTGACTACCTCTTTGAAGTTCTTCACAATATATATTTATGAGATATTGCAACAACAATGTTCTACAAAGCTACTTGAAATGGTACAGTGCAACATAGGGATGTCCACGGAAGCTAGTTGCTTTTATTAGAAAGATGAGAAGCAGCGATATTGTGCTGCAAGCTGTGTACCTCTTTTGTACATGAATATGACATCACAAGGCTCATACAAATGCACTCCCCTACGCTCACATCCATTGCAAATGATGCTTATGGAAAATAGAATCTTAAAAAGGGCAGTTTTCTGTGTGGACCTGGTCCAGAAATGGTTCTTTATGTATGTCTATGTGATATTTCTCCTTACGTTTTCTCAAAGAATAGAAGTTGCATTTCTGGGCTTTTCTGATACAATTTATATTATAGATGGTTTACCATATATTTTTTTCCCTAGAAATAGTTTCCAGTTTTAAATAAAACATTCTCCTTGTAATACATACTGTCTTGGCAGTTTTCTCCAGAAAACCCAATGCTACACCTAAAAGCAAACACAAAGTATCATCATGAGTGATTGAATAAAATATACCAATGATGTGCCAAGATTTCTCCCATGCAGGTAGCCCTCGACTTACAACCGGTTGTTTTGTGATCATTCAAAGTTATGACAGGCCCTTACATAGATACTTGGGGCTCAGATTCCATGGCTGCCCACCCCTGTGATAACACCATCCCATTCAGAGCCCCCACTTTCACGTAACAACTGTTACAAATAGTGTTGTTAAATTGGGTCAGTGGTGTGAGTGCTTTGAGTTATGAGCATCGGGACATACAGTGGAAATTCCATGCTCCATTATGATTGTAAGTCAAGGACTACCTGTAGAAGGATTGCTTTATTTGTAGTGGGAGAACATATCATGTGTAACTTAGGAGCACTATGTTTTTCTATGTCTTAGATGAACTACTTTTTTTCCCTTATGATGCATAGTATTTGTTGTGGCCTGTCGGCCGCCAGCCCCTCCAGAAGCCAAATCAGAGGAGGAGGAGGCGTGGGAGTCAGGGTCAGCATCCAGGCAACCTGAGAGCTCCGAGGGAGAAGAGGGAATGGAGCTGGCAGAAAGACAGAGAGACAGAGGCAGAGCCTGGGCCGTCCATCAGCCCTTAGATGGAGAGTCAACAGCTCCCAGGTCTGAAAGCAGCTGATGCAGAAGGCAGAGAAGAGGAGAGCAGTGGAAATCTGTGGGCCAATCCTTGGGAAAGAAGAGCCACCGCTGCTAGCAAAGCCCCATCCTAGCTCTAGGAATAAAAGGCAGGGGGTGGAGATGAATAGGTGTAGCAGCAAACTATTCAGCTTCCAGCTGGACAGACTTGTTAGCCTGCGTTGAGAAACTTTTTGCTGGGGCTGCCGGCACTCCTAATTAAAGGAATCTTTGAGTTCACTTCAGAGGGTTTGTCATGTTTGGAGAGCTGGGTCAGAACAGAATTATCATGATATGACTAAATCCCACATCTCTCTCTGCAGCTAATGTCTGCTTAGGAAAGACTAGGTAAGGTAAAGGTAAAGGTTCCCCTCGCACATATATGCTAGTCGTTCCTGACTCTAGAGGGAGGTGCTCATCTCCATTTCAAAGCTGAAGAGCCAGCACTGTCCAAAGACGTCTCCGTGATCATGTGGCCAGCATGACTAAATGCCAAAGGCGCATGGAACACTGTTACCTTCCCACCAAAGGTGATCCCTATTTTTCTACTTGCATTTTTTACGTGCTTTCTAACCGCTAGGTTGGCAGAAGCTGGGACAAGTAACGGGAGCTCACCCTGTTATGCAACATTAGGGATTCAAACTGCTGAACTGCAGATCTTTCGATCGACAAGCTCAGCGTCTTACCCACTGAGCCACCGTGTCCCTGTGACACCACCTCCCTGCTAGGAAAGACTAGCAGATCGCAATTCATCCCATGCAATCATATCATTTTGGCACAGCAATCAAACTCTGGTCAGCACAAGAGGCAGCAGATAGCCAACCTTGATCATTCTTGGGAAACAAAGAAGCCTAAGACTCTCTCTCACCAGGAGGCCAAAAGGGGAATGCCAGGGCTACGAAGGAAGTCAGGGGAAAAGGGCAACAACAAACTGCTTCCATTTTGTTTTTCACAAAAACAACATGGGCAGGTCCACTCATTCACAAGGAATGAAGATACATTGGAGGAGGACGGCTTTCTTAATCATGTACTTACGCTTTACATTCTCCATCCTTTTCCTCAAAATTTGGCAGACATTGGCATTCAGGGAGATCTGCTTTGATGCGACAGAATGTATTACTTCCTGCAGAACAGCCTTGGTCACAAACTGCACTCGGGAGAGGAGCAAGAGATAATAATTTAAGATTAGCAAAGCATTGTATATACTACAGAATAACAGAGTTGGAAGAGATCTTGGAGTCCTTCTAGTCCAACCCCCTGCTTAGGCAGGAAATCCTACACCACTTCAGACAAATGGTTATCCAACATCTTCTTAAAAACTTCCAGTGTTGGATCATTCACAACTTCTGGAGGCAAGTTGTTCCACTGATTAATTGTTTTAACTGTCAGGAAATTTATCCTTAGTTCTAAGTTGCTTCTTTCCTTGATTAGTTTCCACCCATTGCTTCTTGCCCTATCCTCTGGTGCTTTGGAGAATATCTTGACTCCGTCTTCTTTGTGGCAGCCCCTGAGATATTGGAACACTGCTATCATAATCCTTCTTTTCATTAAAGTAGACATACCCTGTTCCTGCAACCGTTCTTCATATGTTTTAGCCTTCAGTCCCCTAATCATCTTTGTTGCTCTTCTCTGCACTCTTTCTAGAACCTCCACATCTTTTTTACATTGTGGTGACCAAAATTGGATGCAGTATTCCAAGCATGGCCTTACCACGGCATTATAAAGTGGTATTAACACTTCATATGATCTTGATTCTATCCCTCTGTTTATGCAGCCTAGAACTGTGTTGGCTTTTTTGGCAGATGCTGCACACTGCTGGCTCATATTTAAATGGTTGTCCACTAGGACTCCAAGATCCCTCTCACAGTTACTACTATTGAGCAAGGTACCACATATACTGTATCTGTGCATTTTGCTTTTCTTGCCTAAATGTAAAACCTTACTTTTTTCACCATTGAATTTCATTTTGTTAGATAGTGCCAATGTTCAAGTCTGTCAAGATCCTTCTGTATCTTAAGCCTTTCTTTTGGAGTGTTGGCTATTCCTGCTAGCTTGGTGTCATCTGCAAATTTGATGAATTCCTCATCTATGCCCTCATCCAAATCATTGATGAAGATGTTGAAGAGTACTGGGCCTAAAACAGATCCTTAGGGTATCCCACTGCATACTTCCCTCCATGTAGATGCAGTTCCATTGAGGACTACACGTTGAGTGTGGTTGGTCAGCCAGTTACGAACCCATCTGGCTTGACTGAAGATAGGTCGTATAAGAACCAAAGTGAGTGGTTCCTTTTAATTATTTAAATCCAGCCCCCAGACGCTCCATTTTGGCCTGCAACAGGCCGAGGAGGCCCCCGGATGCTCCATTTCAGTCTGCAATGGAGCAGGGGAGGCCTGCGGAGGGATGAATGGAGCATCGGAGGGCTGGATTCTCCCCTCGGAAGCTCCATTTCAGCCAGCAACCTGCCAGGCGAGGCCTGCAGAAGCCCAAACGGAACTGCAGAGGGGCACATCCGGCTGAGAGGCTGGAGAGGAGAGTGCTTGCTAGATCTTCACAAGGTAAGTGACCCGGCTTGGCAGGTTGGGTGGGAAGCAATTGTGGGGGGCATGAGGTATTTGAGTGGGTTGGGGAGGCCTTGGATGGTCTTAAGCAGTTGGCGTTTTCCGTCACTAGCCCCCCCCCTTCATGGCCTTCCCCAGTCTGAAATACCTCATTTGCATTTAACGAGCCTCGCATTCGATTAGCAAATGTGGGAGTAAGTGAGGAGGGAGTGATCCCATCTAAGGTATGAGATTCACTCCCACAAATCCTCGGGTTACAAATGGAATGGGCAGGCTCCATTCCATTTGTGACTCGAGGATTACTTGTATGCACACTTTGAGGATACGTTGCACAAATGAACTGAGTGGAGATTTGCTGATGATATTCTTACTTCAAATCATTTCCTAAATTAGAACTTTCTTCTTTTGCATGTATTTCTTAGAACCTTATTTTAAATGCACTTTCTCAAAAATCATTTCTCAGAAATAAGAAGTATATCTATGTAGACAACTCCCAGTCTCCCAGAGTTACAGTGGGAAGCTTCAAAATTTAGGATTCTATTTGTGGCTCTCAGTATTAATGGCTTACTTTAGAATACTGTTTCTAACATGCAACACAAATGCATGTATGGGTGCACGTCAGGGGTGGGTTCTACTTATCTTTACCACCGGTGCGCAATGGGATCGCGCGTGCTCGCTTCACTCGCTTGCACGCTTTGCTTCTGCGCATGCGCAGATCACTGATGACGACATCCAGGGTGGTGGGTGGGGCCTCCCACTGGTTTTACTACCGGTTCTTGCGAACCGGTCCGAACCGGGGGCAACCCACCACTGGTGCATGTGCACATACAGAGTGGTTTAGTGACCAGTATCATCTCACTTTTTAAAAAAATTAGATATGCCCTCTGGCCATAAAAGTTTATGGATTCCCAAAACCATATTTAATAAGAAACTCTGGTTTGTGCTAGACAGCTAACCACAGATTTATCTCAGAAAATTGCCTTCAAAGTCTTACCTCGACAAGCTTTGTCTTCTGGGTTCACCTTATCCAGACCTTTTTTACATTCACATTTTGGAATACCGCCCTCAACATCCATGCAGTTTGTAGTGTTATCACAGATGACAATTTGACAACCTGATATACCTAATAAAAAGTAGAACAGCATGGATAAGTAGCTGGAAAGGAAGCAATACCTCTTTCAATAGCCGACATTTAAGGACTTCTACTCAGTGGTAGAGTCCATGATTTTGCGTGGAGAAGGCCCCAGGTTCTGTCCCTGGCATCTCCAGATAGGGCTGGAAAAATAATAAAATCCTAAGAAATTGGTGCCGGTGAGTGTGACTGGATTGTAACTGAATTTGGGTTCAGTTTCTAATGACACAAGGGGAGGTTTTTGGAAGGAATGTGTTTTTTCTCTCTCTATGTCTTTTGAAATTAACAGTAATGTCATTGCCTGGGAAATTCGATTATTTAAAATACCAGTAGGTTGCAAATGAATATCTCAAAATCTGATACAGTGGTTAAATATTGAAATATATACATTCCTATTGAGTTGCGATCCTTAAACACACAATGCTGTACAGCCAAGTAGTAATGATTAAATTATACAGTGGTATTTATTTAATTTAAATACTTTGTTAAAAGCCTCGCAAATACAGAATTTAAGTCATACATTTCCAGGACTTTGAACTGTAATTCTTCCAAACCTGTAACTGTGGCAATCCCAAAGATGCTTTTTTCAAGAGGCAACTGGACTTTCTTTTTTTCCTCTGAAGATGTTTTGTTCTCATCCAAGAAGCTTCTTCAGTTCTGACTGAATGGTAGGGAATGGATGGATTTTTACTTCTTGCAGACATATCCTTGCAATATAAATCCTTCCATTCCCCACCATCTAGTCAGAGCTGATGAAGCTTCTTGGATGAGAAGCGAAATGTCTGCAAGAAAGTCCAGTTGCCTCTTGAAAAAAGCATCTTTGGGATAACCATGACCTGGATGACTAAGAATCTTCATAGACATGTAGCTGTGGAAATTTATTGGCTCCTTTCTAGACATTGTATCTACCTGATCTGATGACTGATCTCTATTTCATTAATAATTATACCAATTGACCTCTGACTCTCGTCTACCTGCACTTGAACAACAATTCAGTTACATCTGCTATTTCTTTTAAGCAAAAACCAGGAAATGCAGCAATGTGCAATATTTAAAAACCCTAATCTGCATCACTCTCACTCAATAGATAGAGCTGGATATACATCACATTGTCATTGTTCAGCTATGTTTTGTTGAAATTGCTTGGAATATATATTGCCCCAAGCCATAATTTACAGACCACAATGATCTGGATTCGCACTTCATGAGAAACCAAAAATACATAAGTCATGTTGTGGTTTATCTTGATGTGTGAAACAACCTTTGAATTTGGAAAAAGAGTAACAGAGTTGTGTCAGCTGACTACTGCTTTTTGGTGCCCTACCTAGTAGATAAAAGAACTGAACTTAGATGATCCCAAGGTAAATTGTGCTAAGTCATCTGAAGATGTATTGGAGCAGTCAGTTGATTGTGGTTATGTGATATAGTTGTTAAAATCATGGTCTAATCCAGTATATAACAGAATAACAAAGTAACAGAATTGGAAGGGAAGGGAGGTCTTCTAATCCAACCCCTTGCTCAACCAGAACTTCTAAAGGCAAGCCATTCCATTGATTAATTGTTCTGCCAGGAAATTTCTCCTTAGTTCTAGGTTGGTTCTTTCTTTGATTAGTTGCTTCTTGTCCTGCCTTCAGGACAGGTGCTTTGGAGAATAGGTTTATTTATTTATTTATTTATTTATTTATTTATTAAATTTTTATACCGCCCCCTCTCCCGAAGGACTCGGGGCGGTGAACAGCCAGAATTAAAAACACACAATACAAATATTAAAATACATTAAAACGAAATTAAATTATCTTTGGCTTCTCCAATTTAAAACCCCTTACCCATAAAATTCCCCAATTAAAAGATTTTTAACCCAGCCCGGCTTGCTGAAATAAAAAAGTCTTCAGGGCCCGGCGGAAGGTCCGGAGGTCTGGGATTAGTCGTATCCCTGGGGGTAGCTCATTCCAGAGGGCGGGTGCCCCCACAGAGAAGGCTCTTCCCCGGGGGGTCACCAGCCGACATTGCCTGACAGACGGCACCCTGAGGAGGCCCTCTCTGTGGGAGCGTGTTGGCCGGTGGGAGGTTATCGGAGGCAGAAGGTGGTCTCGTAAGTAACCGGGTCCTAAACCATGGAGCGCTTTGAAGATGAGAACCAACACCTTGAAGCTCACTCAGAAGACCACTGGAAGCCAATGCAGCTCGCGCAGGAGAGGTGTCACGTGGGAGCGCCATGTCGCCCCCATAAGTACCCGCGCGGCCGCATTCTGCACCAGTTGGAGCCTCCGAGTGCTCCTTAAGGGGAGCCCCATGTAGAGAGCATTGCAGTAGTCGAGGCGGGAAGTGACGAGGGCATGAGTGACCGTGCATAGGGAGTCCCGATCCAGAAAGGGGCACAACTGGCGTATCAGGCGAACCTGATAGAAAGCCCCCCTGGCCACGGCCACAGGTTGACTCCCCTCTTCTTTGGGGCATATGAACAAAATGATAGTCCAATTGATCTCTCTTCAAAGTAAAAATATCTGTGACTGGTTGGTTGACATGTCATCTGGAGATAGTAACATATGTAATCCCACACATTTGGGGGGTATCCAAAGTCAGCACTTTAGGGAATCTATAATAGTTTTAAATGGACTGGATTGAATCAACCTTTTTAATATATACATACTTGTAAATGATTCGACATTGAAGTCTTTCAAAAAGGTAGAATTAAGTGCACTTAATGCCTTTTTCAATTTCTGAATTGTCATATCTGTCTCATTAGTAAATGTAGTGATGACCGTAACTTTAGTCGTATTTGTAACTGTAGTCCCATTTTTGTTTTCTACCTTATTCACCCTTTGAGACATTCCTTGAGGTAATCTGAAAGAATAATTTCATAAAGACACTTGTATGTTAAGAAAGGTGGCAATCATTTTAAATTTACTAAAACTTTTAAGTTTACTGTTTATTTATTTATTTATTAAATTTTTATACCGCCCTGTGGTTAAAACCAAAGTACCCACTACAAAGAAAATCTGCAAACTCTGGTCCCCAGCCAGAGAGAGCTGAGTTGCAATGAGACATGAAGATAGAGAATAACAGCATTGGAAGGGACTTTGGAGGTCTTCTGATCCAACCCCCTACTCAAACAGGAGACCCTATACCATTTCAGACAGGTGGCTGCCCACAGTCTCTTCTTCAAAGCCTCCAGTGATGGAACACCCAAGCCTGAACTTTCGGAATAGAAAAAATTGGTCCTTTATGCAAATAGCCAAGGCAACACAGTTACACATATAAGAAAAACCATATTTCTAAAATATAACTGAAGGGAAGCTTCAAGACTAATAACACCTTGGGATGCTAACTTAGAATACAAACTGATTGGAGCTTTGGAAGCAGAAATAAAGATTGGAAGGAACATCCTGAAAAATGGCAGGCTGCAACTCTTCACAGAGATCTTTTACAGATAGTCCTCGCTTACCGACCACTCGTTCAGTGACCATTCAAGTTCTCATAGCTCTAGTAATGAGACTTATGGCCATCCCTCAAAGTTGCGGCTGTCACCGTACCCCTAAGGTAACGTGATCACGATTCGGACCCTTGGCAATCGATGCACAGTTCCAGTGGCATAGCAGCATCACATGATTACCATTTGCAACCTTCCCAGCCAGCTCCTGGCAAGCAGAGTCAATGGGGAAACTGGCAGAAAGTCTTAAGTCACAGTCACGTGATTCGCTTAACAATAGCAACTGGAGCTGACAAACTGCTACCCTGAGTCAGGCACAGTTATGTTGTGGTTCACTTTACAACTCCATCACTTACTGATGGAGATGCCTGGGGCCGTTGATCTCGCTGTTGCGATCTGGTGAGATCCGGCCATGAATGGTGTGAATGGGTTTTAATTGTTTTTAATGTTTTAATTTTTAATGTTTTTATATATGGTTTTTAAATGCATTGTAAGCCGCCTTGAGTCTTCAGAGAAAAGCACATACAAGTTGAACCAATAAATAAATAAATGCCAGTCCTAATTCCAGTGGGTAAGTGAGGACTACTTGTCCTTAAGAACTCAGATGTTTTCTCCATACACACACACATACACACATACAAAATACATATTAAAATGTATATGGTATACATATCAACAAAGCCATCACCTTACTTCATGCTAAGAATACATACATACACACACACACACATACCACACACACACACACACACACACACATATACAGACAGAGAATACATATTAAAATGTATATAGTATACATGTCAACAAAGCCATCACACTTACTTCATGCTAAGAATACATACACACACACACACACATACATACATACACACACACACACATATACAGACAGAGAATACATATTAAAATGTATATAGTATACATGTCAACAAAGCCATCACACTTACTTCATGCTAAGAATACATACATACACACACACACATACATACATACATACACACACACACATACACACATACAGAATACATATTAAAATGTATATGGTATACATATCAACAAAGCCATCACACTTACTTCATGCTAAGAATACATACATACACACACACACATACATACATACACACACACACACACACATATACACACAGAGAATACATATTAAAATGTATATAGTATACATGTCAACAAAGCCATCACACTTACTTCATGCCAAGAATGCATACACACACACACACAATACGTATTAAAATGTACAGGGTATATATCAACAAAGCCATCACACTTACTTCACGCTATGAATGCTTATGTTCCGAAACTCCACTTCAAATATCTTTCCAAACTGTAAAAGTTTAATACAATGCAAATAAGAATCAAACTGAGAATCGGGTAATTTTTGGAAAAAAAAATGAATGGGCACAGGAACATCTCAAACAGATATAGATAGAAAGGTGTATTACAGTACTTTAACAAAGGAGATGTGTATAAACATGGGTATGAGTTTGGATTCAAACATGGTTTAACATTAAGAGGGAAAGTTACACTCTAGAGAGGAGTTCTGCTCTGTTGTAGTCCTGCCACAGCTTCTCATGATGTCCAAATCTAGCCAAACTGGGATTAGTGGACCTAACTTCAAACTATAACTTGTGCAACTGGTTTAGTTCCACTATCTATATTTAAGCATAACCATAGTCTAAGATTTGGACATAAGATTCTTTGGATTGCCTTTGCAATTCTTCCAACGCAGAAGAGGAGAGAGAAAGCATGGAGGCCAAAGCTAATACAAGCAGTCCTCAATTTACAACAGTTACAAAGTTACAACGGCACTGAAAAAATGTGACTTATGATGGTTTTTCACACTTACTACAGTTACAGCATCTCCTTGGTCACCTGATCAAAATTCAGAAGTTGGGCAACTGACTCATATTTATGACAGTTGCAGTGTCTCAGATCACCTTTTACAACCTTCTGACCACTAAAATCAATGGGGGGGGGGCAGATTCACTTACCAACTGTGGCAAGAAAGGTCATAAAATGGGACAAAACTCACTTAACAAATGTTTCACTTAGCAACCTAAATTTTGGGCTCAATTGTGGTCGTAACTCAAGAACTACCTGTAAGAGGTTGTCTGCATAACATTAGAATTTAGTCTGAGCAAAACTGGATTATTCCAAGATATTAAAACAATTGATCTAAAAGAATAGTCCATTTTAAAATGTTTCCACCTAAAATATGTGAATAGAGAGATGGACGATGAGAGAGAGAAAGAGAGAGGGAGAGAGTGAGCTGATAGATTACAGATAGATAGATAGATAGATAGATAGATAGATAGATAGATAGATAGATAGATGACACACACACTATATCTGCATCTATTTTGAGAGTAAAAGAGAAGTCAGAAAAAGTAAACTTACAAAAGTTGTGAGAGTATCATGTAATTTTTCATAACTTTCACTTATTGTGTTTTCCATAGACTTATTATATGGGATGCTCAGAATCATCGTTCCTGGGAATACTTTCCCTGAAATTACAGTAGGAATTATAGATAGTTATACAATATCAAGACAATCAGATGCTAAAAGTAAAAAAAAATAAAAATAACCATATGCTTTGTTTTTCCCAGCAGTAGACAAGAAATGGAAAATAGCAAAATGTACAAATTCAGGGATTTCCTAGAAAGAACATTGCTGCAGTTGCTGCAGTTCAAATTAGGATTTACAAATTATTATTATATTATTATTCTTATAATTTAATTTATATAGCGCCCTTCTCCTGAAGGACTCGGGGTGGTGAACAGCCAGTTAAAAACACAAGGTACAAACAACAATTTTAAAAGTAATTAAAAGTATTAAATAATTTCAGCCCGAATTTAAAACCCAAAATTTAAAACACCCAATTTAAAATCATTTACATAGATAGCCCTGCCTGACGGAACAGCAGGGTCTTAAGGGCACAGCGAAACACACGGAGATCGGAGATCTTGCGTATTTCCGGGGGCAGTTCGTTCCACAGGGCAGGAGCTCCCACAGAGAAGGCCCTTCCCCTGGGTGTCGCCAGCCAACATAACTTGGCCGATGGCACCCTGAGGAGACCCTCTCTGTGGGAGCGAATTGGCCAGTGGGAGGCTACTGGTGACAGAAGTCAGTCTCGAAATAAAACCACAATAGATCAAACCTGAATTAAAGACACCTTTTCAGGGTTTTTTTTTAAAAAAATGAAGTTATTCTATAGTTTACAGTAGATGTCATCAAAAAGACACATTGACATTCCTTGGCCATCAGACGAGTGATTTCTTCTTTGCAGCACGACCCACCCAATCCCAGCTTTCTTACTGTTTAAAATGACCAGTTGAATTATGGTTCTTACACCTCACTCTCAGATTCAACAGTCTGAAAACAAGGCTGTTAACTATGGGGTGTGGCCAGGGGTGAAATGTTACCAGTTAGCTCCAGTTCTGAAGAACTGGTAGTGATAAAAACTACCGGTTCGGTCAAACCGGTAGTTTAAAAAAGCTACTGGTTCCTCCGAACCGGTATTTCCGACAATCAGCCGTGCCGCGCGGTTTAGCTTTGCTAAAAAGCAGGAAATCCTGCTTTCTAGCGAAGCTAAATCACACAGCACAGCTGAAACCCCCCCTCACTGTTCTACTTACCTTCCCAAGCCTCCTTTTGGCGAGTACTGCACATGCGCGCATGCAGCGTGCACTTGGAACACAGTGCACATGTGCGGCCAGCAAACCGGTAGCAAACCGATTCAGATTTCACCACTGGGATATGGCACTTTATGCCAGATGTGATAGTCCAATGGTCCCCAACCTTTCTGGCTCTGTGGACCAGCGGCAACAGCGATGGTGGCAGCCGGGGGGGGGGGAGAGGAAGAGAGGGGATGGTTTCGTGTGAACATCGCTTGCACAAATGCAGCTTTGCGCATGTGCTCACCTGCTCCATGTGTGGCCCAGTTCCCAACAGGCCGCGGCCTAGTACTGTCTCATGGACCAGGGGTTGGGTACCCCTGTGATAGTCTATGAATTTTGAATGACTCAGTTATATAGAATCTTAATGAAGAATTCAGCTTTGATGGTAATATGAATGATTATTTTGTCATGGGTTCACATACATAATCAAAGAAATAAATTTTTTAGAGTAGGCCTGTGTTCTTACAGACTTTACTGCTGTCAGATTAGGGTTAGGAACTAGTGTTGGGGTTAGAGTTTACTGTTAAAAGAATAGGCCTAGGAATTAGGGTTGGGGTTTACTGCTGACAGATTAGGGCCAGGTATCTCCTCCACCAGAAAGGCTTCCATACTATTGGCCTTGAGTAAAGTTGAATATTATCCCAAAGCATAAAAGAGATCTCTGGAGCGAGGAAAGAAATGGGAAATATTTGAAAATATTATTAATGATACAGGCAGATGGATATTCTAGGTCAGTCTTATCTAGAAAAATAATATTTCATTCTTGGCCTGCCATTCTGAAAGCAAGCTTCCTGACATTCCTAATGATTTTACTAATAAAGGTTAAAGTTTTGGCTTATTAATTTTCCAAGATTCTATATGCTAACCCTATATCGGTAGTCCTTGACTTACAACATTTTATTTCGTGACCATTCAAAATTATAATGGCACTGAAAAAATGACTTATGACCGTTTTTCAAATTTATGATCACTACTCACCTAGCCTGCAAGTTGAATTATAGTAGAAGAACCCATAAGGACACTGGTAGATAATCTTGCTGTGGAGCTGGAGGTACGTATAGGATTCTAAAGGAAAAACAAAATTAAAATAAACTTATTAATAAGGTTTATCATCATTTGCCTGGACAGGTTGGTTTTCTTAGGCTTTGTGCTGACTCTGAACAGGAAAACCAGTAGATTTTCTCCTGGATCTTTTCAGTTTAGCTTTGCTTAAACAACCATCGTGTCTGCATGCTGGCTTTTGCTGCTTATTTTTATTTCTTTTATTTTATTTCCTCCTTATTCCTACCTCCTGCTTTCACTCCGCCTTTCTCTTTAAACTCCAGAGATCGGCTCTATGACTTCATTTTACATTTTTGTCCCCTAAAGAACTTGGCAAACTATCAACCAAAGTGGTGTGCAATGATTTTATTCTTGTAAAGTTGCAATCAAGTTTTGGAAAATAAAGAAGATGCTGGGGCTGTCAGCTTTGGAAGCCATATTAGGCCGGAAGCTTCCATGCTGCCACCTTATCATGTGTGGGAAAGTAGGAGGGGGGATTTATTAGAGGGGTTGTCTGTAGACATAATAACATTCTTCCTGTCAGTCAAGGTCAGGGCGATCCTGCATCTGGAAAAGGAGTGGTTGGAGTGAGGTCTCGAGATGAGACAGCGGTTGATTGGAGCATGTGATCGACTGAGGAGAGAGGGGATGGTATGGGGGGTTTTGATTTACTGAGGGAAAACCCGGACCTCTCAGATTCGGGTTTTCCCAGATGTGCCAGTTTACCTATTCTAGTAAATAGAACTTTGAAAATGCTTGCTTCAGAGTCTTTACTTGGAGCTGGGGGGTTTTCTGGAACGCTGACAGGGGCCTTTTTTTATCCTCTCCTGTTCCCTCACATAAAACCTACACATTGTGTTCATACTAAGTCTAGTTCTAATTTCAAATAGTTGTCAGCTAAGAATTCACATGCCTTCACTAAAAACATGGCTGCGTTAAAGGCTATTAAACATTATAATAAAAAGTAAATTCTCAGAAGGGAGAACAAGTGCACTTACGCATTTTTGGTAATCCCCCCTGAATTATGCAAATCTATTTGAAAATGAATGTTTTTTGCAGGAGGGGGGTGAAGCAATTTTACAAATACTAGATTCATTCAGTAGACAACAAGACTATGCAGGCTCCAGACAAATAAATCTCACTTACCAGCATGACATTCAACGGTGTTGAATGTCAAATAGTCAGTCATGGTTTGGGAAGATGGCCTTACATACCCTGATAAGAAAAGATAAGGTATAGAATTACTTCTGATAAGAAGAGTGTTGAAAAACAAAGAAATGAATAAGAAGTACTGTTGTTGTTCAGTCACTAAGTCACATCCAACTCTTTGTGACCCCATCCTGGACATGCCCAAATTCATGTTCATTGCATTGATGACACTGTCTAACCATCTCATCCTCTGCTGTCCCCCTTTTCCTTTGATTTTCTATCTCTCCCAACATCAGGGTCTTTTCCAAAGAGTCCTCTCCACTCATTAAGTGGCCAAAGTATTTCAGCTTCAGCTTCAACTTCAGTATCTGTTTTTCCAAAGGACAGTCAGGGTTGACTTAGAATAGAATAGAATAACAGAGTTGGAAGGGACCTTGGAGGAAACCCTACACTACTTCAGCCGAATGGTTAGCCAATCTCTTCTTAAAAACTTCCAGTGTTGGAGCATTCACAACTTCTGGAGGCAAGTTGTTCCGCTGATTAATAATTGTTCTAACTGTCAGGACTTCCTTTAGGATCGACTGTTTTGATCTCCTTGCAAATGGCAGCAAGAAGACTGTGCTTTTGAATTTTAGCCTAAAAATTAGCTGTTGCTTAAGAACCTGCTGGATTTCACCCCTGATATGGCTGCTTTTGTGTATAGCTAGTCCTTGATTTACAACTGTTTATTTATGACAATGCAAAGTTGCAATGGCATTGAAAAAAAGTGACCTATGACCAACCTTCACACCTATGACAATTGCAGTGCCCTCAGCCATGTGATTATGATTCAAATACTTGGCAACTGAGATGTATTTATGATGGTTGCAGCATCCCAGATCCCTTGATAACTTTTGATGCCTTTCCCAGCTGGCTTCCCACAAGCAAAATCAATGGGGCAAGCCAGATTCACTTAACAGCTCTGTGGTTGGTTTTTTTTTTAATGACCATGGAAAAAAGGCCATAAAATTGGGTGTGACCCACATAACAACCACGTTGCTTAGTACCAATTAAGAATAATTAGCTTTGCCCGATTTTACGACCTTTTTTGCCACAGTTGTTAAGCGAATTGCTGCATTTGTTAAGTGAATAATACAGTTGTTAAGTGAATCTGGCTTTCCCAAGAAGCCTTCATTACAATAGGTATAAATAAATTCAGTGACTCTTCACCATTTTTAAGTTTACAAACATCTCTTCTTCCCATATTCCATCTCTTATCTATGAACAAATTCATAAAACATCATCTTTTTCATCCTTATGTCAACAGACAATCTAAAATGGGTATTTTTTTATTTATTTTATTATACCTATATGCCGCCCTTGTCCCAAAGGACTCGAGGCGGCTCACAGAATTAGACGATAAGAACAATAAAAAGAAACTACTAAAAACAATCAATTTAAAATCTGGGTAGCCAGAAGTAACAACATATTTATTTTAACATTGATCAAATAAACCAACTTTATAAACCTTTCTTTTACTTCTAACATTCTTAACCTTTAGTTCATTCAAAATTGCTGTAGGATTTGATTTCTCTTCATTTCTTCTTTATTCAATCACACAGGGTTCTTTGAGGCTTTAATAAGCCTCATTTTTAAATCCAGTAGGAAAAGAATATTCTCAGAAAAAATTCTCAGAGCCTTCTTCAGTTTGCCATACTTCTCCCAAGAGCCCCATTATTGGCATATTACTATTATTATTGTAGTATATTATTGATTATGGCTATGGTTTACTAGCAGACATCTGCAAATGGCAACAGATATAAATTTGAATACATAAAGAAGTAAAAGCAATTTGTAATTTAAATATATATTTTTGGATAACTATCTCTTGGTAATGCTCAGATATTTCGTAGTTGCTGTGTAACAGAACAGAGCCATTAAAAGCCAATATGTTTATTTTCTGCCATATTTATTAATGTCTTGGTAGAAAATTATTGTATTTAAAATGGCTGAGATAAGATAAGAGGAAAATAAAAGACTGTTGGTATAACATTGTATAGATTATGAAATTATGAATTACATATCTAACAAAGTATTACTAGACAACCAATGATCTCTCTTGCAAAGTGGTTTAATATGAGATATCTTAGTTGTACTTTGAATATTTTCAAGAGATTTAATACAGGTCTTAGGAAAGGGGATATTACCTATGGCAGTAATGGCTAACCTTTTTGCCATCGCGTGCCAAAAGCGGGGGGGAGCGGGGGGGTGTCTACATCCATAATTCTATGCGCCCCGTCCCCCCCTCATGCTCCCCCTGCTTTTGGCACGTGATGGCACAGTGGGCTCAGTAGGCCCATTTTTCGCTCTCCCCAGGCTCCAGAGCCTTTCTAGGAGCCTGGGGAGGGCAAAAACAGCCTCCCCCACCCTTCCTAGAGGCCCTCCGGAGGCCGGAAACAGTGTGTTTCCTGACTTCTGGTGGGCCCAGAAGGCCCGAAAATCAACTGGCCGGTGCACACATGCATGCTGGAGCTGAGCTCGCGTGCCCACCAATATGGCTCCATGTGCCACCTGTGGCACCCATGCCATAGATTCACCATCACGGACCTATGGTATTATCTAGTTTGAAGTTTTGATATTCTCAAGAGAGCTGTATATGCAAAACTGGAACTACCTATATGATTAAAACCACATATTTTTTTCAGGACTGGGCAATTTCATTAAAAATATTGAAATATTGAAAAATATTTCCAAAAAAACCCGCCCTTGAACTATTGAAAAGCAATTAGCAGAATAGATTTCAATTACTTCAAAATCATCCACCATTATCTTACTCAGAAAAGTAATGAAAATCTTCTCAAGCTAAAACCTTTTGCTTTGCTTTCTTACAGCTTTCGCTGTTGTGAAAAATGTTTTTGAAATGGAACTATACCACACCCACACCAACACTAACTCCATCAAATGTAAGAAAGTATTTGGTCCATCAGCTATTGTAGGATTTAAAAAATATTGTGATTTAAGATACATTGTCTAATTTATAAATAAATTGTCTGAACAAAAATTAGAATTTTAACAATGCCAAGCTGGAGAAGATCTAAGTTTACACTTGACCTTAGTCAAAAGGCTATGTTTAGTTCAGGTTGGATTCAAAGATGCTCTTTCCATTGTTTTGGATTCTTTTAATGAGGAAAAGGATGTTTTTCTTGTTCTGGAGAGTATTTTCCTAAGGGAAAGATAGACTTGGATTGAAGCCTTTCTTTGAAAAACAAGAGAATCAGGTTTTTTAAAGTAACACTAAGCCAAACTAAAGACGGTTGGCTTGTCATGTTTAAGAAGCTATATTCAGTTAGTTGTTATTCCATAGTTTCTCCCGCCACTGAGAGCATAGAAAACAGAGATGGCCCATGAGCTTCCTGCAGCCTCCTTTTCAGAATTCCTGAAGATTGTGCCATCAAAATTCAGCAATAAATTTCCAAATAGAATAGGGACAATTTTTCCCTTTCTCTTCTACATGGATTTAGGCTTTCCTTGTGGAAAACAGTTTACAAGAAATCTCTGACATCATGAAATCCTGGAAAGAAAACCCAGAAAAATCTAATCACAGACACTTACTGTAGATGACTTCTCAAACTTGTCTCCATAGGCTCTGGCTGCTGAGAAAATAACTTTAAACTTCTGAACTGTCAAAAATTTGGTCCATCCATGGTTTAAACTATCTGGAAAGCCCTGTCCATGGTCTGTTTGCCACTGGTTGGGCATACCAGGATCTTTGTTCTGCCACTCCCAAATAAGGCAGACATCAGAAACCAAGCAACAAGCCTTGACTCCTATTTTCTATTGTTATCCGAGAAGTGATCTTGGTTCAGCCATAATGCCGATGAAAGAAACAAGATGAAACAGGATCAGTTCAACATTATTGGACAGTATTCACCCCTTATTGGAGATCATGATGCCTGTCCTGTATAGATCAATGGCTAGTCAGATGTGGATCGCTCTATATTGAATCATTTGGCTAATAATATAGTTTTAGGATTAGCTTTTATAAATGAAGTAAAGGACATTAATCAGAATTTCCAGAAAAGGTTGCCACTTACCAAGGGTGAGCCATAGCATACAGAAAAATACGAAGCTTTTCATAGCTGCAGTGTCTCCCTGCTAATCCTACAAGGAAATGCTTCACCCCTTAAATTAGCGTCCTTTAGAGCACTAGACTGAGGACAGAGTTCACGTTTTAATTGACGTCAGAGCTACAGGTGGATCATATCAGTTAATGTATGGCCAAAGAAGCCAACCTAAACCTTGAAGTATAGTGGATACTTAATATATTTCTCAATTTGATCCAAGCATGTGCTTCAATAGCCTCGGTGGTGCAGCGGACTAAAGTGCTGTTAAGTGCTAGCACTTAGCTGCCAGCTGCCTGCAATTAGTGCAAGTTCGAATCTCACCAGGCTCAAGGTTGACTCAGTTTTCCATGCTTTCGAGGTAGGTAAATTGAGGACCCGGATTGTGGGGGCAATAAGCCAACTTTGTATAGAACAACACCGCTTGGGGGGGGGGCGAAAGCCCTAATAAGTAGGTATATACAAAAAAAAAGTATGCAGGCTATTGCTATAATGCATTGTAAGCCGCCCTGAGTCTACGGAGAAGGGCAGCATATAAATTGGACTAATAAATAAATAAATAGATAGATAGATAATTCTAAACACAAGATTGTCAGCTAAGGAGCAGAATTTAATTTGTTAACAAATTAGTTGCTGAACAGAATAAACACAAGGCTGTTTCTTGGGTCCCAGTTCTACATCTGTACTTAGACCCTCCTCTCCTAATATAGTCACAAATGCTGTGGGATGCATTTAATGTCACCAGAAGTTCAATGGCCCAGTTACCTCACTCGTATGGATGTTCAAATGCCCCTTGGCATTCATAAAGGGGCAAGCTTTAGGTTTCCCCTCCCTCTGGAAAGAATTAATGGAAAGGGCAATTGTTTCTAGACCAATGTTTGCTTCAAAGGGGCTGAGGTGGTTCCAGAAGCCCAAAAGTTACAAAACTTCACTTATCCTTCTAGATGTATAAGTCTGGATTTTGAAAGGATAGCAATCAAAACATATCTAACCAGAGACTTTTTCTCTACTCTAAACAACTACAACCATCAAACGTTCAGTTAAGTAGTCATTAAGTCTCCTTGAATTGAGGAAAACACCACAGGGATTACTTCTGATTAATTTTTTCAAATGCAATGTGGAGAATGAGTACTTTTTACATGTATCATGGGATTGTTTTCTTGTTAATTGGAGGATTCTGAAAGAACTTTGAATGCCATCTAAAAGACAACACAAACTACTTTTGTTGTTCCCAGGAGGCATAGTTCTTTCTTTCTTTCTTTCTTTCTTTCTTTCTTTCTTTCTTTCTTTCTTCTTTCTTTCTTTTCTTTCTTTCCTTCCTTCCTTCCTTCCTTCCTTCCTTCCTTCCTTCCTTCTTTCTTTCTTTCTTTCTTTCTTTCTTTCTTTCTTTCTTTCTTTCTGCAAGTTTCCCTTTCTTCAAGTGGAAATGAAAATCGATGTTCTCTTCTAGGAGTCTTCTTCCAGATACTGCTGAAAAGTTCACCCAACAACTTGGACCTTCATAATAAATTCTCTCTGGAAATGGTGAAGGTTGGCATTTCAGTAACAGAGTAGAGTGGTTCCAGTGCCCTCCAATGTTTTATTATTTCACTGCTATGTTAAATGTACCACCCAGTGGTGAAATCCAAATTTTTTTACTACCGGTTCTGTGGGCGTGGCTTGGTGGGAGTGGCTTGGTGGGCGTGGCAGGGGAAGGATATTGCAAAATCTCCATTCCCACCCCACTCTGGGGCCACCAGAGGTGGTAGTTCTCTGAGCTACTCAAAATTTCCGCTACCGCTATTCCAAACTGCTCAAATTTTCTGCTATCAGTTCTCCAGAACCTGTCAGAATCAGCTGGATTTCACCCCTGGTACCACCCTATTTTCTTCCTTTGAACAGTCCCCGGACTCAAGTCTTTCTCCACCTTTACTGCTTCTTCTTGCTGTCCTCCTTGGATTGCTCTCTTAGAATGGTTTAGAATGTTGCTAATATTACTTAAGCTACCTGTTTCTCTTTCTTTCTCTTCCCATTATTTATAGACCATAGTATGTGAAAAAAAGCAAATGGATTAATTTTCTTTATTCCTACATCTATTTGAGGAAAGGAAAAATTGTGATGACTGAATGCACCAGTGGGTGTCCTCTGTTAATTACTGAAATAGATTTTAAGTGTTATTTTAAAGGGTAATACTTATTTTCTGTTTTATAGGATAACTAATGTTAGAGATACTGTTAGGTTTTGGAAATTGCAAATAAAAAATCTTATTGCGTTAGAAAAAAAAATGACATAAAACATTGTGCCTAACCTCTTGGCTAATTTTTTTAAGAAAGAAAAATAGAAGAGAATTTGGTCAGCACTGATAATTGTCTAATATTTTTCTTGGATTATAGGCATAAAAGATGAATACACCCTGATTTCCATGAACCTCCCCCCCCCAACCGACACCTGTTTTCAGTTCTCTCTTTCTTATCTCTCCATATTCAAGTTCTGATGGCAAAAAGGGAAAAACTGAGAAGTATTTATAGGTACAGAGAGGGAAAACTCAATGTTAGATTGACCTGTTCAGAACTCAAAAGCTTTTTTCTTCGGTTCCAAAAAGAGAACTCTGAAATATCCCCTATCCCTGAGACTTCCTCCCAAGGACAATTAGATTGAAGTCTAATGGGATGTTTTTAATTCCCTTGTTTTATTATCTTATTTGCGTTTATGCAGTAATTTCATTTGATGGATACCATGAACTGTTATTTTAAAACACATATTATTCATATCAATATAATTATGGAGTGTTTATGCACCTCTATGCCTTTTTAGCTGAGGGATGAACTTATAAATATAAATGGAAGATGATTTTATTCTGTTTATGCTTCGATCATAGCAATTTTCCCATTGTTCCTCCTTGACCTTTAACCAAGTATGATACTTGTGAATGAAGGCAAATATATCTGTCCCGCGATAATGTTGCAGGATACAATCTGGGTCAGTCACTGAGATCAGATGTTTAGTCTTCCAAGCTGTCATGGCTCTATCAGAGCCTGAGTCCACATAGGAGGATGAGCTGGAGCTGGGGCCGACGGAGGTCAAGGGGATGGCCTTGTTGGCTTTGGTTGAACGTGGGGAGGAGCAGGATGAGGCAGCCCTGGGTGGGTCCCTTGGGCTACCACCATCTGAGGTGGTATTCAGCAAGTTCTGACCAGTTCTGGAGAACCGGTAGCGGAAATTTTGAATCGTTCGGAGAACTGATAAATACCACCTCTGAATGGCCCCGCCCCCATCTATTCTCTGCCTTCCGAGTCCCAGCTGATTGGGAGGAAATGGGGATTTTGCAGTAACCTTCCCCTGGAGTGGGGAGGGAATAGAGATTTTATAGTATCCTTCCCCTGCTACGCCCACCAAGCCACGCCCACAGAACCAGTAGTAAAAAATTTTGAATTCCACCACTGGACGGCTTGCCAGCAGGGAATAATGGGGCCAGGACGACCAAGAGAGGGGGGAAGAGAGGGCAGGCAGTGGAGATGAGGAGCGACGGAGCTCAGGCGATGAGCAAGGACTGCCCCCACCTGATCCCCAAGCACAGAGAGTGGAGAGGAGGTGGGAACAGTGCAGGCTGACCCAATGACTTGGGAGGAGAGCGCCCAGCCCCTCTTCACAAGGCACACCTGGGGAGAGGCGCTTGTCAGGAACAAATGCTGAATTCATGGGATTTTGTGTGCCATTGCCGATGTCTGGAGTTTGCTGGACTTCTTGCCTTATAATTGCCTTATTCCTTTGCTTCATGGACTTCTTGCCTTGTTCCTTTGCTTCATGGACTCATTGCCATGTTCCCTTGCCGCGCTGGACTTCTTGCCTTGAAGCCGTTGTGCTAACAGTGTTTTGCTGGACTACTTGCAGCCAGAGATGTGTGTGAGAGTGCTTTGCTCCAGGACTTGCCATAAATGTGGGAGCATTTGTGGGAAAGTTGAAACAATAAAGGGGAGTTTGAACTATCAACTAACTGTGTTGTCTTTGTGCCTTGCCCTGGGTTATCACACAAGCATTCAGACTTGTGCTGGAGCCCATCTTCAGGGAACTTCTCTCTAGTAATCTAACTTCTCATTCCTCAATAGAGAGAATTCCCTGAGGATGGGCTCCAGCACAAGTCCAAAACTTGGAAGATGAAATCTCTGATCCTGGTAACTAACCCAGATTGGATCCTACACAATTACTTGTGATATAAGTTTGTTCAGCTGATGATCCCAGTATAAATCATTATCAGAAGTGAAATGATCAAGGGGGAACCAAAGGTGAAAAAAGAGCAGAAACTAATCAATCCTTCAACCTCTTTCAGCTAAATTCATAGTTTGAATTACAAAGCAATGTTTTTACCAAGAATCTAGATGATTAATAATAAGTAGCTAAATAGAAATATGTGACACATTCATTCAGAGAAAGTGAGATCCTGAAGATTCTATCATTAATTCTCTATATAAAAGTTGAATTTGTGGAATGGTTACACTGGGTTTCAAAGCTGCGTATTTTTGGTAGGAAAACAAATTATACTAACATACTACGTATATAGAAATTATTTCCTTGTCTTAACATTCAATATATTTATTTCTGGGACTATAGTTTACCATCTGGTGCAACTTTTATTACCTTGAGCTGTACTATTTTAAGCCACTAATGGATGATTAATTGATGCCTGTTTTAGTTAGGACCTTGGACTTTATGGATTATTGTAAATAGGTGTTCATTGACATTATTGCCATAGATGTTTTAGACCTGAGCTTTACTCTTAAATATTTTGTATTATAGAGCTGGCCAGAGTCGCTTTGGGTAGTAAGATTTAGATAGATGATAGATAGATGATAGATAGATAGATAGATAGATAGATAGATAGATAGATAGATAGACGATAGCAATAGCAATAGCACTTAGACTTATATACCGCTTCACAGTGCTTTACTTTAAGTAGTTTACAGAGTCAGCCTATTGCCCCCAACAATCTGGGTCCTCATTTACCCACCTTGGAAGGATGGAAGGCTGAGTCAACCCTGAGCCTGGTGAGATTCGATCTGCCAAACTGCTGGCAGCCGATGATCAGCAGAAGTAGCCTGCAGTACTGCACTCTAACTACTGCGCCACCGCGGCTCCTACTAGATAATAGAGATAGATAGATAGATGATAGATAGATAGATAGATAGATGATAGATAGATAGATAGATAGATAGATAGATAGATAGATAGATAGATTAGAGAGGGGGGGAATCTGCTATTGCTTGTATTGTCCCCCATTGGAGAGTGGGTGTTGGATTGTCTTTTGAAGTAAATATCTATGGAATATTTTTAATACAATTTTTATCTTATTAGTACAGGTCAAATTATCATAGTAAGCTTGTTTTCCACTTCCTTAGCTTAGAGTTGTTTGGATTTTCCCTTTAGGATTGGAGGAAGTGTTTCAACCTTGGGGAAAAATTCATAACATATTCTTTTTCTTCCTTCCTTCGCAGCATTCACAGCCTCTTCTTTTTTTCAGATGCCACAAAGAAAACCATGTGAGAGGTTTGCTTTGTGGGGCAAGGGCAGGGTACGAGGAGCTTCGGATCCAAAGCCTTTAAAGGGTTTGGTGGTAGTTAATGGACTGAGCTAAGACTCCAGTTCCACCTCATATGCATTTTGCTCCCTTCCTTCCCAGCTTTGATGATTTTTTATTTTAAGATTTTATCTTGTTCTTTTTACTTGTAAGCTACCTAGAGCCTCCTCTTGGTCACATGGACGGCATACAATTTAATGAATAAATAACATAAATAAAGTTCTTCTTGCCTGAAGGGAAATTTAGACCACGTTAACTTAGGACCTTAAAGCCTATTTTTGCTTCTGCTGTACAAAAGTAGAATTAAGAACAGCCTCTCTGCTTGACCTCTATGCATTTGCCCTTTACCAGTTCCCATGGATTCAAAGTGGTAAACTTATATTTAGAACATAAACACATGTAACCATTAAAAAAAAAGTCAGAGGTTTACTGGTTTTGAACAGATTATATACAGTGTGGAATCAGGCTCTGGCCTTAATAGGTATCCTCTATGGAATGGAGTCTTCTCCAGATGCACCAAATTGAACAGAATTCTCTGGACAACTCCTAAAATTCTGCACTTTGGTGCAAAAATGAACTTATGGAATCAAGCAAACCAAACCTTAGTCCAAAGTCTCTAGACAAGATAAAGTTGATGTTGATCTATGATAGGTCTATTTTGCTAAATGATTTCCAGCTTGTTCTAGACCAGGGATAAATTAAAGAATTGCATAGTAAGTACCATATTTATGTTCAATCCTGAGATGGCATTACAGGTAGTCCTCGACTTATGATCACAATTGAGCCCAAGATTTCTGTTGCTAAGTGAGACATCTGTTAAGTGAGTTTTGCCCCATTTTCCAACCTTTCTCACCACAGTTGTTAAGTGAATCACTGCAGTTGATAAGTTAGTAACATGGTTGTTAAGTGAATCTGGCTTCCTTATCCACTTTGCTTGTCAGGTCATAAAAGGGGATCACATGATCTTGGGACACTGCAATGGTTATGAGTATGAATCAGGTGCCAAGCTTCTGAATTTTGATCACATGATCATAGGGATGCTGTAAAGGTCATAACTGTGAAAAATTGTCATTTTTTTCCCAGTGCTGTTGTAACTTTGAACAGTTGCTAAATGAACTGTTGCAAGTTGAGGATTACCTGTATATTCACTTTTCTCAAACTGATGCATTGAGACTACAGTTGACTCACAGGATGAGAAAGGAGGTTTTATCCCTCAACACTTTTTATTGTTTACAGTTGATGGTGGCAATTATATCAACTTAAAAAGGGACAACTTGCCATGGCCAACTCACTGTGGGACAACTTGCCATGGTTAATTCACCGCGAGACAACTTATCACAGGACAATTCAACAAATATAAAAGTTAAGTTAATTTCAATGGAACTGTGGCCAATATTAATAAAATAGTCAATCCAGAAATACAAGAATTACAATAATTTCAATAAAAGTGTGGTCAGCAATAATAAAAGTAACTGAATAAAACAATATGTTTAATTGTCCCATGGCGAGTTGTTCCACAGCAAGTTGGCTGTGTTGAGTATTCCATGTTGAGTTGGCCACAGCAAGTTGTCCTAGATCCATATCAACTACACCTTACCTAGACAGATGTAGCTTGATTGCAACTACCCATCCTCTGGTAATCTCCTACTTAGCTATTGCAATGCAGAGTAGAAGGGACTGTTTTTAAAAATTGTTCTAAAATATCACTGACTCTGACTGAAGGTAACAGCACCTGGTTGATCTTGGATGGTCTGAAAAGTTAAGGAGGGTGAGCTTGGTTAGCACTTAGATGAGAGATATCTAAGAAACAGCAAGGATGTTAGCTAGACTGGGATGTCCAAAGTCAAGCTCAGTTTGAAGAAGTCTTTATCTTATACAATATATAGTAAACATATACTATATACATGTAAATGCACACTCCCAAAGTCTATACATATACATAAAAAGAAATGCTATTCATTCATTGTGTGTTTATTAAACCTAGGTTTAAATAACTGCAATTACATTTGGTTTATTACCAGGCACAATTCTGTGCTAGTTTTAACCTTAAATCAGAAATGAATGGCTTGCAGCCTTAGTGCTGTCCTGCTTGGACCATACTATTGAATATTGGCAGAGTGTTGGTGCATTTTTCTCTTCTCTTCCCTCTGTAATGGGAAAGCATAAAATATAGCTTTATGAACCGTAAAATAGACTTAATTATATATACAGAAAGGGAGAGACAAATTCCTGGCCTCACCTACATGTTTATCCTTGGTAAACTGGCTTGCATAATTGGCTTGCCAGTCCACTCCTTCTTTTAAATATTAAACAACTTGGGACAAGGTTACATCATAAGCTACCATTCTTCCATATATACATTCTATATATTCTTGAGAAGACCCTCTAATATTTTGCTTTGCTCCCATCGGTAAGGTTGCCGCTTAGGAGAAAATCTTTATGGTAATGGTATTCCAGTTATTGTCCCAAAGGGGCTTTTTCAAGAGGCAGCTAGACTTTCTGGTTTTTCTTTGAAGACCAGAGCTGAAGAAGTTTCTTGGAGGAGAAGTGAAACAACTTCAAAGAAGAACCAGAAAGTCCAGATGCCTCTTGAAAAAGCACCTTTGGGACAACTGAGAATCTCCATAAATATTCCAGTTATTGAACAGTTCCCAGGAAAGTCTGCCTCATGCTGCCTTTATGGTATTTTCAAAATCAAACGAAAGCCATTGTGTACAAATTCAATAAATACACCCATCTCAATGTATCTGCTAAGATTCCTCAACTGTCCCAGGATTCTAGAATTAATGTTACTTTTATACATGTGATCTCAAAATCCATGGCCATAGTTATTTCCCTATGTCTACTTAATTCTTCTATACGGAAGCATAGTTTTGGTTAACATCATTTGTTCCAATAAAAACACATGTTGAGAATATTATTAATACTTTTATTGTAGCCTTTTTTTAACATACTGACTAGAACGCCAGAGTTCAGATATGTTGGACACTGATATAAAAATAATCCAATTTTTAGAAATTATACTTTAGAAACTACATTACTGTATAATTACTGAAGGTTGCAAATAAGATACGATTTTAAATAACACTGTGTGGGAAAATTAAAATAACCAAAACAAATCGGAAGATATGTTCACAAATATGCAAAGCTGAACAATGTACAATACAATAATTACAAGTCATTGATGGTCAGTAATTCAGGGTCATCATGGAGAAAAACACAAGGCATGATTTCTTTTTGAAGGTATCATATGCAGCTTTGAGCGTGGCCTACTAAAAGTGACAAATGTAAATTTTATAAGAAAACTAAAAGACAGAGAAGATTTCATGTAAAATTAACATTAGGTTCAAACTTTTCACATACTCGTGAGTTAACAAGTGATATAAGATATTACATGCTTCTCTGGAGAACTTTCTGTGAAGCTAACTAATTTCATAGAAATCAGTGCTTATTATTTTCGTGCAAAAAATATCTAATTTATATATTTCACAAAGAAAAGCAGGACTAGGCAGTTTTTAATGCAGCTGAAATGAGGAGGGTCAGCATAGTTGATCACCCCTGAATTAATGTGCCCATACTTATAGATATTTATGTTATCATCGTAAGGCCAGGCCTCCAAGGGAGAAAAAATATTTGGTCTGATAGAACTTATTTCACGTAAGTACATATATTCATAACCTTAAATATTTTCTCAAAATAGTCAAGCTTGCCCTTTGTAAAGAGTAAATAAATAAAACCCAATTAAGGTTTTTTAAATATCAGTTTCAGCACACTGATATGAAACAATGATGATTCAAGACAATCACCTGGAAAAATCCAATTATTTCAGCTAAATAAATTAATAACTACTTTGGGTCCCCTTTATGCAGGGAAGGGTTTTTTTGTTGCTTGGCAACAAAATTAAACTCCACAGAGCTTGTTATCATCTTCGAAGAATACATCTGCAGTAGAAATGTGTGCCTATTTATGACAAGTTAAGAAATTGTTATGGTTGTCCCCAAGGAAATATTGAGAATGATGGTTGGCCAAAATTATAAGAATTCACTATATGAAATCTGTCCATCTAGTATAGAAGTGTCAAACTTGATTTCATTGAGGGTCACATCAGGATTGTGTTTGAACTGGGGGGACGGGGGGGCCTTGGCTAGCTCGACGTCACTCGAGCTGTGGCGGCCCAAGCACTCTTATGAAAAGAGTGAAAATGGGCTCCTGAGCTCCATTTTTGGCTGTGACTGCCTCCTGCAATCCTCTGCCAGAGAAAACGGAGCTTGGGAAGCCCGTGTGAGCTGTTTTCAGCTGCGACGGCCTCTGTCATACAGCCCTCCTGAGTTCCATTTTTGCTGGCAGAGGCATCGCGGGCCAGTCCTTCTCTGTTTCCAGGGGTCTCCGCAGGCCAGATCTAAGCACTGCGCGGGCCGGATCTGGCTCCCGGGCCTTGAGTTTGACACCCCTGATCTAGTACAAAACCTCAATCTCCAGGAGATCCAATGGCAGGATTCACTCAATAGGTTGAGGGAATTAATTGAGAGGATTAAATTAAGGAATTAGATATTTTGTTTAAACTTGTGGTATAAACTGATGGTGTAAGAAATAGTTCGGTTGTTTAAACTAAGGGAATGACACATTTCTTGGAAAGTCAATGTAGACAACTGTTTTGTTTTTGTTTTTTTGCTGTCTAAAAACAAAGTCCTGCTTGAGACACTTTGACCCGCCATGTTGATACCGGAGCTATCAAGTAGATGGTTAGTATGGGCAGTGTTGCTAGCTCATGCAGTACTGACCATCTCTTTGGGTGTATATATGCAATCCTGATGCAGCACAAATACAATTTGACTGCATGCTGGAAGGCTCCCCCACCCCATCCCTTCGGCCCCAAGTTATTTTGTGCTGGATCCAGGAGTTCACATTTATACTTCCTCATTTATACTCCATATCAAGCAGGATCAGAATATCAGAGTTGGAAGGGACCATGGAGGTCTTCTAGTCCAATCAGCTTTGGGGGGGAAATCTTCACATAATAGAGGGCTTTCTACAGTCTTAAATTCATCACGCAGCAAATCCCAATATAGAAGGCAGCAATCTGAACAGCACACAGTTAAATATTGTTAACAACTGTTAACATGTTGTTCCTACATCATTTCATAAATGGAGACGTTACGGACTGAAACAAAACGGAAGAGACTGCTTAGTACAGTTTTTCCTAACCTGGTGTGTTCCAGGTGTTTTAAGAAAATAACCTTCTATTATAGTCTCTGCATAGGTTGGGGAAAACTAGTTCATCTACTTTGATTGCATATATGCTATCAAGTCAGTCCCAATACTTAGTGACCACGTAGAATTTCTCCAAGATGATCTATCCCTAACTTGGCCCTTCAAGTCTTTCAGTGGTGCACCCATTACTAACTCCATCTACCTTGCTATAGGTTGCCCTCTTCTCTTTCCTTCCACCTTTCCCATTGTTAGACCCTGCTTAGTCTATAAATAGAAGAGGACCAATGTATGCTTAGGAGCACAGATGTGGATGCTTTAGTTTTATCTTAGCCTCTTGAAACAATCAATTTCCCCAGAAATACCTTGGACAATTGTTATAATTTCTGGATGTCCAACATTATGGCTAGGGATAATATTGTGCCTTTTGATGCCCACAAAGCTTTCTTTTTTTCTTCTGGATTTTAATTTGAAACAATGAATGTGAAACTAGTCTACTCTAAAGCAAAGTAGCACCCTACAATAACAACTTTTATTTCTGACAATGAGTCAGACGCCAGAGGCATTCTTAATAAACAAATTGGTGAATGGATGTATCTCATTGCTTTGCCTTTTGTCTAAATGAGTATTTTATTACTAGGCACTTACTATTTCATGGGTGCCATAGTATGCCCACCCAAATATCAACAGTGCTAAACTGTCTACTCCTTTGATTACAGAATTAGGTATAACCATAGAGGATAGTTCCAGGGACTTCATAGGAACTTCATTATTCTATTTGGAGTAGCCAATCCTGGAGGCAAACTGAATGTGGTAGCCTCTATCGTGCATATTTTCTTCTGCATCATGGCCAGTGGTGGGTTGCCCCCAGTTCAGACCGGTTCGCAAGAACCGGTAGTAAAACTGGCGGGAGGCCCCGCCCACCACCCTGGATGTCATCATCAGCGATCTGTGCACAATCCCGTTGCGAACCGGAAGTAAAGGTAAGTAGAACCCACCCCTGATCATGGCATATCTTTCTGTACCATTTTGTGCAGTGTTACAGATAGGGAACTACTGCACAAGGTAAGCATAGTCTACTCCATTGTGACTCTGAAGGACCAAAGTTGAATTGATCACATGGTCTTCTGTTCAATTTGCTCACATTCTGTACTCTTCTAATACAAATAAATAATCTGCGCATCCGGTCCTTCGCCATTTATGAACTTTTACGATTAAGTTCAAGTTCCACTCAACCATACCTATCAACTTGCCACACCTTGACAAAGATCACTTTTCAGAATAACATTTGTTTAGAACAAATATCAAAGTTTCCTATAGGTTTTTTTTTTAAATCAGGAAATGTTATAAACAAGTCTATGAGCAATTAAGTAATATACAGTACGAGATTAAGCTGTCTTGCATTATTTCTGTTTGTACATTTTGTGCATTTACTATTATCAAATGATGTAGGAGCAACTTTGCATACCTGGAAAACCTTGGCCAGGATCTGGACAATGAAATCTATTAGAGAAGATTGTATTACATGCAGATGACCTACTATACACTCGCATCGCAAAGGTGCTTTTTCCCAAAAGCAACTGCACTTTCTTGGGGTTTTTTTCTTTGAAAAGGTTTCACTTCTCATCTAAGAAGCTTCTTCAGTTTTAACTGAAGTTAGAACTTCTTCAGTTAGAATTGAAGAAGCTTCTTAGATGAGAAGTGAAAGGTTTTCAAAGAAAAAAACCAAGGAAGTCCAATTGCCTTTTGGAAAAAAAGCACCTTTGGGACAACTATGACCTGGATGATTGAGAATCTCCGTAGACAGACCTACACCCTCATTAGACAGAAAAGCGGAAACAATCCACAGAATATAACTAAATGTAACTTTTTTGCATCTGGCCTGCAGTGCATAGGGAAGAATGAATAAGGGCAATGAGTTAAGCAGCACTGCTACAAACGTAGGCCATAACTAAATGACAGGACAGATCATGGGGGAATCACTTTTTTTTCCTTTTTGGAGAGGGATAAAACCCCACCTTGGATTCTGCATGAGGATCCCATATCTCTAGGCCATATTCCCGTACCCATCTCCACCACTCGGTGAGCAACATGCTGCGAGTACCTCCTAGTAGACGCCTGGCAACAGGGCAAAGGTTCATTCCATAACATTCATTCAAGCCAGCTTTGCATAAAAAAAAAGTGGGCAACACAAACCTAGCACACTAGTCGCTATCTGTAAACACAACACACCCTAATGGCATCAGATTTAGCGTGTCATCCACAGTGTTTGTTAGTTTTGCTTTCACGATCTATTATTACGTTCACATTATGTGACACAGTTAGTGGTGAGGAACATATGCAGAATGTCTTCCTTGTCTTTCCGACAACCAGACGTACGGAACTTGCTTTTCACACCTGCCTTCTTTTTGCTGCTCAGCTGGAGGTGGCTCCTTGTGCGCAGCTCCTTCTGAGATTTTCCACAGGTTGAAAGTACACAGTTGTGACCAAGTTATTGTCTGATGACTGCATACTCGGGAACACGCTGCATACAAAGGTCTCATTTGTCACTCAATTGCCTTTTTCACCTGCATTAAAAATAATCTCTTCTTCTGCTGTCATCGCTAATGAAGGATGGGTTATATTGTCCAGGGTATATACAGGAATGTCGAGATCCTGGAAGACCTGTGTAAGGTGGATAGATCCCATTTCTTTCTAGTTCAGGATTCCTTAGATTAGTTGGCTAAAGGAGAGAGATTTACACAGAAAAGAAGGAAAGAATAATTCAACACTTGCCAGGTTTTTTTTACATGGACAGAGCTAAATATTGCACAAATGGGAATTTCTCTGGCAGGCACTTTTCTCCCCAAACCTTTCCTTATCTTTCAGCTTCGTATACTTCTAGAAACAGAGGGGATTATATCTCTTCACCATTCTTCTATTGGAAGCCATTCAATAATAATGAAGATTGCATTCCAATCCCATGGGATTTAAATATGAATATACAGCAAGAGGAAAACATCATAGTGTCCAAAACAAAAGAGGAAAAAGTGGTTAAAGAAACAGGATAAATCTATGCCTATGAAATCAATGTGATAGTATTCTTTTCATTATTATCTAACTTAGTTAAACACCTTTGGGAATTCAATAATGCAAAGGGAATACATTCCTGATCAATTATCAACAACCTGGCAACTCGTTTAAAAATATTTTAAAAATACCTTAAATAAAGTATTTTAAAAGAAGTATTTTCTTTTAGTATTTTCACATAAAGAAATGAATTCTAATAGATTTTAGACAGAAGCAGTGGGTTCCTACAACTTGCAATACAGGTAATCCTCAACTTATGACCTTCATTGAGACCAAAATTTCCATTGCTGAGCAAGGCAGATGACTTTTGCCCCATTGTATGACTTTTTTTTGCCACAGTTGTTAAGCGAATCATTCCAGTTGTTAAGTGAGTCATGCAGTCATTAAGCAAACCTGGCTTCCCCCATTGATTTTTCTTGTCTGGGAAGTTTATACATGGCTGGGAAGTTTATACATGAGGATCACGTGACCGCTGTAAATGGATGCTAAATGAATGGTTGTTAAGTCGAGGACAACCCGTATTTGAACATTACTGAAGAAGCTACCATAGCCACCAATCCAAGTCAGTATGAAATACTATAATATGAACAATCTCATAACCTTCATTTTGTTCATTTCTCAGTGACCGTTTGCTGTATTTTCACTTTGTGTTGAACAATTGATAAGAGAATCCTGCTTTTTTATTCTTACGCATCTCTGAATGATTGCAAAGTGCCTATCTTTCCCAGACATTCATTCAAAGTAGGAATATATACCATATAGTAAACATCCGTCATCTGTAATAGGTTTTTAGTACTCCCGTTCTCTTGCATTTCAATGGTTTCTCTGCTCCAGTCCTGAACACGAGGGTTTTTGGGATATTCTGCATACGGTGACATTTGGAAGTCACCGCTTTTGAAGATGAGTTTGCTTATATCATTTTTATTCTTTCTGAAAAGAAAAATACATTTAGCTGAGGCTAAATAAAGTGAAGTGGAAAACATGGATTTGAAAGTGCCCACTTATATACATTGGGTACAGCTGTGGTGGCGCAGTGGTTAGAATGCAGTATTGCAGGCTGACTCTGCTGACTGCCAGCAGTTCGATCCTGACTGGCTCAAGGTTGACTCAGCCTCCCATCCTTCCAAGGTCGGTAAAATGAGGGCCCAGGTTGTTGGGGCCAATATGTTGACTCTGTAAACTGCTTAGGGAAGGCTGTAAAGTACTGTGAAGTGGTATATAAGTCTAAGTACTATGCTAGAGGATTATAAAAGTTTTTTTTTTTTAGCCTAATCTACCAATTACAGAATTGTGGCTAGGATATAATACATTGTTTGGACAGAAGGCAGGAAAACAAGAAAACAACTGGTTCTGTGGGCGCGGCTTGGTGGACGTGGTGTGGTGTGGCTTGATGGGTGTGGCAGGGGAAGGATACTGCAAAATCTCCATTCCCACCCCACTCTGGGGCCAGCCAGAGGTGATATTTGCCCGTTCTCTGAACTACTCAAAATTTCTGCTACCGGTTCTCCAGAACCTGTCAGAACCTGCTGGATTTCACCTGTGATCGAACTCTCTTCTTTAACAACATGAAATAAATAATCTGAAAAAATAATTTCCTCTATTCAGTACTAGAACATCTGCTTATTATTGCCAGCACAAGCTTCACAACATGATTGAAACTGTTTTCTGTCAGCTTGGACCTTCCTGATGTTTGCAAAGCTAACTATTGTTTAAACAGGCAAAGCAAATTGATCAATAAAGATATAATCCATAGGAGCCTTTTCAAAAATTAAAAACTGCTTTTATTTCTCATTAATGTTATTTAAATCATTTAAAAACATCAAAGGATGAGACATTTATGGTACTTACTGGCAGCATGTGACTATGAGAGCTATTCCCATAATGAGCAGAAGTCCCCCTCCAGCTGCTGCAATCACGATAGTGATAAGCTGGTATGCTAAAACAAAGAAGAGGCCATTTTAAGCACCACTCCATTTTTTTTTCCTAGAATGACTAGCAATAAATGTCTGTCAGTTTCCTGTTCTCTGCGAAAAGTCCTTAGCTGGAAACTCTGACCTATGTTGTCCCAAAGATGCTTTTTCAAGAGGCAACTGGAGTTTCTGGTTTTTCTTTGAAGATGTTTCACTTTTCATCCAAGAAGCTTCTTCACCTCTTGGATGAGAAAAAGCTTGAAGAAGCTTCTTGGATGAAAAGCAAAATGTCTTCAAAGAAAAACCAGAAAGTCCAGTTGCCTCTTGAAAAAAAAGCACCTTTGGGACAACCTGGATGACTGAGAATCTCCCTAGACATCTGACCTATGTTGCGGTCATGGAATGTTTATCTCAATCCAATGTCAGAAGGAAAGATTCAACCAACTCAGATCGTGGAGGAAATCGAACAAAAATCAGCTTGGCTGTGAGGCAATGCTCACATTGCTGAAGCTTAGGAGATGTTAATTTAAAAAACTAATTAAAATATTATATTATTATATTGTTGTCTTTGCAAACTTCTCTTCAGGACAGTCCAAAACTTTGGCTAGTTCAAAAGGCTGTAAGGCAATATGGTTTGGGAGTCACATTCTTTCAAAAGTCCTGCAAAGGCATTCAATCTCTGATCTCAAATAAATGTTTGGGTCATCTTTTAGAATATGAGCCAGGAGAGACCATAAACGTCAATCTATCTGACTCCTCGGATTTAAGATATCCTTGAAGCTATCATTTAATTTAGGGAGCACTAAAGAAAGGATTTTGAAATGACACTGGATCAGAATCCCATATTATGTTCTATCATCTTTCTAGAGTTCTGCTAAATTTCTTTTCTTTCTTTTTAATTCAGTAATTGCCAGGCTCCACCTTAGTGAGACAATTGGGAGCAGCGCCATATCACTCAACAAAACATTTTGTTTCAACTTGAAGGAATTCTGAATTTGTACATAAGCTTATTTTCTCCACCACATCAGTCCTCCAATCATAAGTGGGTGTGAATTTTGTCTCAAATAAACCTTTCACAAAATGAAAATAGCCACATTCCTCTAGTCAGTTGGACTCAAGGGGGCATCCAAATTTTCTGAGCAAATAAATAAATAAATGCAGAAAGGGAGATAGAAGATTTTATAAAGTTATAAATATATTAAACACAATATACTGTAGTATATATTAAAGTGTATTAACATATACTATATTAAAGAGCAACCAAACCTGGAAGAATTGTAAATTTTGAATGCATATTCAATTTAATTATATTTTATATAGATAAATATATAATGTTCGTATATTATATTTAAAGTATCTAGATAAAGATGCTTTTGAGGTAAATATTTTCTAAATTGATTGGTTTTATATAATTATAGATGATTTGTCACAGATATGTTTATCAGTTATAATCTGCAATGGAAGGAAGTATTAAAATTAAGGAATGCAAATAAAACTAGATAAAATAGGTAAGAACATTGGGACTGGATACGTACGATTCCTGCAGTTGAATCCCCCCAATCCAAATGGACAACTGAAAAGAAAACAGTGGAGATACAGTTTTAGTTTCTTATGTATGAACCCACAACCTGTTCAGTAGGAATCCATTCATCCACAATGAATAAAGTAAAAAGAACCCCTCTCTTGTAAATTCTAATGCTAACACTCTGCCTCCTCCCATGGACTGATTTATCTGAGAACCATTACCACTCTGTGATTCTGGTTCATTCCTCTAAGAGTAACAAATATTGTATGCTTATTACTTTCACAAATAACTCAGGGTGATGAGCATATCCACTTTCCTTCTATTTTCCCCAACTCTGTGAGGTGAGTTGGGTTGGGTTGAGAGAGTGTGACTGGCTCAAGGTCACCCAGCTTGCTTTCATGGCTAAGGCTGGACTTGAACTCAGTCTCCCCCTTCTAGCCTGGTCCTTAACAACTAGATCAGGGGTCTGCAACCTTAAACACTCAAAGAGCCATTTGGATCCATTTCCCACAGAAAAGAAAACACCGGGAGCCACAAAACTTGGGTGGGAGTGGTCAACTCAATGTCACTCCCACCCAGTCACATGACACCCCCCCAGCCACGCCTACTCAGGTTTTGTGGCTCCCAGTGTTTTCTGTGGGAAATGGGTCTCTCTCTCTGTGTCTCTTCCTCCCTCCCTCTCTTTTCTGTTTTTCTCCTTCGTGAGAAGGAGGAGGGTTGTCTTCGGGGAAGCTGCCACCGTGGCTCATGCTCTCTCCTCAGCTGTGGGCCTGTTCCCCTTTCCGTCATACCATCCTCCCAGATCCCATTCCCAGCCCGCCAGCCCTTGTGTTAGTGAGGTTGGCATCGGCCACGGCCAGGTTGGGCCAGTGTCTCAGGGCAGAGAACAGGTCACGCAACTGGGTCAGCAGGGAGCTTCAGGAGAGGGGTCAAAGAGCCACATGCGGCTCCAGAGCTGTGGATTGCCGACACTCGAACTAGACCATAGTGGCAGACCTCATTTCCTCTCTGACCTCCTGCCTCCACACAATGGACATGGGCAGCTGAGGACATCTAGGCTTACATTCAATATAATTGGGGGAAAAGGGAAAAAAAGCTCCTTATTTTTCATACCTCACACAAGTGTCATTTTCGAGTTTATACCCATCTTCACATGCTAAAAATCAAGAGAAAGAATGTTGATGAATAAAATGCCAATGGCTGAAAAAATATAACGGTTAAGAGTCAAAGGATTACTTCAGCTGTACAATATAAAGGCTAGCTTTTTAAGAAGCTGCAATATCTTGTACAATACTTTCTCCAAAAACCAGTTTCAAATTGTATTTGTTATGAGACAATAGCAGATATTTTTTTGTATGGGTTCCGTAAAATCAAATCTTTTCATTCCCAACAGTGACTCTCAGAGACTACAATGTAAGGGTGGTTTAAGATCATTAAGAAGGTAAAAAGGTGATGGACTTTTATACAGTATGTGTAAATAAAGGTCAGTTTGTAGTTAAATGTATTTAAACCAACTGACCAGTAGAGGTCAGTATTATTCCACATCGTGGCTGGGATTGAAGACTTGGTATAGAAAAATACATTACGAAGTCAACAGGAGTTCAGCTCAACTCCAAACTTTAATGAGGGGAGGGAGAAAGGGGTTTGAAGACATAAAACCTCTATTTTTTTTCCTTTGCAGGGAGAAAAGCAGCTTGGAGGTAATTATAGGTAGGAAATAAACATAGATAAAATAGATACATGCCCCCGACTCATATCTTTGCTCAGTCTTTCAATGGTAAAAATGTCACCGGAGATACAGGCACCTATCAGAATGGCCAACATTTGACAAGGAAATCTGGAAGCACTAGGGCAGACTGAAATCAATCAATGGGAAGAACAGCATCTAATCAGATAATTATCACAACATTTCCCAATTAAGCAACTAAGTACAGTGTAACTATGTGGCCCTTGGTGCTCTCTCAGCTTGGTTGCTTTCTTGCAGGCGTTTCATTAGCAATGCATTGATTATGTTACCTAGTTTGAGTAATGAAACATCTGCAAGAAAAACAGCCAAGGTCAGAGAGCACCAAAGACTCCTCATTTCAACTCTGAGCTACAGATATTCTCAGTACTTAATGTGACTAAACAGATGCTTTCCATTTCAATGATTTTTCTTCTTCTTCTGATAATTCCAAACGTTTATGGTGAAATTGGGTAATGAAAGGTGCGCAAGCAAAAAACCAAGCTCAGAGAGCACCAAGGACTCCACAGTTCAGCCATGAGCTACGGATTGTTCTTTTCTATTGACATTGATGATGGCAAAATTCATTTAGTTCCTATAAAATATTCCCTGATTCAGGGAATCATCATTGATTCCTGCTTCTCCGTACAGCAGTCATTCCTTGGAGAAATTACCACAACCCACTTGACAAAGAGACCCATATTAGTTAGTCTATGATAACAGATTAAGAGAACTCTGGTAGCACCAGTGGTGAAATCCAATCTTTTTTACTACTGGGTTTGTGGGCATGGCTTGGTGGGCATGGCAGGGGAAGGATTACTGCAAAATCTCGATTCCCACCCTACTCCAGGGGAAGGATATTGCGAAATCTCCATTCCCACCCCACTCCAGGGGGAAGGATTTTACAAAATCTCCATTCTCACCCTACTCTGGGGCCAGCCAGAGGTGATATTTGCTGGTTCTCCGAACTACTCAAAATTTCTGCTACCGGTTCTCCAGAACCTGTCAGAACCTGCTGGATTTCACCCCAGGGTGGCACCCTTTCAAACTGACAATTTGTCAGTTGATGCTAGGATTGGAAATTAGAAAAAATTATGAAATACTAGGATTTGCAGGTCAAAGTTAAACACTTACAGAAAATGAAATCTATTGTATAGACCAATTGTGATTGGAACCTCAGAGGCTCAATACTTAAAAGACTACATTGATATCTGGAAATATTTAATTTTTGAGACATGATTTTCCAAAAACAAAACAAAACCCTACCCTAATTGGAACTGCCTATATTCTTAGACACTACCTAAATAATTTTTCAATCCTTGGTCAGGATCTAAAGGTTGAATTATTATGTTTCCACCAGTCTTAGACTGTGAATCTAACTGTAGATTACCCTCATATAATATCCAAACTCAATTATAGTTTATTTAACAAATTATACTTACAAAAACCTGACTTTGCTTGATTTGTATACCCAATCGAAATCTACAATCTAGATCAGTGTTTCTCAATGGATGCTGGCTAGGGAATTCTGAGAGTTCCACACATATTAAAGTTATCAAGCTTGAGAAACAGTGATCTAGAATATTTATTTTAGACTGTATTTCTGTGAGTGTTTATATGAGTTCTACAAAGTGTTCTTGGAGCCCATAAAAGTATTTTTTATGGAGCCCATAAAAATGTTTTCCCTAACGGACTGGATTAGATCCAATTTCATTGCAATATCTCACAAATATGCCTTTTTCCTGATTTTCTGTTTTTGTTTGAAATTCAGATTAATGGAAGAGATTGCTACGGCTACAATTGCAAATAAAAAATGGGGTCACATTACTGAAATCTAGATAACATTTGAAAATTTATCTATATTATGGTTCAGTCCAGTGGTGAAATCTGAACCAATTTGGTACCAGTTCGCTCGCTGCGCACCAAATGTACGCTGCATGCACACACATGCGCAGTATGCACCAAAAGGAGGCATGGAAAGGTAAGTAGAACAGTGAGGGGGGGATCAGCTGTGACACGCAAAGCTAAACAACGCGGCACAGCTGATCGTCGGAAATACCGGTTTGGAGGAACCGGTAGCTTTTTTAAACATTTTTTTACTAAGCTTTTTTTTACTACCGGTTAACGTGAACTGGTAGTTTTTATCATTACAACTTCACCTGAACCAGAGCAAACTGGTAGCATTTCACCTCTGGTTCAGTCGGCATAGAATTGAATGTCCCTGTAGATGCACAGAGGGTAAAATTTTGTTTTGCAGCAAATGGAACTTATTCTGATGAGACCTTCAGTAAATGGCATTGGCTCCAGTTGTGGATTATCCACTTTGGGGGACGAAAACAATTCATACTTTTCAGACAATGGAAAGAGCTGAGCATAAAGATCAATTGCCTTTTTTTAACTTCCCTAGGAAATCAGACAAAACAAAGACAGAAATAACTGCACAATGTAATCTCTAAAAATGTAATTTTCATTATGGGCGTAGCGGACTCCTCCCTGGCCTGTTCCCTTTTATTTTATTTATTTTTCTGGCTATGCAAAAAGATAATATGATTGCTTCACAGAGAGCGGGCAGAAGACAATATCCCCAATATCTCCACTCTAGTTAAATAAAAGACCGAGAAACCCAATAAGCTCTTAATACTTATTCAGAGAGCAGAGTTCCTTAGCATGCATAGAAAGGCAAGGAATTGTGTTGATCTGCATAAAATCCTTTGAACTGGAACCAAAAGATTAAAAGACCAGTCCCAGACACCTAGCTGTGTAAAGCACAATACCTCTGCATGAATGATCCAGTTTGTTATATTTGAAATACCCAGGTTTACACTGGCAAACGGCAATGCCATCCAAGTCTACACACACCGAAGTCCCTCTGTCACATTCCGGATCTTTATGTTTACATAGACCACCAACTAAAAAGAGAGAAAGAGAGGGGGGGGGAAATACATTTTCAGTGTTATAACTTTGCTTGGAAAGGAAAAAAAAGCATCTTTACTGGATTCTTGCTTTGCAAATTACAACTTTTACTTGATTCTGTACTTAGCTTCCCTTCTGAGATGTCAGCGTAAAGGACCAAGAAAAGTTATGCTTTGTTCATCTCTCAAAGAAAAAATATAACAAAACTCATCTTATTTTCTTTCGAGTTATACCAATAAAGCTAAAATCACATCACAGAATTTTTGATGTCCCAAAGTGCTTTCTTGTCTTTATCTAAACTATACGCAACTAAGAGTCCCATCCAAATAAAAGCAACTGTAAGAATATACCCAACTCTGCTGCCAAGCAAAATAGGCATTAAAATAAGGAGTTTAACTGAAATGAGCTTCTTCTCTATTAACACTTTTTCTGAGGATGAGACTAGAGAAGATTTCTTCGCTCTTCCTTGAGTTGCAGAATTTCTGTGTGAAATTTAGCACACAATGCCAGTTAGCTTACTTTTAGAGTTAGGAAATGTTACGTCTCTCTGCTTTCTTTTTTGATTATTATATTATATACACCCCATGAGAAAAACTCACACTAAAGATGTGGGATTTACATTTATCTACCTTGGCAATTTTCTACATTGGTATTTCGGTTTTTGTTTTTCTGACTTGTGTGTTTTCCCTGCAGGCCTTTCATGAGGTGCCAAGCAGACTAATCCTTTTCATAAAGTATCTCAAGGGCAATTGTGTGATTATAGTAGTGCTTTAACAGACTACGGATCTCCACCAATAGATTAACACTCTTGAAAAATCTAACTAATCACAATGTCTTTGTAACTGCTATCTTTTTGTTTTTGTTTTAAATGTATCCTCCCTGTTATTTGATTCTCAGAACTGTGCGCAGGTCATTAGAGACACGTTCAAATGTTGTATCTCTGAGATGAAAGGCCTCACATACAATGAAAACAGCCTTCCCATGTATAGAGTATTTTTTTAATAATGAGACAAATGACACATGTCAGAACAGACTCGATCTTTGCATTCCAGCCTCTAGATGTTTTGAGATATCTCCAACTTCAACTAAGACAGCTATGAAGAAAATGTTTTTGTTTATTGTAAATAAACTTATTTTGAAACACTTTTCTTTGTTTAGAAACTCTAACACTATTTACCTCTATAGAGCTGGGTCAAGTTAGAGATGAACTGGCAGGGTAGGGTGGGAGCTTTGCAGGCTCGGATCCGGCTTTGCACTGTGCCAATTACTTCAGAAAAGGTGACGTTGGAAGCCATGGAAAAGGTGCTCAGGATGGATATTTGAACAGTACCTTCCTGCCTGAAGAGAGAGTAAGCCATTTAAAGTTACTTGCTTTTCCTCCAATTGTGGAAGCATAACATAGAAATTTTTAAGTCAGACCATTGGAATGTTGTACATATACATATACATATACATATACTGTACATATACATATACACACACACATATATATATGTGCATATGCATATGCATATACATATGGAATGTGTGTGTGTGTGTATGTATGTATGTATGTAAAAAATTTTTAAACTTTTAAACGTTCCAGAGATCGTGATGTCTATCGCCTCTTCTATACGTATGTATGTATGTGTGTGTATATATATATATATATATATATATATATATATATATATATCATACACGCACACACACACATATATATATATCACAAATATATTATACATACCATGTTTCCCCAAAAATAAGACCCAACTGGAATATAAACCCTAGCATGATTTTTCAGGATGCTCGTAATAGAAGCCCTACCCACAAAATAAGCCCCAGTTAAGCTCATCAGCCAGATGCTTTTAGTACCGTATTTCCCCGAAAATAACACCTAACAGGAAAATAAGCCCTAATGCGTCTTTTGGAGCCAAAAATAATATAAGACCCAGTCTTATTTTTGGGGAAACACAGGTGCGCGCGCGCGCACACACACACACACACACACACACACACACACCAGCCATAACAATAAGGAAGGGAAGAAAATATAAAATTATACCCCAGCTCTTTCACTGTGATATGCTCCTTACCTTGAGGCTTTAACAGTTGAAGTATAATAACCAGGAACTGTTGAAAGGGATTCGTTCAGCTGAAAACAAGGGGAAAAAAAGCTCAACCAAGAATTCTAAGTTTGGCAATGGTGCCTTGAACCCAGGACTTACCCAGGATCCAATATAGTCACCCAACTGCCAATGGCATATAGTTGCCCTCTTATAGCTTGCCCATTTCGTCCCTTTCTCTCTGAATACTGAGAGCATCAGGAGATTTTATTAAAATTTCCAAAAAAGGCCTCACACAAGATGCAGTTATGAAAAAAAATATTTAAAGGACAATTATTACACTCACCAGGTTTATGATAACACTTTCAATTTGATGTAGTTCTGCATAGGTCCCTTCAGTTGTGTTAAATGTTAGTGGAAAGTGACCAACAAACGTCCTTACTGTGGATGAGAGAACACCTTGTTAGCTAATACTAAAACTAGATCAATGGTGGGTTGCCACCAGTTCAGACCAGTTCATAAGAACCGGTAGTAAAACCGGTGGGAGGCCCCACCCACCATCCCAGATGTCATCATTGACGATCTGCGCATGCGCAGAAGCAAGGCACATGCATGAGCGAAGTGAGCATGCTCGTGCGATCCCGTTGTGAACCGGTAGTAAAGGTAAGTAGAACCCACCCCTGGACTAGATCCCCCACTCTCTTTCTCTCATGCATACAGACATATTCACTCTTACGCCTTTTTTTTTTGCAAAATAAGGTAGAAACATGACTTTTGATATGTAAGTCAGGGCTTTGACTCTATGGGCTAAGCTGCATTTGTACAAAAGATGCAAAGACATAGAAATCATCTATAGAAGGATACAACCAAGAGTGGGTATCATCCTCATTATTTTGACTTCTAATCTGCTTTATGGCCCATTGGGCACGCCTGGCAGCTACTACCTTTCCCTTCTAATGGTATTTTTTCCCCTTGCAAAATTCCCAGCTGCTTTCCTAACAGCAAAAAAGATACTTTTCACAGCCACAAGAAGAATAAAAAAAGCCATTAGTATGGATTTTTTTTGGGGGGGGGGGAATATTCCAGGGGCTGGTGGAAGGACATTAAGGCAAGAACAGCCTGATGCAAATTTAGGTGACCTACAAGGATGAGGATTTCAATTGCCCAATTTTCCCCAAATTCTAGGAATTAAAATTCTGGGAGGGTGCTTCAGTCTGGGAAGGTTGCTAGAGAGGCCAAATAACTAAGGTTGGGCAGACTATCAGTATTGGGGGGTAGGGAGAGAAAGTTGGTAATCTATGGAGTAAGGAATGAAGGAAAGCTAGAAAAAGAACTTGGCTAGGAATTGTGGACATAAAAGGGTTTTGAGATAGAATGATTTTGCTATAAATATAGAGAGGTCTAGAATCAGCTAAGCATCAAAGTCCGTAGTCTGTGGCCATGATCGTTTGCATTCCCAACCTATTACAGAGCTTAGGTTGACTCAGAAGGCTCTCATCCCCAAGGGAGTGTATCACTGGTGAACTCTCATGCTGTCTTGATAGGGATAGTCCTGTGTTTTTCATTCGTAGCAAGAAGAGCGATGAGTTAAAGTACAAGAGTCTGTGGAGATTCTCAGTCATCCAGGTCATGGTTGTCCCAAAGGTGTTTTTTTTTCAACAGGCAACTGGACTTTCTGTTTTTTCTTTGAATACGTTTCGCTTCTCATCCAAGAAACTTCTTTAGCTCTGAACTGGATGGTGGGGAATGGAAGGATTTATACTTCTAAAAGGATGCAAATGACCAGCTGTCTGCAAGGAATATAAATCCTCCCATTCCCCACCATCCAGTCAAAGCTGAAGGAGCTTCTTGGATGAGAAGCGAAATGTCTTCAAAGAAAAATCAGAAAGTCCAGTTGCCTCTTGAAAAAAACCCACCTTTGGTGCAACTTAAAGAGCTTTATTTGAGTTTTCACACACATTCGCCTTTTTAGGATTGTTGATTTCAGTGGAGAACATGGGAGAAAACTATGACACAGGATGCAGTGAGAAGAAGAGTAGGAAGACTCAAATAAGTATTTTAACCTGAAGTTGTCATAGTCTTAAAAAAAGATCTTAGTTTAAATCATATGAATAGTGTCCAGTGCTGCAGCTGGTACCACATGAACTGGGTTTGTGTGTGTATGTTTTAACAATGGCAGTTGAACCAATCGTCAAATCAGTGTTTAAGACACATGCTTCTCATATTCTTATTTACAGTATCTATATACATTTTTTAATAACATGACACGCCAGTACAGATGCCAATGTGGAAATTGTGGCTCTGAGGTGGAACTGCTGCTGCTCTGACTGCAGGTTGGCAGGCAACTACTTGGCATTCCTCTTCTGGCAACCTTAAAATGGCAGTTGGCGTGCTTCAACTGTTTTCTCGGTGCTTTATGTCTGAAATTACATTGATGTGAAGACAAGTATTCTCAATGTGGTTTTGCTGCAGCTGTCCAAAAGAATAGGGCTCTCCAACCTTTGGGCTTGTAGACTTCAACTCCCAGCATAGCTGGCTGAGGAATTCTGGGACTTGAAGTCCACAAGTCTTAAGGTCTCCAAGGCTGGAAACCCCTGGAGAAGAAAATATGGCCACTGAAGTGACATGAATCCCATACCTGTCAGTAACTTGAATGTAATAATCTTGCCCAAAGATCATAAGTTAGGCTTACTTATGAAGTTCAAAGTCAACTGTATTGCCAAGAATTCTCCTGATTATTATATAATCAAACTGATAATATCAGAAATCTAATATATATGGTAATGTAATAGAATATACAGTGTCAAATTAAGGTCACTAATCAGCAAAATGAAGTTAGGGTTAGGGTTAAATACATTTTTGGTAAAAAAAAACAATTTTTTACAATGACAATATTTTAGCTATTATTATTTTGCTTCTTGGCTCTTACCCAAGTTGCATTTTCCTTTTCCCATCTGATAGCCCAAGGAACAAATGCATTGGAATGAACCTTGTACACGAGTGCATGTAGACATAGGCGGACAAGGATTAGGCAGGCATTCATCTACATCTGAAACAGAAGAGAGAAAAAGGAGTAAAATGGCCATTGTAGAATGGCCACCTATGTCTTCAATAGAAAGCACAGGGTGTACAGAGAAACAGTTGAATTATGACAAAGTGAATGACTGGACCATACATACAGCCATCCAGATACTGATGTTATGGAGATCACTGAATTTCTGTGGCACAATCTAAGGCAGGGGTGGGCAACTGTGGCCCTTTTACAACCTGTGGACTTCAACTCCCAGAATTCCTGAGACAGCCAAGCTGGCTCAGGAATTCTGGGAGTTGAAGTCCACAGGTCATAAAGGGACCATATTTGCCCACCCTTGATCTAAGGGATTGGAGACTGGCAGAACCTAATGAGATATAGGTTACTTACCTTGGAACTAGCAAAAGGCCAGCTCAGGATTTAGCCTTCTTCCAGCTCCAGATAGAAAAGAAAACTTTAGAGGGATTAATCACTTTAGCAAAAAAAAATCTTTATGCCAGTAGGCCAGAGCTGATAAAATTAAACTTTACATCATTTATAGAAGAAAGGGCTGGACCTGTTTGAAGTCCTGTACAATTATCAAATCATTTCCTTGCTGGTTATAGCATTACTTTCAGCTTCTCCGATATTGGGATACTACAAGTTGTACTTGGTATCATACGCATTTATTTTTTGGAAGATAGCCTATGACACCTAGTAATAATATTGGCCACTTGATGGTAAAGACAAAGTTTCTCTTTTCAAACAAGAGACTTGAAATAGACCTCAAGTACTCAAAATTGTGATTTCAGATTACGCGATGATTACATGAATTCTGTAATTGTGAATGCTTATTGCAAACATTTATTAGGAGACTTGAGCACTTGCGCAATAAAATTATTTTCAGGAATGATAGATAATTTTAAAAAGGTGTTACTGTGGATTTTACTCTGCTAGTTGTTGCTGACTATAGGGGGTAGTGCTCATCTTCTTTTCAAGACCATTGAGCCAGCATTGTCCGAAGATATTTCCAGAGTCTTGTGGCCAATATGATGTCACAGAGTGCTGTTACCTTCCCACTGTAGTGGTACCTATTGATCTACTCGCATTAGCAAGCTGCTAGGTTGGCAGGAACTGAGGCGAGGATGGGAGCTCCCCCTGTCGTGCTGCGCCTGGGTCTCAAACCTGGAATGTTGGCTTTCCAACAAGCCCAGCTTCTTAACTGCTGAGCTGCCTTATAGTAGATAATATACTTTGAGATTTCTTTTCACCTTCTTCCACTTAATTAAATTGCATATGCCTTTGTGATTATAGAAAAGAGTCGACATTTCCACCATTACTTAGCAATATGTTTAAGTGTTTCTTCGCATATTTGCTGCTATTTGTTTTTAAGAAATTGACCTACACATATTATTTTTTGTCTAGCCTTTTCATAGTTTAAAGATTTTCCTTCCCCATTTTCAAATAACTTTTAATTCTATATGGCATCTTTACATCTTACTCTGATCTCCATGAAATTCAAATACTTTTTTTAATCTATGCAAAGTGCTCCCATTCCAGTATGCAATTATCTACCACAAGTTAAATTCATTTTTCAGGCCAATGTTGTTTCCAACATTTGTAAACAAAAGTACCTTTTCCATAGACAGTTGGAGATATCTTTGAGCTTCCTAGATTCACAGTCGTGGCTCGTCCGGAAGGAATCAGTGAAGCAGGAAAAGACTGAACAGTGGTTTTTTGAGAAGTTAAAGTGTAGGGAGAAGAGGTAATAACAACCCTGGGCACTGTGGTTTTCACAGTAGTCATACTGCTCTTTTCCACCATTTTGGGGGGAATTCCAGGGGAAGAAGATATTTCAGTAGGAGAAGGCAATGGAACTTTTTGAAGCTTTGTAGTGAACAAATAATTCATAGTTGATGCTGAAGTAGGCAATCTTCCAGGTGTGTGTGTTATTTCTGTAGGTTTTTTGCCTATGGTTACTGTTGATGAAGGGAAAGTATCCTTTTGAGGGGTTGTATGCAACGGTATAGCTGTAGTTGCTTTTGCGGACTCAGAAGTAGTGGTCATTTCCTGGAAATAGGGTGAAGAGGTAGTTGTAATGGGTTCATTCTCAATACTGATTCCTGGGAAAGTAAGTGTCCGTCCCTTCGTTTCCTCTTGGGAAGTTGTTCTTTGTGAAGAACGGTGGGCAGGCTGTTCAGTAATTTCAGTCAGAAGAGAAGTTCCAGTTGCCATCAGAATAGTGTTGTTCACCAATGGATGCACGGTAGTTGGGTGGTTGTATTCGCCATGGGAAGTTCCTGTCGTGCGTAGTTCTGCTCCAGTTGTTCCTTCAGGCTCAGTCATAGAAACACTTGTTTCAAGACTTTCACTAGGCTGTAACAACGAAGGTGTTGAAGAAAGTGAAGGCAACACAGAGGGAAAGAAAGGCAATGTGGGTGGTTTTGTGGATGAGAACATGGGCGAAAATGTCATTAGAGATGTGGGTGGAGATGATGATAATGGTAACGGGAAAGTAGAAAAAGAGGATGGGACAGAAGACTTGGCTGAGGAAAACGAAGTGGATGGGTGAACTGGTGGAAGTGAATCCTGCTCTGACAGCCTTGTAGAGGAAGATGAAAATGACAAGCTGTCAGTGGATGCAGATTCTGATTCTAAGTAATACTGAGTTGTGTGTGGTTCACTCACTGTAGTCGAATACTCTGGTGTTTTCAGGGAATGAACTGCCAAAGGCTCTGTTGAATTTTCAGAAAAATCCATCTCACTTGAAAAGAAAGACTGAACTGACTCGGAAGCGCTGGATATTTCCACAGAGTAAGTGGAACTTCCTGAGGAATCAGCTGAGGTGCTGTTGTTTGGAAGAGACAGCAATGTCCTTTCTCCACCCTTGGCAAAGGTAGTTAAGGTGTATGTGCTATCAGTATGAGAAACAGAGGTCTGCTTCCCAAAGTCAGTTCCACTCATTGGTTGGTATTCTGTTCCAGTGTCTGAAAAAGAAACAAACCACAATTAACTATTGAGATAAATTTTCTATTCATAAAATAAAAATGAAAGAGATGATGGTCTAAGGCAGAGCTGTTAAACTCCTGGCCGATGGGCCGAATGCGTCACGCTCTGGCCACACCCACATCCAGTTTAGCGAAGGGGAAAAAAGTCCAGATACATCACATGACGCTGCCATGACGCCATGAGTTTGACACTCCTGGTCTAAGGTACACTTCAAAATAAATGCCACAATCCTGGAACTTCTACTTTCCTGTTTACTGGTTCAGAGCATTCCAAACCAAGGAATGGATGATCTTATTACACTGCCTGCTTTCTGTGATTTCTTTGGCAGGTCTTTTGTCCCACTGTCTTCTTAGGTAGGGACTTCTGAGATCTGGTCAGACAGAAGGTGTATGTTTTGGGAGTCACTTTTATACCAATGAACATGCGATAGCAAGGATGAGCTAGGACATGGCTAGACTTTACCATTCCACAGGATGTGAAATGTCAGGGTATTCACACTGATCATCATCAGTCTTTCTGCAATGGCTTTGCCACATCGAATTACTATGGCACACTGTTCTTCTGAATCCTCTCATACATTCTGGGACTCAAGAGAATGCTTTCCAACTCTATTACAATCAAATAATAAGACTAATAATGTATAAATAGGAGTAGAACGACTGTAATCAATGAAGGCAAAGATAATAATAATAATAGTAATAGGTGCCTTGGGTGCAATCCCAAAACAATGGAGCATCACTTGCACACGACCAGCATTGACAAAATCACCACTGATCAATTGCAAAAGGCAGCTTGATTTGGAACAGCTTACATCCTGTGACAGTGCCTTTAACACCATCAAACAACATTATCTGCCTATCCCAGGTTCTTGGGAGGGACTCAATAGGTTAACAAAAATGACAAATCCACTCTAAACACCTGGTTGACTCTACCTAACAGTAGAGTATTTGTTACAAAGAAACTCAACATTAAGAAAACTAAAATCATAGCATCCGGCCCTCTCAATTCCTGGCAAATAGATGGGGAAGAAATGGAGGTAGTGACAGATTTTATTTTCCTGGGCTCCAAGATTACCGCAAATGGGGACTGCAGCCAAGAAATTAAAAGACGCTTATTCCTGGGTGGAAAAGCTACGGCAAATCTAGACAGCATACTAAAAAGCAGAGACATCACCCTGCCAATAAAAATACGTATAGTCAAGGCTATGGTTTTCCCAGTTGCAATGTATGGCTGTGAAAGTTGGACCATAAGAAATGCTGAGCGCCAAAGAATTGAGGCCTTTGAACTATGGTGCTGGAGAAGATTCCTGCGAGTCCCTTGCAAGGAGATCAAACCAGTCAGTCCTAGAGGAGATCAACCCTGACTGCTCTTTAGAAGTCCAGGTCCTGAAGATGAAATTCAAATATTTGGCCACCTAATAAGAAGGAAGGACTAATGCTGGGAAAGATTGAGGGCAAAAGAAGAAGGGGACGACAGAGAATGAGGTGGCTGGATGGAGTCACTGAAGCAGTAGGCGTGAGTTTAAATGGACTCCAGAGGATGGTAGAGGACAGGAAGGCCTGGAGGAACGTTGTCCATGGGGTCGTGTTGGGTCGGACACGACTTTGCAACTAACAACAACAGTCTGCCTTTCAGAATACTACTATATGTGAAAATTCTGGAGACAATCAATTGGTCAATGGACAAGTCAAGTTGTATTTTTTGGACTAGCTGTGGCTGGTCAAAGTTTCAGAAAGCATTTTTAATCTGTTTTGACCCATTTCCTAAGGAAAAAAACCAGGATCTCATCTTGGAAAAGTATTCATAGAAAACATGTCCTAAGAAGCTATGGGTTACCCCACAAAGAAAAGGCCCTTTCCTTCCAGTTTCATGAGCTACTTATAGGAGTCTAAGCCAAGGGAAGTAATATACTATTTTAGAATGAACTCTCCAATGTGCAAATGTATTCTTCATGACACAGGAAAACTGCATTTTTTTCCCATTACAATTAACCAAACACATAGTTTATAATTTAATCCAGGGGTGAAATCTAAAATTTGTTACTACCGGTTCTGTGGGCGTGGCTTGGCGGTGGGGGTAATATGACTGGGTGGGCGTGGCCAATTTTTTTTTTTACTTTTAAAACCATTTTTTACATGTAAAACCATGTAAAAAAATGCTTTCAAAAGGCTCTGACAATCCCAGCTGAGTTGCCTGATCGTCAGAGGTTGGATCGTCAGAGCCATTTAAAAGAAAAAAAAGGCTCTGATGATCACGCGGCTCAGCTGGGCATGGGGGGTGGGGGCAGGGATTTTTGCTACTGATTCTCTGAACTGCCCGCCGCCATCGCTACCTACTCGCCCGAGCCGGTCCAAACTGGGAGCATTTCACCCCTGATTTAATCCATTGGCAAATTGGCCATCTTTATTTTACTATAGAGAATTCAAGATAAGGATTCACAAACTAGAACATAAAGAAGCATTAAATATTAGATACATAACCAACATGGAACTCAGTGCCTATTATGCCCGTCAATTACTAATGGAATAATACATGTGAGATTCAGAGAACATTTAATGTTACTTGATCTGAAAGTAAAAAAAAGAACCATAAATATATTCAAGTGCGTTACTGATTCACTTTCAGACACATCAAATAAAATATTCTCCAAGAAAAGCACAGTTCATTTACATATTAAGGGAAAAAACCAGACAGGAATTGGGTTTGAGGCTGGCAAAAGAATATAATAGGAAACTAACCTGAAAGTTCACTTTTGGAAGAAGAATCAGTTGATGAACTAAGAATTTGGAAAGCCTCAGTTGAAGATGGTGAGATATCCAAATCTTTTACCGATAAATGTGTCATTCTAGAGTATGTCTTGGATGAGGAAGGTTTTGATCTTGTGCTGTCAAAATTTTCCATATATGATGAGACAGTTTCAGACTCTTCCATCACTGTAGTGTTAATTGTAGGTTGTGTAGTTTGCTCTTCATCTTCACTGAATGGGGCTGAACTACCAGTGCTGATCGTATGAAAATGCAAAACTCTTGGCCCACTAGTTGAATTATCAGTGCTTCTAATAGCTGAAATAGTAATTTGGACACATATGTTTAAAATGGCAGATAGTTCAGTATCAGAAGTCATATTACTTATAATATTAAGCACAGTGAATTAGAAATGTAGCCTTGCATTTTGAAATGGAGTACTGCACTGAAAGTAATTATATTTGATTGGCTCAGAATGTATTGTGGTTGCCCTTTAGATCATACACATTTACTTCTGCACAAACTAAATCCAAACAAATGATATACTTCATCATAAATGTAGGTATTTTGATTCTACATACTGGATATGTCTATAGAAATAGACATGAATGCCAATTTATATGCTGGCATGCTGAATGTACGTACAATATGTTGTATGTGCATATGCATATATTTACAATATTGGACATGCACAATACAAACCGTATTGATTACAAACTACATTTTTCCTTTGTTCTTTGCCATATAGCAAACTTACTTGCTGAATCATTTGGTGACAGGGCTGTAGGAACACCAGAGGAATATTCCAGTGAATGCTCAGTTGAAGGCCCAAGGCTCACTTCACTTTGTGAGACATTATGTGTTTCTGTTTCAGGCTCTGAAGACAAAGTCAAGCTTTCCCCTGAAGATTTGGAAGTTTGGGAATTGTAAGGGTTGCTGTCAGCTGCATCCTCAGACGTGCTGTTATCCGGCAGGGATCGTAAAGTCCTTTCTGCCCCATGTACAAATGTGGTTGATAGATAGATACTGTCTGTTGAAGCAATCGAAAATCTTCTTCCCACCTCGGATCCCTTAATGGTTTGAAAATGGTCTGTAGAGCCTTAAATAAGATTAAGAATTCAGATTTCATAAGCACCACTTGTGCAATGTGTCCCAACACTACAAATCAAATTAAGGGGCATAATAAAAGAACAGACTCTCAGCAATTTGAAGTTAACTCAACACAGCATGATTATTCTCTGTCCAGAGAGACATGCTGTGAATTAAACTTCTAGGCATAATCCCTATATCCTTGTTATATACACTTTGATTTTTTTTTTAAAAAAAACTATTTTTATGGTGACTTTGTGCTAATCTTATTACAGCTTAGAAAAAAAAAGATGAGGTTCAATTCATCTATCTTTTACTAGGTAATGGTTATAAAAAGAGGTTTCTGTTTATGTATTATCTGATTCATCCAATAACTTCTCAGATTCTCTGGGTGGATATTTTTTGTGTGTGGTTTCAAGGCATTGTTGACTATCTGGACTAGCCCTTGAATTTACCTGCTTCCTAGGGCTGAGAGACAGTGATAGGCCCAAGGTCATCCATTTACTTTTATGCCTCAAGTAGGACTAGAACTCACAGTAACCTGCTTTTTGGTCCAGTGCCTTAAACACTACTCTAAACTCTCTGAGTGCATTACAAAGTTACTTTTGCTTTTCAATGCTATCACTTTTTTCAATTAGTTTGTAGTTGCATATAAAGAGACACCAGTTTTTTAAAAAATGGAATCTTATGGAGAACATAGCTACCAAAAACTAACAAGTAGCCCGAGTGGCATAGGAGGCTAATGCCTCCTAGTAAGGCAGCATTTAACATCCAGCTGCCTGCAATTACTGCGAGTTCAATTCTCACCAGGCTCAAGGTCGACTCAGCCTTCCATCCTTTCTAAGGTAGGTAAATTGAGGACCCAGTTTGTGGGGGCAATAAGCTGACTTTGTATAAAATATACAAAAGTATGAAGGCTATTGCTTAACGCATTGTAAGCTGCCCTGAGTCTCCGGAGAAGGGCGGCATATAAAAATAAATTTAAAAAAATTAAATAAAAAAAAAAGTATTTGACTTTTTTCCAGTAGTACCATAAAATCAGAAACAATTCAAGTTTCACTTATCACAGTTAATAACATTTTATACTATTGGTAGTACAGTACCTATACTATAAGCTGAAATCTCAGTACCACTTTATAAAACCTTAGTAAGACCACACCTGGAATATTGCATCCAATTTTGGTCACCACATTACAAAAAAGATGCCGAGACTTTGGAAAAAGTGCAGAGAAGAGCAACTAAGATGATTAAGGGCCTGAAGACAAAATGGAGACATATGAAGAAGAGTTGCAGGATTTGGATACGGCTAGTCTAGAGAAAAGAAAGACCAGGGGTGACATGATAGCTGTATTCCAGTATTTGAGGAGCTACCACAAAGAAGATGGGGTCAACTTATTCTCCAAAACACCGAGGGCAGGAGAAGAAACAATGGTTAGAGGTGGCATGCAGACCCCTCTCTGTGGGTGTGTGCGCCGTCACCAGCTGCTCTTCCGGGTTCCATTGTGTGTATGCGTGCCAGCCAGCTGCTCTCTTGCGGGTTCTGGAAGAGCAGCTGGTGACGGCATGCACGCCCACAGAGAGGGCTCTGCGTGCCACGTCTGGCACACGTGCCATAGGAACACAGAAAACATCAGCTGGCTGGTGCGCATGTGCATGACGGAACCCGGAAGAGAGCAGTTGGCTGGCGCATATATGCCAGTGATGGGTTCCTCCCGGTTCGGCCGAGCTGGTAGCGGTGACGATATGACGTCACCGAACCGGTTCTCTTTGTTCGGGAGCTGGACCCTCCTGCCCCCCCCCCACGTTATTCTTACCTTTTATTTGGCCCCGCCCCCAATCTATTGCTGCCTCCTGAGTCCCAGCTGATCAGCTAGAAGGAAAAAAACTGTTTAAACTCTTGCCGCGGGGCTTTAAAGGGCTGCCCTACATCTGATCAGTGTTAAAAGGCAGTGTGGTGGTAGACCGGTGCCTCCAAAAACAAATGAGTAGACTGGTGCCTCCAAAAACAAATGAGTAGACCGGTACAGCTCTGCAAGCAGTTAAAAGCCTGGTAGACCAGTACCTCTGCTAAATCCTAAAGAATTGTCACATGACCATCAAGCCACAGCCACAGAACCGGTAGTAAAAAGATTTAGAACCCACCCCTGGCATGCGCATGACGGAACCCAAAAGAGCAGCAGGCCGCCATGCGCATGCACACTGGCCAGCTGCTCTCTTCCAGTTTCTGGTGCTCTGACACGCACCCGCGCGCACTCCAGTTTCAGCACTCAGTGCCGAAAAAGTTAACCATCACTGGTATAGGGTCTACTGCTTGAGCAGAGGGTTGGACTAGCAGATCTCTATGGTCCCTTCCAGCTTATTCTGAATTGAAAGTCCTCGAGTTACAACCTTAATGGAGACGCCCATCACATTCATAAGTTATAACAGTTGTAAAATCAGACAGTCATGTGACTCACCCAATTTTATGTTTCTTTGTCACCATTTGTTAAGCAAATCACCATTATATAAATGTCATGGTTATTAAACGAGCCAATGGTTTGTTACATATGCTGTTGTGTTCCAAACCATCATACAATGCAGTCACGTGACAATGGGATGCTGCCAACCAATGTAAATGTAGCTATGTTTCCAAGTGCCCAAAAGTGCAGTCACATGACTGTGAGGAAGGGCCAACCATCATAACTTCAGATCTGAGTCCTAAGTCCCCTTTTTGGGCTCTATTGTAGCTTCGAACAGTCTGTAAATCGAGGACTATCCACGTTATGTATTTTCGTCTTAAATCATTTTAATGAATGTGTTGCAATATTTTCAGGATCAGACTCAATAAGATCAACAAGAGTTAAGATTTAACTATATATTCTTTTATTTACATTAGGCATTCTATATTCACTGAATATTCACAGATAGAAGCAAAGGAAAAGGTGTGGGAAGCTCCTTATATATACAATGGGTGGAGCTATGTGTGGGAGTGGTGAATTATGAATACATTAAGAAGTGAAGAATAAGTTAAACCCTGATACCCTGTCTGTACACTATTTACACATTGGAGAATAAGGCATTTATATCTGACAAATCCCCCTCTAAATGCCGATTCGTTATACAAACCAGTTACATTCAGATTCAGGACAATACAAAACATACAACTTAGAGGTTAAGTATTTATGCTGTTTAGAAGGTAAAGGCTTTGTTAATATATCAGCTAATTGTTCTGAAGTGTCGCAATGCACTGCTTTAATAAATCCATCCTGAGATAATTGTCTCACATGTTTAAATTTTATATCTATATGTCTGGACCTTTGTCCAATGGCATCAGACCTAGATATTTCAATGGCTGCTTTATTGTCTTCATGCATAACAAAAGGCAGAGCAGGTTTTTTCCAGACATCTGAAATTAAATCATTAAACCATACAAGGTTATTTGCGGCCTTGGATAAACAAACATATTCCGCTTCTGTTGTTGAAGTAGCCACTAGTTCTTGTTTACCAGTGTACCAGTAAACTGGACAGTCATTTAAGAGAAATACATAACCAGATGTGCTTTTTCTGCATGAGGTGTCTCCAGCCCAATCTGCGTCTGCATAACACGTAAGCTTTGGTTCTTTAATATCATTAGGCTCTAACATTAAACAAAAGTCTAGTGTACTTTTTAAATATCTTAAAATTCTTTTAACAGCTTCCCAGTGGTACATAGTTGGTTTGCTGACATGCCTAGATAATAAATTGAGTGGTAAGGCGATATCTGGTCTAGTCCAATTAGATATGTAAAGGAGTGAACCTATGATTGATCTATAGAATGTATTGTCCTTGAACTCGGGAGAAGATTCATCAGAATTTCTTAGAAAGTCAGTTTGCATAGGGGTATCACAAGGTTTGGCATTGTTTAAGTTACATTTATTTAAAAGATCTATGATCTTATCTCTCTGGGTAAGTTTGAATCCCCTTTTTGTCTTATTAATTTGGACACCAAGGTATTTGTTTACCTTGCCTAAAGATTTCAATGAGAAATGTTCATTTAGTTTAGTTACAAAAGTTTCTCTTCTTTCTTTATGTTTTCCTATGTATAAAATGTCATCCACATAAATCAATACAAATTCAATGTAATCATCACCCCTCTTGACAAAGAAACAATTATCAGCAGTAGCGTTGAAGTCCATGGTCTTAAGTACTTTTACTAAACAATCATACCACCGTTTACCAGATTGTTTTAGCCCGTATAAACTCTTGTTTAACAACCAAGTCTCATTTCTGTTTGTGTATGGACTATGAGGTGCTCTCACGTATATTTCTTTATCTAATTTTGCGTGTAGGTACGCAGTCTGTATGTCATATTGGAATACATCTAGATTGAGTGCTGAAGCTACCACTAGAGCTGTTTTGACACTCTCTGTTCTTACAGTGGGGGAATACGTGTCAGTATAGTCCTCTGGATATTTCTGTGCATAACCCTGTGCAACCAATCTAGCTTTGTATAGAGTATTTCCTCCCTCTAAATTCTTAATTTTATATATCCATCTGGTACCAATAATTGTCTTATCTTTAGGTGCAGATGCAGGTGTAAATACATTTAGTCCTTGCAAACTTTCCATCTCTTTCTTCATTGCTAATTCCCATTTTTCTTTTTCTTCGTGAGGAAGTTTTAACACTTCCTCGTATGTATTGGGTGTTGTTGGTTCACCATTCATATGCATTACATAATCCTTGTATTTATTTGGCATTTGATTTCTGGTGTTTCTAATGATTTTCTCAGGTTTACTATCGTTATCATGCAAATATCTTGCTTCCTTTTTTGTTAGTGTGTCTGTCTTTATTTTGAGTTGGCTATTTGTCCAAGTTTTGGTTTTGTTTTTATATTTGTTGATATTTTGTTTTTCTATAGTCCCTTTCTCATGAGATTTCGTATCTTCATGTTTATTTGGGAATATCTCATTAAGATGTAATTTAGACCAGTTAGCTTGTTCATGGAACACAGCTGTTCTGGAGACTATAAATTTGTTGTTACTATCAATGAATCTGTATCCTTTAGTGCCAGTCTCATATCCCATAAATCTGAGTCTCCTGGACACATTTTTCTCCTTTCTTCTTAATTGTTTAGGTATGTGTACGTCTGCTGTGACTCCAAATATATGCATGTGTGCTAATTTTGGTTTTCTATTATACATTACTTCATATGGTGTCTTATTTATAATGCTGGACCATGTTCTATTTTGTGTGTAATTTGAATAATGTAAGGCTTCTGACCAGAATTGTTTGCTTAAGCCAGCATCTTCCAATGTGCATCTAATCATGGTTTGTAATGTGGAATTTTTTCTCTCTGCAATCCCGTTTTGGAACGGAGAAAATGGACTAGATGTGTAATGTAACATTCCTTTGTCTTTTAACCATTGTGAGAATTCTTTAGACATGAATTCGCATCCTCTGTCTGTCATAATTTGTTTTATTTTGATGTTGTGTTGTGTTTCTATGCGTTTGTAAAATTCTTTAAATTTTTGAAATGTTTCATCTTTGTGTTTTAATGTGTAAACAAATCCATAGCGGCTATAATCGTCCACTATTGTCAGGAAGTAACGTTTCCTATAAGTGATTGATGGAGTTAATGGACCAACTAAGTCCATGTGTACTAAATCAAAAATTTTGTTAGTTGATCTGGTAGATTTTCTTGGCCTGGGACTAGTTTTTAGTTTTGTAGATTTACATACTGAGCATTCCAGATAATTTTCACAATTTTTTATTTTAACACCTTCTGCGTGTTCAGTCATTTTTTGCACTACAGGAAAACTGGCATGTCCTAACTTCCTATGCAATATGTGAGCACACTCATCATGAATTGGTTTACCTATCTTTGGCTTCTTATCGTTGTGTGCATCTGTGTGATCATGAGATATTTTACATTCATCATTGTCACTGTTGCTAACATTCTCATCATCTATTTCAATACAATCTTCCATATTTGAATCAATGTTATGTAACCATTTTTCTTTTGTTATTAGGTAAGGTAGTCCTCCTTTAGTCACCACAGTGCCTACATTTATTTTATTTTTCCAAGGTTGCCTTTCCTTTTGAAAAGACAATGTTAATGTCAGAATCTCTGCTTAGTTTTATGGCACTTAATATGTTATGAGGTATTTCGGGTATTAGTAATACCCCCTCTATTTTTCCTAAACCAGGCAAGGTTACATTTCCTCTACCTAATACTTGAACCTTTTCTTGGTTAGCTACCTTAATTACAAATTTATCTTCTGCAAATGAAGATAATATACTTTTGTTATTAGTGGTGTGATTAGTTGCTCCAGAATCAATAAGCCAATTATTGTTCTCACTTTGTTGTGTGTTAGTGTTGTCTTGTTTATTTAATCCATTCAGTGAACCAGACTTTCTATCCTTTGAATTGTCTCTGCCCCTCTATTCTCTCTGTGATTTGGTGGGCTCCTATATCTATGCCTTTCTATGGAAGGCTGTCTATAATCGTATTTGTTTCTGTATTCTGATCTATATCTTTCTTTTAAGAATTTTGGGCAATCTCTTCTATTGTGTTCCCTGGATCCACAATTATGACATTTAAATGTTCCACTATATTTTTCTTGGAAAGCTACTTTCCTATATGGTTTATGTTCTGTGTGATTGTTAGAACGATTCCTTCTAGAATTATCTTCTGTTATCAATTTGTTAGATAGACTTTCTATGGATAAATACCCTAGATTGATTGTGTCTAAATGTGACATAAAATTGTCCCATGATGGATCAAGTGAGTTGATAATAACACTTTTCATTGTTTGGTCTGAAATCACCTCCCCCCTCAAGTGCAGTTCAGCTCTTATTTTGTTCAAAGATATTAAATGTTCACTTATGGAAAACCCTGGTTTTATCCTAGATGAAAAGAAGTCTTTAGATATCCTTGTGGTGGTAGCTACACTGTCACTGTGATACAAATTAAACATGCATTGAATAATTTCTGAAACAGTCAAATTTGGCTTAATGCTGTGATACATTGCAGGAGACACACTAGATATTATTAAGAAAAAAGCTCTATGGTGTAAACAATCTATTTTTAGTGTCCAAGGTCTTTTTGGGGGACTAGTGATAAAAAACAGTAAGTTTTCCTTCATAAAGACAACCTGGAGCTGTTGATACCATTCTTGTAAATTAATGCCATCAACCCTTAGTTTTGGGAAGTCACTGGGTAAATTTCCGACATTATTGGGTCCATTACTTACAACCTGAGGTAGTCCGTGGTCTCGTAAATGCAGAAAATTGCAAAACGGCGTGGGGATGCTCGCTACGAGTCTGCATGATCTTCTCTCCTGTTCATGTCTTCTCGGATCGTCAGCGTAGTTTCGCGCATGCGCGTTGCTCATTTCTTCTTCGGCGGCGTCGTGGAAGGTTCTCCTCACCGCGGCCTGCTCGCTCTGCTCTTCTTCAGATGAGTCGGTCTCTGGTTCGACTTTGGGGGTTCTGGTGATGGTGGCTGTTCTTCTTCTTTTATTGAGAGCGTTGGTGCTTGCTTCGGTCTGCGGCGTAGGGCGGTATCGGCAGGGCTCTCTGGGTTCCGGCGTCAGCGCTCTAGTAGTCAGGATGGGAGCGGGCAGGTCTTGAGGCATTGGCTTGCTCGTTCGCTTTTTTGGTGCCTTTTTAGTAATTTTCAGTTTTGGCCCAAATGCAGCAAAGAGCGTTTTCATCGCTGAATTTATTTGGTGTTTTGTTGGATCTTCCTCGCTTTCTGGTTCTGATTCTTCTGAGGTGTTTGAATCTTCCTTTTCGTTTTCGTTGTCTGATAATGTTTTTCGCGCCAGAAATTTTGAATTGAGCTTGCTGATTGGCTCTGCTTCGTTCATCTTGGAGGCCGGTTGAAACCAAGATGGCCGCCATTCAAATTTTTGCGCGGGATCATCGTTTTTCTTCTTTGTAATGATTTTTTCCGCAGTCATATTACTCACTATTTTTGGATCTTTGGGTTTTTCATTGATGATGTTTTTCTCTCTCGCTGCTCCGCTGTTCTTCAGCATATCTTGGAGGTTCGCGATGAGGCTTTCATCATTCTTCTGGCTTTTTAATAGTTTTAATATTTCTGACCTGAGTTCGTTATTTTCTATTTCGATTTCCTCCTGGTCATCAATTATTTCTTCGTCTTCAGTGGTGTATTCTTCGGATTCTCTCGAAATTGCATTCGTGGATTCGTTGATTATTTCTTGTTCCGTTTCCATTTCTTTGCTGTAGGCCCTGGTGTTGGGCCTATCTTTCTTAGACATTTTAAAGCTTTTTTATTGAGTCAATAAACCATCCTCTGCTACCAGTTTTGTTGCAATATTTTCAGGATCAGACTCAATAAGATCAACAAGAGTTAAAGATTTAACTATATATTCTTTTATTTACATTAGGCATTCTATATTCACTGAATATTCACAGATAGAAGCAAAGGAAAAGGTGTGGGAAGCTCCTTATATATACAATGGGTGGAGCTATGTGTGGGAGTGGTGAATTATGAATACATTAAGAAGTGAAGAATAAGTTAACCCCTGATACCCTGTCTGTACACTATTTACACATTGGAGAATAAGGCATTTATATCTGACAGAATGAATATTCCAAGATGCACACAAGGAAGGCATATGTTTGCCCAGCTGAAAAATGGCCTTGTCTTTAACCAGCAGCAAGTGCTTATTCTGAATACATCATTTTACATCACAACCTTGTTTTCTGTATATTTATAAGAGTCCCCACATCCTTGTATTTGTGTGAAATAAATACAATTGTCATATAGTTTCAATGAGCAGAATAATCAGAGGTTGTATTCAGCCTGTTCGCACTGGTTCACGCAAACTTGTAGTGGCGACCTGGCGCTATGCCGTCCTATTTAGCCACGTTTTCTAAGCTGCACGCATGTCTGCAAGCCATACACACAAGCAAGGCGCATGCGTGGAAGGCCCACCCACAAGGGAAGCAACCGTGTGCGCGCGCGCACTCACATTTTCGTTGCATGGTAAAATTATGTGAAACCCACATAATTATATGTGGGTATAATTATGTATATAAATAATTATATACATAAGTATATAAACCCACAGCAATTATACTGAGTATAATTGCTGTGATAAATAAAGCAAATATAAACATTTTTGTCAGATAAAAGCGTGAGACCTGAGTGAAAAGGTTTACCATTTGCAGGCTTCATGCCTGTAAAAGTATACATCAGTGAAAATAAAGGTTTTTTTTTTTAATATAAACAGGAAGGGAAAAGAAAAGAAAAGAGCAATTTGGAAGGCCTATAGGGAATGAATTAACAACCTGATCTCTAGTGGATTTATAACCATGGCTGTACCAAGAATGAAAAAAAAAACAAAACTCACTTGAAAAATCTTTTGTAGAAGATGAATAACTTGAAGCTTTTGATGAAATAGTATGTGAAGACTGTTCTAGGGTTTCTGTGAAATCCGTTTCAGTAGAGGGGAAATTTTCTTTTCTACTTTGCAATGTGGCAGACAATGTCTGGATTACCGCAGAAGAACTAGCATTTTTCAAATCAAACCTTGACAATTCCGTTGTGTCTGTGGATCTGCTCTGATTAGTTAAAGATCCAAAGGTCTCATCTTGGATCACAGTAGAAGAGGACATACTCTCAGTCGGAGTGGCCTCAGTCTTTTCTATATAGAAGTCGCTCAAGGCATGTGGCCTACTTTGGGTGTCTGCAAGAGAAGAGGCAATCATTAGACAATCACTATGCATTAGAGCAGGGATGTCAAACTGGAGGCCCGCAGGCCGGATGCGTCACACGCAGGCCACATCCACCCACCTCCGTGAAGGGAAACAACATCGTGAAATGTCACGTAATGGCAACGTGACGCCGCGAGTTTGACACCCATGCATTAGAGCTTCAGACTACTGGAATACATATTGTATATGATAGCATAAGAATCATTGTTTGCTGAGAAGTTCCAGTGCATTCAAGGGAATAAACTACTCCTTTGTATGTGTGTTTATGTTGTAGCCTAATTTTATTTATATTATTACTACACTTTTCAATACAGTTTCATCACGTTAAAGACCTTCATGTCCTACTTCTCCTGAATGTAAGGGCAGAAAACATCCTTGTGATATTCTGATAAATGATTGTTCTAAAATATCTGGAGATTATCAGTTTAGGAAAAATTGTTCTGTAAAATTGTTGTAACATTTGACATTGCCTTGAACGTATGCTAGAAAACAATCAGAATAGAGAATGTAAAATTTGGAAAAGAGAATGTAAGAAAAAGGCTAAAGCATTTTTGTTCATAAATTACTTTTGAACAAAGTTTGTTGTTATTAAAATTGTTTAATATTGGATTCTTAGAAAAGAAGCTGTTATTTTAATTCTTTTTTCCACAGGAATTTGGTTTACATCAACCAACTTAAAAATTACTCTGAAATCTGACATAACAAGATATTCCTCTCTTTTACCTGTTGGTTCTGATGGAGCCTCAGAATATGTAAGTGCTTCTTCAGTGAAATCATTATTCCCAGATGATGATGAATTCATTTCTCTGGTGTGTTTTGGCGTCATTGTATAAGAAGAATCAGCAACATTGAATAAGCTAGTGGTGTTATCATTCTTAGAACTGGATATTTGGGTTATATTAAAAACTTTCTCTATTTCTCTTGAAGTTGATCGTGTGAGCTCATCATTTCTGTCTGATGAACCTGAAACAGATGCACTGTCCTGATCAGAATGGGAAAATCTGGTCTCTATATTCGAGCTGCTGCTTGGTGGATCACTGCTTCCTACACCTGAAATATAATAGTCAAATATTAGAGGCATTATGTTCATATGCTAAAGGAACACTACAAATATGTTACACTCATGCAGCTCTAATAGAAAACATTGATTTTTCAGGGAATAACTACTGTCTTATTGAAGAAATGAACGATCAAGTTAGAACACTGTAACTAAAGCAAGTTAAGTTTTTTTCATATAGAGCTCATTTTTGTGTTCAGCTATCATATGGCAGAATGGCAGAATGTAAGATTAAAACATATGAAGAATGGTTACAGGAACTGGGCATGGCTAATCTAGTGAAGAGAAGGACCAGGGGAGACATGGTAACAGTGTTCCAATATTTGAGGGGCTGCCACAGATAGGAGGCGGTCAAGCTGTTTTCCAAAGCACCTGAAGGCCAGACAAAGAATAATGGATGGAAACTGACCAAGGAGAGATTCAACCTAGAAATGATGAGGAACTTTCTGACAGTGAGAACAATCAACCAATGGAACAGCTTGCATACAGAAGTTGTGGGAGCTTCATCACTGGAGGCTTTCAAGAAGAGATTGGACTGCCATTTGTCAGAAATGGTGTAGGGTCTCCTGCTTAAGCGGGGGGTTGGACTAGATGACCTATAAGGTCCCTTCCAACTCTGTTAACTCTGTTACAACATATTTTATTCTTACTGAAATTAATTTAAAGCATTATGTTTTTCGTAAAAAATCTTAAAAGTTTTGACTTTATCTTTTATTTGAGGTAATCCTCTTTAAAACAACTTCTCTATATTTTTCTAAATGAGATCTTTCACCACTGAAGATCTCTTCAGAACTACTCAAAAAATTGCATCATAAGAGAAAAATCTTTGCTTTTGGAATACACTTTATCTAAATGTAGGCTAATGCCCCAAGAAAATGTTATTACTAACTAAGAACTTTCAAGAACTTTATTGATATGGTCTAGAACTGGACCTGCTTTTATAAATTAAATGGTTCTCTTTTTTGAAATAAATTGCCTTTACTAATTGAGCTGTGAAATATAACTTGGGAATTTTCTGCACAAGAAAGCAAAAATGCATTAAAACAATTATATAAATATATTTAAAGAAACTAGTATCCCAACTTTTCACAAATATCCATAGCCACATTCTTATCCATTTACTATAACCCAAATCTATAGCCCAATTTTTTATGACATTCAAATCATATGCCCACCTTACCCTATGCCCTGAGGAATTCTCCTATGTATTAGATAACATATTTCCACATAGTTATGTCTAACTCAAAAATAATACTTTTTTAATGATTTGAACCCAAAGGAATTATAACCATGATTCATTTTTGTCTTAGCTTCACTGTAAATAGAACTACACTGTAATTTCAGAATTGCTACATCTATTGTATTTTACCATATACAACCGACAGAGGATAAAAACACTTGCCTATTAAACTACAAAGAAAGGAGATTCTGAATTATGACTCCAATATATGCTCAATTAAAACAAGTGGAATGAAATCTACCTCAATGCTAGGAAAAAAGGCGAGCTTTTTTTTCTCACCTTGAATTCCTAGTGCCCTTTAGCCATGATTTCTTTCCTACCCATTGCTATATTAAGCTTACAATGGCAGGATGAAAGAAGGAATATGCATTTGACATTTCCTTTAATATTACAAAACCAATTGAATGGTCCGGAATCGAATTTTGGAAAAGAACTATTGGTGGGGAGAGGCTATGATAAGAGATGAGATTGATGGGCACTAATACTGTAGCAATATCAAGGAAGGAATCCACGGCAGATCATGTGAATGGGAAAAGCCCAACCAATAGAAATCTTTACAAGGCTAATGACTTTGAGTGTGGTTTCCCAGTTTGGTACTGAATTGTTTTCTAGAAGCAGCAAGAAAGCTTATCCCTAAATGTGATGCAATTAGCATGTGGATAAGGAAGGGAGAAGTAAGGGAATTTGTGAGAAGTAAGAGGATTTCTGTGTGGCTCTTTCTTCCTAGGAAAAAAGATTCAAAACAGTGACTGAATATGAATATACAAATATTAATTCTAGCTGCATGGAGAAGAGCAGGCAAGAGCAAGCAAGATCCTGTCTGCAAATGTCAAGCAATAATACAGGTAGTCCTCGATTTACAACAGTTCATTTAGTGACCGTTAGAAGTTATAACAGCACCGAAAAAAGTGACTTGTGACAGTTTTTGTAATATCCCCATGGTCACATGATCAAAATTCAAACGATTGGCAAAGGTTCATATTTATGATGGTTGCAGTGTCCCAGAATTATGTGATCATCCTTTGTGACTTTCTGACAAGCAAAGTCAACGGGGAAGCGAGATTCACTTAATAGCCATATTATTAACTTAACAACCGCAGTGATTCACTTAACAACTGTGGCAAGAAAGATCATAAAATCGAGCAAAATTCACTTCTCAACTGTCTCACTTAGCAACAAGAACTCAGGGCTCAATTGTGGTCATAAGTCAAGGATTTCCTGTAGTGTGCTGAAAACTGAAGCCAGATGTCTTTCATTCTTACCTATTTTTTGTGAAGAAGCTTGAAAATGTGTGCTTGTTCCTTCAGTGAAATCAGTGATCTGAGGAGTTAAATCTGTTTCTACCGGAGTTAACAGGTAAGAAGAACCAGTGAAGCCTGAAGAACTAGATGTTTCATTGGGCCAGGCTATGGATCCTTGTGTTACATTGTGAGCGTTACTGACATCTCTCGGGGTTCGTAATGTCCTCTGCCCATCTAAGCCAGATAGAACTGAAATGGAGATGCTGTTCAGGTGATAAGTGGAGAAAATGCCTTCTGTACTTGAGCGGCTGCTGAGTGACTGACCATTCTCTTCAACTGAAACAGAATAGGAAGGAATTAGTTTTAGTCTCATAAATATGTACACGAAAACTTTCTATCAATTTTCAAATTAAAAAGTTGTTCTTCATTTCCTTCGGAATATTTTATTCTATAAAAAATAAGTTTAAAAATTGCTCTTAACTTCCCTTGCAATTATATTTATTCCACATATGTTTGGGAATATTGAATCAGCTGCTGCTGCTTCTATTTTGAAGAAAAGGATTCTGAATCCTTATTCAGGTAAAAAAATTGAACCTAACCTGAGATTCTGGGAGTTAGGTGGCATATAAATTATTTTTTATTTAGCTTTCATTGCAAGATGAAAGTTGTGGATCCTAAGGAATCGTTTGTATGTGATAGCCCGCTGCTTGCACTGCCCAGTTCTAAATAGGCCCCGGCCTTAGTGGGCCACAGCCCGGGGGTTGGAGACCCCTGATCTAGTGGTTAAGGTACAAGGCCAGAAAGAGGGAGACTGTGAGTTCAAGTCCTGCCTTAGCCATGAAAGTCATTCTCTCTCAGCCCATTCTTCCTCAGGATTGTTGTTGTGGGGAAAACAGGAAGAGGAAGCTGTGTTGGATATGTTCACCTCCTTGAGTTGTTTTTAAAAATAATTAAGGTGGGTTACAAATAAGTAAACATAAAAATAGAGTAGAATTGTAGGATGAATACACATCCTTGTTATATATCATTCCATGACAAGAAGGATTGGAAGATATTGCCATGTACACAGTAAGTTTCAAGTTGCTATGCTCTCAGTTTCTAGGAACATAATATTTTGCTTTCTTCTTAATTTGCATTGGGCTGTTTAAGTTCCTAACCAACTTCCACTGACATCAGCATTAATTGGCTCTCAATTTCTGGGATCACTGGATTGCTTATGATAAACTCTATCACCATAATTAAATAGTATTTTTTCACAACAGACCAATATGTGTCCAAATCTGTAAGTAATCACATGAAAATTAGTACCGTTCATTTTCATCTTAATTGCACTATATGTGGGGACTGTTCTATAAAAACTAGCAGCATCTGTCTATATACCACTAAAACTCTTGTGCTGGTTTGTCACCTTCAATTGGGCAAAATTAGAAGGTATTGGGTTAACAAGATAACCAGGACAACTCAAATAAATTAATTTACAGAATCGCAGAATCCATAACTTCTTTGGGAATGAAATTTGGAAACATGTGGCCGCTGCAGTACCACTGTGCCTTCCAACTATATTTCCCAGTAGATTGCATGATACAAAGGAAGATGGGAGGGCCATATATTTTCCTCTTTTCTGCCTTCCTCTGAGTCCAACATTCAACTGGTTGTTAGTAAATCATGATAGGAAAGCAGCAATTAGTTGCTTTGGGACTGGGGCTGAAATTTAATTCTTAATGGCAGTGAGCAGTGAAGAAAGGATTAGAGAGTGACTCAGATGCCTCCTGGTAAAATGGAGCTAGGTGGGGACCACTGGTGGTTGATGGGTGAGCCCTCTTTGTCCCTGAAGGGAGAAGGGCCTTGGGGACATGTCAGGATGAGGAGCAAGGATGCAATTTCCTCGTGGTCCACAGCTCCTTTTGTTTCCCTCCTCTCTCCCAGAAAAGTAACAAGCAGTTCCACAGGTCAGCCGAGGAAGAAGAGGAGTGATTTCCAACCCTCCCTGCCAACGTCCCACAAACAAAATCAATGGGGAAGCTGGCAAGAAGTCAGAAGTAGCTCCCACTCCCCCTGCTTTTTTCCCCGTGTGTGGTCATTTCATTGTTCCCCCTCCACCCAAAAATGTAACAAGCAGTGATATTATGCTGCTGAGGAAACACGGAATTCAATAAAAATCAAACTACTTTAATACTTATACCATAATCTAAACAAATTCATCATTAAAAAGTGTTTTTAATTTATTTCACATATTAATTATAGGAATTTAAAAAATCCATCTTTATTATGGTCCGTAGATTAACAAAAATATATGAACCTGTAAGATCTCAAAATGCATAGAAATCTCAGGAATTGCTGTTTCTGTGAGAGGTTTATCTTATCCTATCACATTTGTATTATCTTTTACACAAACCCAAAACAAATAATTGGGGGGGGGAATTGCCTTTGAGTTATTCTTGACTGCTGTCAACCACCTTGACAAGTCCTGCAGTTTTCTTGGCAAAGTTTGTTTTGGGAAGTGATTTGCCCTTATCTGTTTTCTAGGACTGAGAGGGAGCGCCAAGTCCAAGGTCATCTAACTGGCTTCATGTCTAAGATGGACTAGAACTCAACCATTATACCAAACTGATTCTTCAAAATAATAAACATAAATTCAGTCCTCTGAAAACTTTATCCTTTACCTGTTGTTTTTGAAGGCGCCTGAGAAGGTGTAAGCATTCCTTCAGTAAAATCAGTGTTTTCAGGTGACAAATCTGGGCCAATCTCTTCTGGAGTTTTCGTATGAAAAGAATGAGCAAAATCTGAATTGCTGGAGATGGTAGTATTGGCAACAGCGGATGTTTGTGTGTCACTTTCAAAACTGCTGACATCCCTTGCAGTTCGTAGTGTACTACCTTCATCTCTTTTTGATAGACTTGAAATAGATACACCATCTCTCTGAAAAGTGGGAATTTTCTCTTTATAAGAACTGCTTCTCAAGTGGCTATCGTCTGCATCTGAAAAACAACAGTAAATATTTATATACACCACCTGCCAGCATGAAGAATGAATGAAGACCATGTTTTATAACCTATTGGTAAAAATTAATTTCAAATATCTTTAGCCTGAAAAATACATTTTAAACATTATTATGACAAGTAAATGAGTACATATGTTTGTTGTAAGGTTTTAGACCATCTTTTCATTAGATAAATAGAAAGTCAATAAATGAATTCAGGTCTTGTTATGTTTATTTCATAATATGCAAATTATTAATTTTGGGAAAAAAGTTTTTTCCCCATGAATCACTTTCTCAATAACTGTAAATTTTTCTTGTCCTGAAGGACAATATGCTGTAGTGTACGAGTTCAGATTATTGGGCTATATCTAACATTATGAAAATTAATTTCAGTCCATCAGCAGAACTGGATGCCTCTGGTAACTTATTGTGTGAGTTCCTAACCTTCTAGAAGAAATTTGTGGATTGTGGTATAGTGATGAAGGAGGAGAGAGGATCTGATCCACTGATTTCAGACAATGGACATTATTTATATGCAACTTTTTACCTCAGAAATTTATTTTAATTGTTGTGTGGAGCAGATTAGCACATTAAACATACACAGACCATATGAAATGTAATGATGAGACATGTCCTATTTCCACACATATTTGCAAGCACTCAGAACGTTATTAACATTTTAATTCAATTTATCCTATGTTCAGTCTCATATTCAAATACCCCTAATATTTTTATTAATTTTATACCAAGATTAAATGATTAGATATAAGTATCTTAAAATGTTTTAAGATTACTGTATCAGTTCAAACCAGTTCTAAAGAGAAAACTGTCAAGAAGATTAATAGTATCATTCATTTAGCTCTAATTTCACCTGAGTACACTTTGACATTAAAAAATCAGTTTAGACTTTCTTTGGAATTATATTTTATTCATAAAGCAGGTATAATAAGAAACCATCAGCAATTGTTCCATGACAAAGAAAGTAGAAGAATCTAAATTATAGTGAAATTCCATCCAGTTAAAATAGAGTATAAAATAAGCACATTCCAATGCTAGAATGTCAGGAAAAACAGCATGATCCATTGAATGACAAGTGTGCTTGATCCTAATTTTCTACAACAGATGGAGTTAAATCTAGCTGTGGATCATGCTAGAGATCTCTAGTCTCCGAGGTATTTGATTTCCCTGATTCCTATAACTCACAGCAGTTTCCAGTCCTATGATTCTATGATTCCTCACAAGAACTGGATTCAATGAAGTATAGGATATGGTACACAGAAGATACATTACAGCATAATAGAAGGAAAATGGCAATCATTTAGATCTCCCAATCTGAATTAAAATTATTTCTGATACAATGAAATCTATTTGGGATATATATTTTCTCTACATCTCTTCTAGTTATTTATCTTCAGGTCTATGGTAGACAGACAGACAGAGATACCGTATATGTATGGGTGTCTCTGTTTATGCAAGAGTCATTTGAAAGTCAGACTGATGGACTATTGGACTACTGCAGTGCAGTTTATATGGAGCTGCCCTTGAACAGCATCTGGAAGCTGCAGCTGGTACAGAATGTAGTGCTGCAAGCAGTCATGTATTCCTCACCATCAGAATGTGTTACACCTCTCTTCTGTGAACTGTATTGGGTGCCAATTTGCTTCCAGGTTCAACTGGTTGTATGATATGTAGGATTTTGAATGCACTTTCCTGCATCTTTGTTTATATTCATAGCTATTTGTTTTTAATGGTTTTAATTGTTTTGCCGAACTATATGTGCCATCTAGAGTCACAAATGTGAAATGGGTGGCTACAAAAAATCAATCAATAAATAAAAATCAATTCAAGAGGCTGGGAGTTACCTTTAAATTCCTTCATAGCATGAGGCCAGGTTATTTAAGGGACTGTCTCTTTCCGAAGATCCTCTTTGTTAAGGAATGCCATCTGTTAATGATGGTCATTTTAATTTTTTTTTTACCTCAGCTACTAATTTACATGTATGTTTTTTATTACTGTTATATTCTTTATGGTGTTTTTAATTCTTGTTGGCTGCTCAGAGTAATGAATTTGAGATGGGTGGCCAAATAAATTGAAATTGCAAATAATAATAATAATACAAAACCAGCATACTTTTAATAAACTTCATCTTCAAATGTCTTAGCAGTTTGTTTTTCCATTTACCCATCCCAATCCTTTTTTCTCGTTTAATGTTTAATCGTGACATTTTGCTTTTATCTTGATACCAGACAAGGTTCTGAAATTCAGGGGGAAAAAAATTCTTTACCTGTTGCTTGTGAGGAATCCCAAGGATATGTACTTTCTGCTTCTATGGTGAACCCAGGTGATAAATCTTTTTGTCTGGTTTGAACTGAACTCAACACAGAAGAAGAATCAGTAAGAGCTGAACTGCTGGGTATTTCACTCTGAGAAGCTGTGAATATTGACTCTGGATAGTAAGAACTACTGGTGTGCCCTAGAGTCTGTATTATCCTCTTCCCACTCCTGTCAGATCTGTTCTCTGTGTAAAAGGTGGAAGCAATGCTCTCCATTTCTGAGCTGCTCAGTGGCTGACCATTTTGTTCTGAAATGCAACAATAGAAAATTAATCCATTCAGTTGCAAAGAACCCAAGCAAGTTTTTATTTACTTTTTGGAAAGCCCACGATAGTACTACTCATTAAAATCCACATAAAGAAACAATTTAAGATCTTAAAGGTAGTTATGTGATATGTAACAAAACCAAAAAGGAATAGAATACCTGCTCATACAAATATTACCTGTTCAGTGCTTCATCTTACTGCCAAGCTCTTGTAAGTTCTTTGGTATGCTCTATCTCTAATGCACTGGGTCTGGTAAATATATCTAAATTGTGTGCTTTCATGGAAACACAATATGCCATTTTATGATTGGTGGAAGTGAGATTTCCACCATAGTTTAAAGAGTGGCTATCAGAATGATCACATTTATCTTTTTCAAATGTATTGTAAGATTGCATGGTTGCCAAACTGGAGAACAACAGAATAGTTTAGGAAATCTATTAATATTTTTAAAAATATGTATTAAAATATAGAACAAGGTTCTAATGTGAAAATAATTACTGTTGGGTATGGTAAATTAGTGCCAATTGTTTTGATCTTATTTCACTATACCAACAGTACTAGAATTAAAACTTTACATTTACATTATACAGTCTCTCTTTTTTTTTCCAGAATAATCAATGTTACAGAAGAATTTGACAAGGTAAAAACATGTATCTTTTAAGCCAATTTAAGATTAAAAACTTCTTTCATGATTTACCTATAATCATATTTATTGAGAAGAATTAGTGAATGGATAATTTTATTACAAACAACTATCAATATTATTAGCATAGTACTCTGATCTATTACAGGTGAAATGTTTTTCTCTAACCTTTTAAACAGGATTTGGTTTTCCTACTGTCAATTATTACAGTTTTTATCCACAGTTTTTCAGAAATTTCCCCAATAATCCTAATTAAAACTTGTAATAGGAAATCTAATGTATGCATTAGTATTATCTTTAATGCTTTACAGGATAATAATTCAGTCTGTCCCAGTGCTTTAAACTTTGTCATACATATTATTCCGGACTAGAGCCAATTTAAAACTAGATTTTATTGTCCCATTAAAGAAGATGCAATTATTTCATTCATCTTCATCTCCTAGCGACTTCAGTTTATTGCCTCTTTCTAAATAAATTGCTTGTTCTTTTATCTTGTTTTCTTGTTTAATAGCCACCCCAAATATTTTCATTTTATCTTTATCCCAGATAGCCTTAGCAATGCTTGAAGAAACAAGAGGATTTTCCTTATTTACCTGTAGGAGCCTGGGAAAATGTAAATGCTTCTTTAGTGACGACAAAATCCCTGCGCAACAAATCCATTTGTTCAGTCTTTTCTGGTCTGGATGAAAGCCTTGAAGAACTGGAAGTGTTAGTGGTGGTGAATGCTTGTGTTACATTCTTGGACTTCTCTTCATCTCTGATTAATACTCTTGAAACAGTCACACTGTCCAAGTGAGAACTGGGTATTTTGCTCTCTGTGTTTGATCTGCTGTTCATCTGTTTAGTGCCTTCCACGGCTGAAATATATCAATGAAAAGATGAGATGAATCCTCTACAGGCTGAATTAACATAATGCTTTTCCCCTAATGGATATTCACATATATTTAGTGGAAAATATCACTTCTGTTGGGAATAGGTGTTTTATTGTTATAAAAAAGATCAACGAGAATTTAGATGTAAAACTTATAATGATGACATTTAAATTTTCCTCTATATAAGCTTCTCAGAATCAATTGATTATTGGAGCAGCATATAAACCTATGAAAAATATATAAACAAATAGATGAGGAATTAAATATACATAAAGAAACCAATCCAATTCTATGTTCAGATATTGTCACAACTTACCAAAATATTTATTTGTATTTAAATCTCTTGGAGTTTTTTTTTTCTTTTCACATCCAATGTGAAAATATATTTCAAAAGTTATTTCAAAATAACTTTCAAGAAAAGTTATTCCAGATTTTAATGCATCATTTAATGTTTGGAGATTTTGTTTGTGTTTATTATCTGATATAGTCAATTTTTATCATATATAAGACCAACTCAATTTATCTCTGATGAATATTAGCTTGTGATATCTAATCTGTCCTTAATTCCTTAAATTAAAGTGGGGGAAGAAAATTTCTTCTATTTCTGATAATATTATCAGAAATAATATTAGAATTTAAAATTAGCTAAGGTAGATAAATAGTGAGATTCAAGATATATTATATACATAGCACATAGGTCTGGTTAACTTACTGTGCTAACCCAGTTGCTTATTCATTTGTTGAATAAGCCAGGTTGGGTTCAACAATACCCATAAAGCATCGTTTAGTAAATCACATCAGTTGAGTTTATTCAAATCAATACAGGTAGTCCTCAACTTACAACAGTTAATTTAGTGACCATTCAAAGTTACAACAGCACTGATAAAAGTGACTTTTGATCGTTTTTCAGTTATGACCATTAGCATCTCCATGGTCACATGCTTGGCAACTGACTCATATTTATGACAGTTGCAGTGTCCTGGGGTCATGTGATCACCTTTTGCAACCTTCTTGCAAACAAAGTCAATGGGGAAGCCAGCTTCACTTAACAACCATGTTACTAATTCAACAACTGCAGTGATTCACTTAACAATTGTGGCAAGAAAGGTCGTAAAATGGGCCCAAACTCACTTAACAAACATCTCACTTAGCAACAGAAATTTTGGACTCAATTGTGATCATAAATTGAGGACTACCTGTAAGGTCAAGCTAAAATTGAAATCCAGTAAACCACTTTGTGACTGCAATTAAACTACAGAACATAGAATTCAGTATTGTGATGTGGTGTTGGTCATTACCGTAATATGGATACCTTTAAAAGAGTAGTGAGAATTCAGGGCCAGTCAATCTATTGATGGCTCCCCATTATGAATGCTAAGTATTACCTCTGGTATAAGTCTTGGGATGCCTGTCTATCTCAGTTGCTTGAGAACATGTACAGAAAGGTTTTTTGCACTTCTCTCTAGTATGTGGGCTTTCCATGGACATCTGATTGGTCACTGAGAAAGGATGAGAATACAGAATGCATGACACCTCTTGCATTTCATACACTTTTGACAGTACCATTTCCCACAACCTGGATCCTGACAGTTATTTTATTCAACATAGTGTAGTATAGATCTTCCATATCTTCTGTAAACATCCAGAAGCCACTAGATGATGGTAATGAGGTCTAGAAAATGCTAACTCTTTGTTGAATACTAGCTGCTCTCTGTACTTCAACATACAGCTAAAATCTTAAATCATTTTTAATATCCATTTTAATGAAAAAGTCCTTTTTCTGCAAAGGTATTCATATCCATAGCTTCTCAAATATTTCATGTGAATTTTGTTCTAAAGTTTGAAGCTTGTTAATTTCAACAAATTGTTTTTCAATAGATTATATTATAAACAATTAATTTAACACTTATTGTAAAGGATATATTCAACTCGACCAAAGATTAGAAATATATTCCAAGGATTAGAAAAGTAAATATCTCTTTAAGATTGAAAAGAAAATACGTAAGCCATGGGGACCTGCTAGTAACTATTCATTTTAGTCTTAATTGCATGGAAAATAAAAACCATAATTAAATTAAAGAAAATTGTTTTTAAATTGTTTTGGACATCTGCTACATATTTCATATAATAATGTTGAGAAGGAAACATCAGCAACTGCTTGCATGAAGTTCAGTTGTACCAGGTCTTTGCAGAGATTTCTTACATTTTTAAAATGTGTTGTTTTACAACAATGTTCTAGATTTGTTCATTATTTAGACTCTGGACTTCATCAAGAGAAAGGGTGCCATACAAACAAAACAGATTATCCTAATTATGAACATAATCATCATTCCTTTTATTTCAATTTTATTTTGGAATGCAGTTCTTATCATTTCTCAGTATTACCTTCCCTGCATTAAGATAAAGCCAATGTTGGACATATCTAATTTTCTTCAGTGATTTCACCTATTATTAATATGATTTATTTGAATCCAATAAGATAAAAGGAAGAAAAGAGCCTTGGTGGCGCAGCAGACTAAATCACTGTTAAGTAACACCAGCTGCCTGCAATTACTGCAAGTTCAAATCTCACCAGGCTCAAGGTTGACTCAGCCTTCCATCCTTTCGAGGTAGGTAAAATGAGGACCCGGTTTGTGGGGGCAATAAGCTGACTTTGTATAAAAAAGAACACCGCTGGGGGGGGGCCCGAAAGCCCTACTAAACAGGTATATTCAAAAGTATGAAGGCTATTGCTTAACGCATTGTAAGCCGCCCTGAGTCTCCGGAAAAGGGCAGCATATAAATCGAACCAATAAATAAAATAAATAATTTTGGTAGCCAAATAATCTTTAGTGCTGACATCACTCAATAAAGAAGCAACCCTCTGCAACACCTTTACCCTTCCCCAGTGTTTGAAATGAAGATTTAATTAAAACAGTCATATATAAATTTTTCTGCTTTTTTTCCAAAATAACTTGTTTCCCTAGGGACAACTTATTTTTCCTTTTCTCTTTCCTTTTTTTTTTTTCCTATTCATCTAGAACATCTGGCTTTATCTCGATATGAATAAAAGATTCAGAAATCTTGATCAAATGCGAGTTCCTTCTCTTTACCTGTAGTTGTTGAAGGTGACTGAGAATGTCTACCTGTTGCTTTAGTTTCATCAGTCTCTTGTGTTGACAGAGCCATTTGTTGGGAATCTGCAGGCACTATCACGTAAGAAGCATCACTGGGGTCTGAAGGGGCAGACATTTCAAGGTTAGAGATTGTGGATACAGAACGTGGATTTTGAGAACTTCTGCTCTCTCTGACAGTTCGTAGTATCTTCTCCCCATTGGTGGGCATTTCAAGGTTAGAGATTGTGGACACAGAATGTGGATTCTGAGAACCTCTGCTGTCTCTGAGAGTTCGTAGTATCTTCTCCCCATTGGTGTACATTTCAGGGTAAGAGACTGAAGATGTAGAATGTGGACCTTGAGAATTGCTGCTCATTCTGACAGTTCGTAATATCTTCTCCCCACTGGTGGATATTTCAAGGTTTGAGACAGCAGATGTAGAATCTGGATCTTGAGAACGGTTGATGTCTCTGAGAGTTTGTAGTATCTTCCTCCCATTGGTGGACATTTCAAGGTTTGAGACAGCAGATGTGGAATGTGGACCTTGAGAACTGCTGATGTCTCTGAGAGTTCGTAGTATCTTCCCCCCATTGGTGGACATTTCAAGGTTTGAAACAGCAGATGTGGAATGTGGACCTTGAGAACGGCTGATGTCTCCATGAGTTCGTAGTATCTTTCCCCCATTGGTGGACATTTCAAGGTTTGAGACAGCAGATGTAGAATGTAGACCTTGAGAACGGCTGATGTCTCCATGAGTTCGTAGTATCTTCCCCCCATTGGTGGACATTTCAAGGTTTGAGACAGCAGATGTGGAATGTGGATCTTGAGAACTGCTGATGTCTCTGATGAGTTCGTAGTATCTTACCCCCATTGGTGGACATTTCAAGGTTAGAGAGTGCAGATGTAGAATGTGAATGTTGAGAGCTGAAGTCTCTTATAGTTTGAAATATGTTCTCCTCACTTCTGTTGGATCTGCTCAGAATTGTCGTATACTCCATATCAGAACTGGAAATTCTTTTTTCTGTGTTGGAGTTTCTGCTTAACTGATGAGTATCTTTCATAAATGAAACATAGCAAAAAGAAATTAGATGCGCGCCCTACATATTGGGCAGAATCTCTCAAAGTGTATTCATATATAATTATATTTCTGCAAATATAATAGAAGGCTAGTTAATCAGGCAGAATAAAATCCACAGTCTGCTTCACACATCATATTTGTTATGGCTCAGTGTGATATGTAACATCACCCTAAGAATAAAATCATACTAGTTTTTCTTTCTACTTGTTAGGGTAATGCTCAGTTAGCTTGCCTGGAACGATTCCAAGATGTCACTCAATGGCCCAAATGCCCAACCCAAATCTTCAAATCTCAAATGATTTCAATGATCTCTAAATTAATCAATATGTATAATATTTTCTTTCATGAGGGCTGCAGACATCCAGCCAGCATTCTAGTGTTGGGGGGAGGGGGGAGGTGGCACCATATTGCAGACTCCAGGATGACTTTTTATATTACTCGCTTTTCTTCTTTTAAATGCAGAAATGGAAATATCCAACAAATCAACTTAAAGAAAGTCGGTAGAAATTAATACACCCAGAGCAACACACCTTCAGATTAGCTCTGCCCCACAAGTCAGGTTTGTGCCAAGTAGTGCTGGCAAAAACATTCTCATGCAGTGAACAAAGCTGGCATTGTTATTATAACTTTATTCATTTTAAGTTGTAAAGTCGAGTCAGTGCAAGACTAATATGTTCTGCATTGTCTTAATGATCTCATTTAATGGGATGCCATACTCTAGCGGAAGTCATTTGCTTGTTTGTGGACTTCATGTATGTCAAAAGAAACTATTTCTCTGAACTCAGCAAGCTGCGCACTCAGACTTTTACAGTGAAGGTTGCCAAGCTACAATTCTAAAAATGCGAGAGAAATGGATTTGAATTATTTGACAACTCTGTGGAGTAACTGCAAGCAGAAAAACCTTCAAAATACTTTGTCGAAGGCCCCTTCGAGTCCTGACAGAATTTCTCTCACACAAACAGTGGAAAACAGATGAAAGAAAAAGCAACTATTCCATAGAAAAGAGCAGCTGTAGAAAAACAAATTTAAAAAGATACGATGCTTGCCAAACTGTGTTATTTGGCAGACTTATTCCTGATAATTTCATGCTCCATTTTGAAAAGAATAAAAAAGACAGCAAGGAAAGCTAAGGAAATGGAGCAGATCTGGGGTACAGTATATATATTAAATGTTGTTGTTGTTGTTGTTGTTGTTGTTGTTGTTGTTGTTATTGTTGTTGTTGTTGTTATTATTATTATTATTATTATTATTATTATTATTATTATTCCCAGTGAAGGTTTCTAGACCTAGGGCCTTACACCCTAAATCAACAAAACGAAAGGCAAAACAGTAACCTATCCACATATGAAAAAAGATAATAAGTTCTGCACTATAAATGTATTTCATTTTGACATCTAGATTGAGAAAGTTTAATATTTTCCACCAATTATTGAGACAAAGATTGGGATTTTATTTACCTGATAATTATAGATTTTCCCCAGTTTAGTTTACTCAGTTTATATTCCATCCTACCCAGTCCATTTTATATCAATTGAAGATTGTAGCAAACTAATTTTGATCTAAACCAGACATGGGTAAGTATGACCATAGTTGACCAACCCAGGATTGATGGCAACTGGCACTGTAGAGGCAATGGTGAAAAGTGTTTCACACCACAAACTGCAATTTGGAAATATGCAATATGGCGAATTAAGGAGCATTTTAGATTGTGGGTTTACTCTTGAAGAGGAAATGCAGAACCATCTAGCACATACTGAATGTCTGATTGCCTACTGAACCACAACACATTTGTCTTGTCCAGATTTAATGTCACCCCTTTCACTTTCATCCAATCCATTAAGGTACTCCTTGACTTACAACAGTCCATTTAGTGACCAAAGTTACAACGGCACTGAAAAAAGTGACTTATGACCGTTTTTCACAGTTACAACCTTTGTAGCATCACCATGATCATGTGATCAAAATTCAGATGTTTGGCAACTGTTTCATATTTATGATGGTCGCAATGTCCTGGGATCATGTGATCCCCTTTTGACAAGCAAAGTCAATGGGGAAGCCAGATTCGCTTAACAATCAAGTTACTAACTTATCAACTGCAATGATTCCCCTAACAACTGTGGCAAGAAAGGTTGTAAAATGGGGCAAAACTCACTTAACAAATGTCTCCCTTAACAAAAGAAATGTTAGGCTTAATTGTGGTTGTAACTCAAGGACTACCTGTACCAAATTAGAGCTACGTTCTAGAGCAGAATTTTGACAAGTACCCAGCCCTATTCTTTGTAGTCTTTTTTTAAACCATGCTGTCAATTATAGGTGGTACCATTATTTTAAGCCAGATAACTCAAAGAAACATTCATATGAATTCCAGAAAAATAGTTAAGAAAAGGGGGGGGGGCAATGAAAAATCCTGCCCCAAAATAGATGTCACACATCTATCCATTTGCATCCATATTGCTATTCTTGCAATCCAAGATTGCCATGAAATATAAAATGTGAACTCAAGGCCACCAAAAGTTTGCCCACCCTGCTGTATTAGCATCACCTGCTTTTTCTGACAGTAAGGAATAGAAAATATGGAAAGATACATACTAGTTTGTGGAGAAGTATAAGACCGAGTAAGCACAATCCTAGTTAAAGAATCAGGCTGTTTGGCATTTGATGTCCTACTTTGGGGTATTGGAAATGTTACATGAGATGACCATTGGATCTGACCAGAAGACGTAGCAAGTTCTTTTTGAGTAGCTGGCCGTTTTCCAGTGAAATTCTTTCTAAGAAAGTGGGAAGTCCTTTCTGAACTCTGACTGAATGTTGCTGAACTGCCCATGTCTGGAATATGGAAATTGGAGGTTGTGCTGTCTTCATCCCAGGTATTAGCTGTATGGTAGTTGCTCCCAATGGCTGAAATAAGAAACAGGGCTGTTTCATTATGTCACTCTTCCTTGGTTTATGATTTAAATTTCTAGAGCTGGCCACTTATCAGTTACTCTCAGTGGCTAACAACGAAGGTTTTTCCCCCCCTACTTTTGTGTGCCACCCAGAGTCCACTGAAATTTGATGGCCAATAAATTTAAATAAATAAATAATAATTTTGAAATGATGCACGAATGCATTGAAATCTGTAATAAAAGACAGTTATACCAAGGAAAGAAAATCTCTTAAATGTAAATATAATAGCAGTATAGTAGCAGTATACAAAGTTTTCTATTTTACATGGTTTTTTTTAATGAAAAGCATTAAATGGAAAAACATTAATAAACTTTAACCCTGGGTAAGTTGAAACATGTTTTAGGAGGGGATGAAGAGAAACAGACTATTTTTATTCCAATATTTTTCTCATTAAAAGATATATCAAATGTATAAAATGTCTTTCTATTGTTTGAGTAGAAGATTCTAAGCAAAATAAATAAATAAATGAATGCAAGGGATAGTGTTACTTAATTCTCTGCTTCTTACCATCATGTCTCAACTCATAAATGAAGCCTCTATTTTATGATTATGTCATCAAAATCAGTTTTCTGTATGAAGCAATATTTTTAAGGTTTTTGACCCAGGCATATGCCTAGAGCAAGGGTATCCAACCTTGGCAACTTTAAGATTTGTAGACTTCAGTTCCCAGAATTGATGGCTGGCTGAAGAATTCCGGGAATTGAAGTTCACAAGTCTTAAAAATTGCCACGTTTGGCGACCCCTGGCCTAGAGTATAAAACTAAATACAAGTATACAAAAATGGATATCTGGTCTGTTCCTTCCCATTTGGGATTCAGGAGAACATTTAAGTCCTGCTTATTATGTTAAATGCAAGGAGAGGGGCATGCTGTTAATGGATATATGAATTTGGTACACGTGTTTTTGATTTATTTATTTATATTTTCTATTTGATTTATTTTGTGGGTGGTCTTTATTTTGGGGGGATTCTGATAATTCGTACCATGTACCTTCCGGCACCATGGCATACAAATAAATAAATAATTTGTAACCTGCTATGCTTAATAAGTAGCCATTTTATCTTTTTAACAGTGTGTCCAATTATGGTATTCATTTTATGAAAATATCCACAAACACATTTTGAAAACTCCCATCTTCCCTATAAAGGTTGCTTAATCATATAATACATTATATTGTTTCAGTGTCTTCCCCCCATTTTAGGTCAACAGTTCAGATACTGATGATGAAACTCACCTGAATATTTTTTCTCCAAAACTGGAGAATTTGCTGTCTTGGGCGTCACTGATTCAGATTCGGCAATACCTGCCATATTTCGTGAGGCACTTGCTCGCTTGGTTTGTATCATTTGAGATAACTGTGGTGTCACATTCACAGATCTGATTATTTTGGTGTAAGATGTGGTGCTTCCTGTTGCAGCTACAGATGCTGAAGCTAAATTGGTCCACAACGTCCTTAATTTATCATTTCCAGATGTACTGGCTGCATCTAGATTCCGTATATAGGAAGTGGAAATCTTTGCTTCAGTGTTTGGACTATATACATCCTTTTGTCTGGTCATAACGGCTAAAGATGAAATGAAGAAAAAGAGAACAGAAACAAGGCTGAGGTAAAATTTAACGACTCTAAGCAAGTCTATATTTATTGATGGACAGACATTTGCATTTGAATCCTAATATATGACTGTGCCAAAGGAAATTTGGCAGAAAAACCTAGATGGAAATCTATCAAGGATGGATGGAAACTAATCAAGGAAAGAAGCAACCTGGAATTAAGGAGAAACTTCCTAACAATGAGGACAATTAACCAGTGGAACAGCTTGCCTTTAGAAGTTGTGGGTGTTTCATCACTGGAGGATTTTAAGAAAAGACTGGACAGTCACTTGCCTGAAATGTTATAGGTCTCCTGCTTAAGCAGGAGGTTGGACTACAAGATCTCTAAGATATC